AAACATGACTGCCTGCTTCAGTGTCTCAGACACAGAGAGAGAAACGAAAGCATAGACACAACAGAAACATCCTGTGAACAGGAAATACGCAGGCTGTGACACAAACATCCTGCTCCCTTTTAAGGTGGAACGGAAATATCCTAACAATTTGTGGGGCCTGCCTGGTGTTTTTACATGAGTAGAATGTGTGCTTTTATTTAAAATGCATCTCTGGGTTATTTGTGGGGCATAGGAATTCGTTCATTTTTTTCCCCTTCAAAATATAGTCTGGCCCCCCACAAGATCTGAGGGACAGTTTGCTGAAAAAGTTTGCTGACCCCTGTTCTATTGCCTGCAAAGACAGGGAAGGGGCTTATGGAAGGGTCAGACTTTATTGCAGGAATAGATAGCTTGTGCTGGAAGGGCACAGCCTTAGATGCCTGACGCAAGCCGAGACCCTCCGCAGCCCCTGACTGATGTTTTGGGTTAAATGCATGACAGCAAGACAAAGGGACAGCAATAAAAGTGATTTATTTAGGAGCTCGTAAATCAGCCAGTGTGCCATTGAGCAAGGAGAACCCACCATTAGCAGCTGGTTTTCCGGAACCACTCCCCACTCCCTTTGCCTCGTCCTCCCTCCCCTCTGGCCCTCTTAAGTTTATCTGATACCTGATAGATGTCAAGATCTAAGCTGTTGCCTTGCAAATCACCAACCCTTTGTCTTAATGAAGACCCTATGCTTGGGGGGATGAAACTGAAGGCAAAACCAACAGAGCAGTGCTTGAGTTTGCTAGAGTGAAGCAGGGGGGAGATGTGGAAGGGACTTGATATACGCTGAACTAGATAGTTAGTCCATGGAGTTTTCTTGGCAGGGATACTGGAGTGGCTTGCCGGTTCCTGCTCCAGGTGGATCACGTTTGGTCAAAACTCTCCACTATGACCTGTCCATCTTGGGTGGCCCTGCACGGCATAGCTCATAGCTTCTCTGAGTTATTCAAGCCCCTTTGCCACGGCAAGGCAGTGATCCGAAGAATTGATGCTTTTGAATTCTGGTGCTGGAGGAGACTCTTGAGAGTCCCATGGACAGCAAGAAAAATCAGACCTCTCCATTCTGAAGGAAATCAGCCCTGAGTGCTCACTGGAAGGACAGATCCTGAAGCTGAGGCTCCAATACTTTGGCCACCTCATGAGAAGACTCCCTGGAAAAGACCCTGATGTTGGGAAAGATGGAGGGCACAAGGAGAAGGGGACGCCAGAGGACGAGATGGTTGGACAGTGTTCTCGAAGCTACCAGCATGAGTTTGACCAAACTGTGGGAGGCAGTGGAAGACAGAAGTGCCTGGTGTGCTCTGGTCCATGGGGTCACGAAGAGTCAGACATGACTAAACAACAAAACAACAAAGATACTTAGGTTATCTTTTCTTCCTTCTCCGACAACAGGCTAAGTCCAGACCTTCAGCAAAACTTGGGTCATTTTTTTCACTCACCAAGACTGATGGGTGAGGACAACAGCGCCTCCCAGTGGCCACTGGAGAGAAACGATTGCAAGAAGACGTAGCCGAGATGGGATGGAGGAGGTCTCTCGCTTATGTCTTGGGTGGGCAACATATGCCAAGCAGAGGGGCTCCAGCTAATCTGCATATTTCTTGCATGTAGTGATGAACATCCTTCCCCACAAACATGACGCTTCCCCAAGCCACCAGGGATGGGAAGCACATGACTCTTTTATTCTGTGTTCCTCTGATTATCCCCACCCACCCCTGCTAATGTAAAGTCAGATCTGTAAGATGTTTAGCCGGGCTTAGAAAAGCAAGAGACTGCAGTGGGTGAGGGAAGAGGTTGTATTTTTTATTTATTTCGGAAGTAAATAAATGAATGAGGTTGGTCTCCAGCGCCTGTCAATCCTGCCAGGATGGCCAATAGGAACTTTACAGTGGTAACCTTGGTTCTCAAACTTAATCCGTTCCAAAACCAAAGCATTCCAAAACCAAGGTGTGCTTTCCCATAGAAAGTAATGGAAAATGGATTCATCCATTCCAGACTTTTAAAAATGACCCCTAAAACAGCAATTTAACATGCATTTTACTATCTAACGAGACCATTGATCCATAAAATGAAAGCAATAAGGCAGTACTGTAGATGATAAAAATTAAAATTAATTTATTTTTCTTACCTGCACTGATGATAGTCATTGTTTGGATGGGGGGGCTTTTATCCATTTCCGCAGTCACACAAGCAATCGATCAGTAGCTGAACTGGGTTCCACACAGTCACAAAAACAAATGAACCGAAAAAGCCTCAAAAACAAAAATGCAAAATTAATAGCAAAAACAAAAGCGCCAAACCTAATCCGTTCCGGAAGTCCGGTTGACTTCTGAAATGTTCGAAAACCAAGGCTCAGCTTCTGATTGGTGCAGGCGCCACGGAAACAATAGCCGACAACCGCATCGGGCATTCGACTCCCGAAAAAAAGTTTTAAAACCGGAACACTCACTTCCTGGTTTTGGCATTTGGGAACCAAGGTGTTTGGGAACCAAGGTACCACTGTAGTTCAACAATAATGTGGAGCCCAGACACCTCTCCTTTGAAAAACGAAGCACTCCAGTGAAAAGAAAGGCGGTCGCCATTGATAGCCCCCAATCAATCATTCTTATTCTGGATAGGTGAGTGTATTATTGCCCTCCCAAGATGCATTGTCAGCAGGTTTCCTCAGTCTATCTGTCTCTCCTCAATAATATACCTCTGCTCCTAGAAATGTTGCTTGCTCAGCAGTGTATTGGAGGAAAGAAAGGCAATTTCGTGCCTTTTCCTCACATTTTTAATGGAAGATTAAAAAGAAGAAGTAATGACCTATTGCTCTGATTCTGCTTAGTTAGTACTTTAATGGGGTTCGATGCCACAGTCAGCTGGGAAAACAGCCAAGGAGAGAGCCAAGCTAAACAAAAGGGGGAGGAAATGTGGTCAGAGGCTCAATGTCTTCCTTTGTGGGCTGTTCGGACAGGCCGGTCCGTGGCATTCTGTCCATGCTCAGAGCTCCTTTTGTGCTTGATCACTGCAAGAAATTTCCCACTGCTGCTGAGCCCTGAAAACCAAATCTGGGATTCAGGCCTGTCTTAAAGGAAGCCCGTTTCACCTGCAGCACATCACCTGCGTCAGAGCGTTTTCTTTTGCCATGAACACCTCTGTGTTCTTGGACCGTACCCAAACTTGTGCCCTCCAGATGTTTCAGATGACAACTCCCATCATCCCTGACTATTGGCCGTGCTGGCTGGCTAGGGCTGGTGGGAGTTGGGCTCCCAAAAATCTGTAGGGCACCAGGTTCTGGAAAGCTACCCTAAGCATATTGCTAAGAATTCAAGTTGTATTATTCTAACCTGATGGATACAAGAGACGCTGTTACTAAGTTATGGGAAACAGCGCCACTTACTGTTGGAACAACAGCATTACAGTTAAGATTCTGCATTGCATCACCTCCTTGGCAGTACAGTGGTACCTCGGGTTAAGTACTTAATTTGGTCTGGAGGTTCGTTCTTAACCTGAAAGTGTCCGTTCTGTAACCTGAAGAGTATGTAACCTGAAGCGTATGTAACCCGAGGTACCACTGTACAGTGGTACCTCGAGTTACATACACTTCAGGTTACAGACTCCGCTAACCCAGAAATATTACCTCGGGTTAAGAACTTTGCTTCAGGATGACAACAGAAATCGTGCTCTGGCGGCGCGGTGGCCGTAGGAGGCCCCATGAGCTAAAGTGTGCTTCAGGTTAAGGACAGTTTCAGGTTAAGAACAGACCTCTGGAACGAATTAAGTACTTAACCCGAGGTACCACTGTGATAGGGGGCCTCTGCGAAGCAAAAGGAAGGGAGGTCCCTTTCCCACATCAGTACTGGTGGCAACTTCAGAGATGGTGGGAGGCTGCCAGTAACTTTAATGATTGACAATGACATGGGTGTGTTTGGTGCTCTCCTCTAATAGCAGAAAAGTACTACAATGGCTCCACATCATTGACTGCATCGGCCTGGGTTTGTAGGTTGCCCATCTGTTAACCCCACTTCAAGTCCACGCTGGCTGGCTGCAGACCCCTGGAGACCCCCACACATAGCCGTCAATGTTTTCCAAGGGAAATTCCCTTTTTCCGAATAGGATTCCTTGCAAGAAAAGGGAAAAGTTGACAGCTATGCCCCCACAGGGCAGCCCCCACCATTTCCTCGCTAGGGGAGGGGAGAGACCAGCAGTCTTCTTTCGGCAACAGATCTTTCGTAGTTATCGGATCTGTTCTGTTCTTGTTTTTAGTATGTATTTTGTGTTCTCCTTTTGTATTGTTATGCTGCGAACCGCCCTGTGATCTTCAGGTGAAGGGGGTCAAGAAGAGTCGGAGAAAACTAAACGACTAAACAACAACATAATGATGATAGTTGGGTGTGGGTTTTTCCTGAAGAATGGAAGTCCTTTTCGGACTATTTAAGAAAATATTATATAGTTTGATGTACCGTATTTTTCGCTCTATTGGACGCAGTTTTTCCCCTCCAAAAATTGAGGGGAAATGTGTGTGCGTCCTATGGAGCGAATGCAGGCTTGTTCCATATGGCTTCTTTAGCCCTGCGGAGCCTCTCCCGGCAAGGAGAGGTTGCACGGGGCTAAAGAGAAATCCAAAGCAGCCAGCGGGATCCATCCATCCAGCAGGGAGAGGTTGTGCGCAGCCTGTACACTGCTCTTTGAGGCTGGGGGGGGGAGAGATTTTTTTATTGATTTCCCCGTCTAAAAACTAGGTGCGCCCTATGGTGCAAAAAATACGGTACTTGCGAACAGGATTTGAATTTTGAATTTTGAATTTTGAATTATGAAGGAATTAGAGTATGGATGTGTTGGTATAAGAAATGGAATGCAATGAGCAGCAGAGGAAAACAGTGGAAAATGGGGCAGGAAGTTGAGCAAGTACATAAGTGTGTGATGATAAGTGTGATAAGTGAAAAGAAAAAGCGATAACGATATCGTCTGTAACAATAACGGTATATCGACTATAACGATAATGATATCGATATCGCCGATAACGATAACTCTATCGTTATCGTTACCGGCGATGTCGATATCAACTATATCGATATCGTCGGTGACGCTATCTATATTGACGATAACGATATCGTTATCATCAATATCGATATCGATAACGTAATGATGTAATAACGTAATAATATGAGTATATGAGAATGACAGGTGTCCAGCAATGGGTGGGGTGGGGGTGAAGAAGCTCCAAGGGGGCGCTTGTTTCCCCCTCCCTTCCCGCACTGGCACCGCTGCCTCCTGCCCTTGGTGCTTACAGGTGGGAACGAGCACCAAATACGGCGGACAACAACTCCCAGGATCCACTTGCGCTGCCAAAGGCGAAAGAAGGAGGCGGTGGTGCCGCGGTGCCCTTCGGGATCTGTAGTTCTCACGCCTTCCAAGGGAATGCCCTGCCGTTAGGCGCCCTGCGGACGGCGCAGCGGGTGGGCTGGAGAACTACCGATCCCGTCAGGCGTCGCGGCCCTTTTAGGCGGGAGCCAATCGCGGGACGCTCCGCGGTCGCGCGGGTTGCGCGTCATGCCTCGAGCGACAAGGACCAGGTGGCTCGGCTGGGCATTCACGCGGAGGTCAGCGCTGCGCTGCGAGGTGAGAGTCGAGCGCGGGAGGCGAAGGGCCTTGGCACGCCAGCGCCCTTCGCGCCCCGAGCCCCGGGAGGCTTGGCAAACGGTGCTTGGCACGCCAGCGGCTGCAGAAAAGGAAGAGAAAGGGAGGGGAAGATAGGGAAACGGAGCTGGAAGAGCGTGGAGGTTAATTAGTGGCAGAAAGTAACGAGGTAAAGTAGGAAAGGGAGAAAGGTGCTGAGGATATTATTATTATTATTTTATATCTATACCGCCCTTCACCCGAAGATCACAGGGCGGTTTACAATAGGAAAACACGAAAATATATAGCATAATTTTAATAATAATAATAATAATTCACACACACCCTCCCCAAACACACACAGTTAAAAAGGCCCTAGGTTGTTTAATTAGGCCTGGGAGAAGAGGAATGCTTTTGCCTAGAGTTAAGTGGAAGGCGGCGATTCCCCTGCCCTCCATCTTTTTGGGGTTTTGAGCAGGAAAAGGATGTGCAGTATCTGTCATAGAATTGTAGAGCTTCATTCAGTCCAACCCTTGCAGTGCAGGAATCTTTTGCTTAACGTGGGTCCAGAACCCGCAACCCTGAGATTAAGGAGTCTCGTGCTGCAGCAGCAGAGCTCTCAAAATTGGTAAAATTAAAAAGTAAGCAGCGGTAGAATATAGTGATGGTGAGAGAGGGTGGGGGATTGAGGGGAGAAGGAGGCGGGTAATGCAAGGCTGGGAAAGGCAGTGGTCCCTGAAAAGGGGGAAATATGGGGTTGAGGTGAGAGACGAGTGTAGAAAAAGCGCAGGAAGCTTCTGTTCAAACTGTGTTCCAGATGCCTTGGAGTGCATTGCAAGCTGGGGGGGGCTGGGGGGGCTTAGAATCATAGGATTGGAGAGATGGAAAGTACCCTGGTGGTCAAATCCATCCCCCTGCAATGGTATCTTTTGGGAAGCTGTTTCGCTGAGTTGTCTAATGCTGCTGCATCTTTCCTTTATGTTTAAGTAGGTGCGACTTTTTCGGCAGCACAGGAGGCGGATTTGAGCTGACACCGATGGCTACCAAGATCTTTGAGACAATCGGCAAACTTGGCCTGGGGCTGGCAGTTGCCGGCGGAGTCGTCAACTCTGCTCTTTATAACGGTGAGGAGGCCTTTCCTTCCATAACACTGAGCTGTTGCATGACTGACTACTTTTGTTTATCTGGAATTATTCAGGAGAGCCCAAAACAAACCACACCCTCTCATGATTTTTCCTATGGAATAAGATGGGAGTCTACAGGATCCTATCCTTTCCCACAGGCTATGTAGCAGTGATTTTTATAGAAAATACGAGGGATCTAGATCCTCACCTGCAGTCGGAAAATAAAAACAAGGCACAACAGTGGATATACAGATACGGTATTTCTCCTTAATATGGTCTACAGCAGCGGTAGCTAAAATGGTGCCCTCCAGTTATTGTTGGATTCTGGCTCCCGTCAGCCCCAGCCAACAGAGGGAATGGTCAGGGCTGATGGAGTTGTAGTCCAGAAAGATCTAGAAAGGAACCACCACGTTGGCTACCCCTGGTCTACTGGTGCGATAGGAGACATTCCCAAATGCTTTGGCTGCAACCAGCCTAATTCCCTATCTTTCTTGTGGATCACTTGCGTTTTGGTAGCCGTTGAGTTCATCCAACTTAGGGCAGTGCTGCTGGCTTCACCTGGTTCTGTAATTTTGTAGTGGGGAGAAGGAGGAATGTGCTTATTTAGTCCTATTTACTAATGGCAAACTCATCTCTGAGCACCAGCCCTTATCTCGCCAAAGTGGCATGTTCCGCACACAAGAAAGGTGGCTTGGAGAAACGCCAAGGCCTGCAGAAGTACAAAAATATATTTGGGGACTGAGCGTGCTCAGTGTGCATAGAAGGCTTGGTGAATGGAATGACATACCTTGGAAGGGGGCATGGCTGGTGGAACTCTAAATCAGGGTGGATAAAAATCAATGGGTTTTTTTAAATTAAAAAATTGATTAAAAAAAAATTAAATCAGATTTTTTATTATTATTATTTAAATCGGATTTTTAAAATAAAATGCTTTTGGAGGAAAAATCTTTCTAAAGATAGTTTTCTATTTAAGTTATATTATAGTCCAAAGGCTATTCATGAGGAAATAAGGATTTGTTTTAAGTTTTTCATGTGTGTTAAAACTCAGTCTAAGGTGGTTGTTGTTGTTTTTTAAAAAAACCACATCAGTTAACAAACATGGATACATATGCTACAATGTTATTGTTTTAGTTAAATAAATTGTTACTAATGATCATTTTTCTCCTTCCAATAAAGTACAGCAGAAAATTTGTCTATATATAAACAGTTAACTTATTAATCCTTACAATAATTTCATAATTATCTGTCTATGTATTTCTAATAGTATAACCAAGTCAGTAATTTTTGATATAACTTTAAAACTACTCTGAAAAGTTATTATTCCAAAAATGGAACCTTCCTCTGGTTGTAAATATTAAGATTATACCAGCAAGAATGAGTCTTTCTGTTAAAAAAAATAATGATTTAAATCAAGTCTTACTGACTAGTGATTTAAATCGTGATTTACATCTATTTTATTTAAATCAAATCCCTGCTCTAAATCAAGCACTCCACAAAACAACTTTTTGCAGGACCTGTTTGGCCCATATGTAATGTTAATATGTGTAGTTTTATTAAATTTCTGAAATTTTACACATAAAATTCCAATACCTTTAAAAAAGAAATTTCTTTTCTATTTTTGACTTCCCAACCCGTTTTCCATGATGTTTTCCTTTTCACCCCCTTTGCTGCACTCTATCCGCACTCTTTTTATCATAGTCCTCCTAGCACAATAGTTTCTAATCCTTTCTTTTACTCATAACTCAAAACCTGTTTGCGGATTCTTCATGTTGTAAAATTTCTTCAAATAATCCGAAAAGGTTTCCATTCTTCAGGCCCATTTGTATTCTTTAATGTATTGTCCCTTTAAGAATGCAGCAGTGAGGTGGAAGAAAAAGAAAGGCCAGTCCACCAAGGGAGTAATGGGTGGTAGTGGGGATGTATTGGTAAGTGTTCGGGGATTTGAACATGTGCTGTTCAACTGATTTTTCTTAATGGTTTTTTAAAATGGTTTTTCAGGAGTGTGGATGGTGCAAATGTAAAATTCACATTTCTTGATCTTCCCAGTTTTGGCTCTGGCCCCACTCACCTTTGTCATGTGCCCCCCCCCAAAAAAAAAAAGTTGCCTGGAAGAACGTGTAAATGATCCAGGTTTATTGGGCATAGCGATCGTCACACAATCATTCAATATTTCTTCTTTGGTTTTGAGTGCAATGTTGCTGAGCTGTTTCTCTCTTCTGTAGTTGACGCAGGCCACAGGGCTGTAATCTTTGACCGATTCCGAGGCGTCCAGGACATAGTGGTGGGAGAAGGGACCCATTTTCTCATTCCCTGGGTGCAGAAGCCGATCATCTTTGACTGCCGCTCTCGCCCACGTAACGTTCCTGTAATCACTGGCAGCAAAGGTGAGCAGTGGGTGGATGCAGTTTTTTATCCTCTGGACTCAGGAGTCGGTAGTTGGGTCTGGGTAACGGGAAACTAAACACAAAGGCGAGCCGCCCTAACTACAAACCAGCTTCTGACCCCAAATGCATCATTTTTAGCAGCAGCTATAAAGGCTGCTTTAAAATTGAGAAAGAAGCACATCCATTTGAATGTGTCCTTTTCCATAATGTTGCACGTAGTCATAGCAAGGGGTGTGTGGGGTGTTAGAGGAGGGGTAATACCTCTGATGGGACGCGTGTGGTGCTGTGGTCTAAACCACTGAGCCTAGGGCTTGCCGATCAGAAGGTCGGCAGTTTGAAGTGAGCTCCCGTTGCTCGGTCCCTGCTCCTGCCGACCTAGCAGTTCGAAAGCACGTCAAAGTGCACGTAGATAGGTACCGCTCTGGCAGGAAGGTAAACGGCGTTTCCGTGCGCTGCTCTGGTTCGCCAGAAGCGGCTTAGTCATGCTGGCCACATGACCCGGAAGCTGTACGTCCGCTCCCTCGGCCAATAAAGCGAGATGAGCGCCGCAACCGCAGAGTCGGCCACGACTGGACCTAACGGTCAAGGGTCCCTTTACCTTTACCTAATACCTCTGGTAGGGGACACGTCATACTCCTCCTGGGGTGGTTTGTCCACCTTTGGTCCCCACCTTGCACCCAGCTCTCACCCAGGGCTCCTAGAAGATGCTAACTTGCAATAGCAGCCACACCCCGAGAATGGCTTCGACTGGCCAGCTGAACCAGGTGAGGGTGGTCGGTGGGTCTCAAAACCTCGGGGAGCTAGGGACTTCCCCTGCATGCGAAGACAAGCTCCGGCAGATTGATCAAACAAAACCAATACAGTGGAACCTCAGGTTAAGTACTTAATTCGTTCCGGATGTCTGTTCTTAACCTGAAACTGTTCTTAACCTGAAGCACCACTTTAGCTAATGGGGCCTCCTGCTGCTGCCGTGCCGCTGGAGCACAATTTCTGTTCTCATCCTGAAGCAAAGTTCTTAACCTGAAGCACTATTTCTGGGTTAGCAGAGTCTGTAACCTGAAGCATATGTTACCTGAAGTGTATGTAACCTAAGGTACCACTGTAGTGGATCCGACAATCAAGAAGGCAGTTTCTGCACAAGCTGTAGACGGAAGTGAGGGGCAGATGGGGCTTGTCAACCTGGGTGGGCAGCCCATCTAGGAAAAGGAAAACTCTGATCTTAAACCACCGCTGCCTTTGAGGGACATCTTCAGGAGAAGAAAGGGCTAAGGAGTAAACCCTACACAAATTTGGAGTGGAGTCCCTAAGATGGTTGAATGGCACCTTGTACTGCTCCTTCTGGCAGCAACTGCAGCCAAGCTGGTGCCAAACATATTGTTCTGCTTTCCTTTGGACCACATCAGCGAGGCGTCTGGGCAGCCCAAGAACTCTGTACGCAATGCCCTGGCTTATACACCAGGGAGCTCACTTTGTTGCTGCTGACACAGCAGTTTGACCACCCCTGGAGGTGCGCTCCATTGTCTCTCAAGACAAACGGATGCCAACAGCAACAGTCATAGCCATCTCAGTGCTGCTGCTTATGTATCCAAAGTGGGGGTGGCATTAGCAAGTTTGTGGGAAGCCCCAAGGTTTGCAGAAGTGCTGTATTTTTCGCTCTATAGGACACACTTTTTCCCCTCCAAAAATTAAGGGGAAATGTGTGTGCGTCCTATGGAGCGATTGCAGGCTCCTTGGATAGCCGCCTGAAGCCTTCGGAGCGCAGCGCGAGTTCCCACTGCGTTCTGGAGGCTTCAGGTTCCTTTCGCTGAAGCCAGGAGAGTCTTGCTCTCCTGGCTTCAGCTAAAGGAACCTGAAGCCTGTGGAGCGTAGCGGGAACTCGCGCTGCGCTCCAAAGGCTTCAGGGATAGCCGCGCACAGCCCCTCCCGCAGGGTGAGGTTGCGCGCGGCTAAAGAGGAAGCCAAGACAGCCAGCGGGATGGATCCCACTCACTGTCTTGGCTTCTTTGCTCTTTGGGGCTTGGGGGGGAATAAGATTTTTTTTTTCTTGATTTCCCCCTCTAAAAACTAGGTGCGCCTTATGGTCCGGTGCGCCTTATGGAGCAAAAAATACGGTACATAAAACCTTTAGAATCCTCTCTTCCCAAGAGCTCACTGAGCAGTGAGTGTTCTGAACAGGATATTGGACTCTGACCAGCTGTTGCTTTTGGGGAGGGGGCACGAACTGAGAACTGGGAGTGGGGGACAGAGTTTGGAATCCTCGATGCCAGCAACATTTTGTTGCGGGTCCCACCTGCAAACCCCTAAAGCAGTAGTGGTGGAATTTGTGCCGCCGCCAATCCAACTTAACATTTTGACCTTTAGTACTTGCTGAGACTTGTTCCTGCTCTGACCGTCTCCCTGCTTCCCTCCCCCGGTAGATCTACAGAACGTGAACATCACACTAAGGATCTTGTTCAGGCCGGTGACCATGCAGCTTCCCCGGATTTTCACCACGATCGGCGAGGATTACGATGAGCGAGTGCTGCCTTCCATCACAACTGAGATCCTCAAATCTGTGGTGGTAAGGGCCAAGGAACAGCTGGTGATATTCCTCTTTTCATTGGAAGCCTCTGGCTTCATTAATACTGGAGCCCTAAATGGCAGGGCTGGGGAACCTTGGACTACAGCTCCCATCATCCTTGACTGTTGATTATGCTGGCAGGGGCTTATGGGAGTTGGAGTCCCACAGCAGCTGGAGGGCTTCAGCTGCCCCTCTTTGGGCCTTGCATTCCTCTTTTCTCATCCTTTGAAGGAAGGAAAAGGGGAGCGGTTGTATTACAAAGCCAAAGGAGAGATCTTAAGGGGTACATGGAGACCAGCAGCACACCTCGGGTCACAGAGTTTCCCATTAGGATTGATCCTTTTGAATACTAACCAAGGGCCAAGCTAGATGTGAGAGGGTTAAACTGCCCAGGTATAGGGCGGTATATAAATTCTAATAATAATAATTAAAATAATAATGGTAGGTGTGGCTGGCCTGATCCAGACCCTGATGTGGGCAGAGGGGCTTTTACCCTGTGCCACTTATGCAGTTCTGATCGAGATCACCTCTTCTCACTGCTTTTCTTTTTAATAATTTTCAATAGCATAAACAGTGTCATGTCTAGCTCAGTGCTAACTAAAGTGGTAAAGGGATGCGGGTGGCGCTGTGGTCTAAACCGCTGAGTCTCTTGGGCTTGCCGATTGGAAGGTCAATGGTTCAAATCCCTGTGGCAGAGTGAGAGCCCATTGCACTGTCCCAGCTCCTACCAACCTAGCAGTTCGAAAGCATGCCAGTGCAAGTAGATCAATAGGTACCACTGCAGTGGGAAAGTAAACGAAGTTTCCGTGCACTCTGGTTTCTGTTAGTGTCCCGCTGCGCCAGAAGCGGTTTAGTCATGCTGGCCACATGAGCCGGAAAGCTGTCTGTGGACAAACACCGGCTCCCTCGGCCTGAAAGCGAGATGAGTGCTGGACTTAACCATCCAGGGGTCCTTTACCTTCTTTTTTTTATTATTTTTTTTACCTTAACTAAAGTGGTATTGGATAATGTCTCAGAGTAATGGAGGAAAAGAGCCGGGAAGGTGTGTTCATGCATTTGCCTGGATCAGAGGATGCTGACTTGGCAATCCACATCCAGCAACGTCCCTTGCAGGCTCCTTAGGGTTATGTTGTAACAAGGGCGCACAGCTTTAACGAAAGCTCTTTGGTTTACTTCCGCATTTATCATTGCTTGTCTCCATTTTAGGCTCGCTTTGATGCTGGCGAGTTGATCACGCAAAGAGAACTCGTTTCCAGGCAAGTGAGCGAAGACCTCACGGAAAGAGCAGCAACTTTCGGCCTCATCCTAGATGATGTTTCCTTGGTAAGAGCTACCTTCTAGTTTGGTTTACAGCAGGGGAAGGAAGCTTGTGGCCCTCTAGACCTCGCTGAACTCCAGCTCCTATCATCCCCAGCCAGCATGGCCAGTAGTCACTGGTTGTAATCCAGCAAATTCTGGAGCAGGCATAGGCAAACTCGGCCCTCCAGATGTTTTGGGACTACAACTCCCATCATCCCTAGCTAACAGGACCAGTGGCCAGGGATGATGGGAGTTGTAGTCCCAAAACATCTGGAGGGCCGAGTTTGCCTATGCCTGTTCTGAAGGATCACAGGTTTCCTACTCTGACTTTAGGGACTGGACCCTTCAAATTCCATTCTCTGCACCACAAAATCTGCAGTGATAAAACTTTCAGGGTAGAGCAAGCAGAAGATTTGGATCGGGGGAATATTTACTGCTGAAAAAAATATGTGTTTATTCAGAAGCTGTTAGGTTTGTGTCTTATTTTCTCCAGGGTTAAATGGGTTAGTGATTTTGCTTTTCACCTGCCAGACATGCAAACCTTAAGGCCATGGTTAGCCCTTCCAATACCGCAAACCAATAGTAAGGTCTCGATCGTGAATTTGGTCAGCTACTGCAGCCGGTTTGCATAATTCAGGCTGAGGTTGTGTTTTGATCCTTAAAGTGGGCCTATGGGCCTTCAGATGTTGTTGGACTGCAATTCCCATCATGCCCAACCATTTGCAGTGCTGCTAGGGGCTGATGGGAGTAGGAGTCTTAACTATCTGACAGGTCACGGGTTCCCCATCAAAGGGATGCTCAAAGTACAATTGGGAGAAGTGAGCAAGCTTGGGGGCTCCCTCTGCTGGATGCAGTGAGAGGTTTGGGAGGCTATCGAGGTGCCAACAAAAGCAACACAAAATTCTCAAGTCCCTCAGTGGCGTCGCTGTCAAAACTCCAAAGCTGTTACCACCAAATGCTTAGGAACCTTCACAATTGAGAGCCAGGATATATCTATATATAGATATATAGAGATGTGTGTGTGTGTGTGTGTGTGTGTGTGTGTGTGTATATTTTCCATCTCTGCTTCCAGCAATGTGGAGGAAGGCCAACATTTCACCAGTAGAAGATTCTAGAACAGAGCTTTCAAAACTGTGTCACAACATGTTAGTGTGTCAGCTGCGGTGTGTAGGTGTGTCACGCGAACGCACCCCATGCTCCTCCCGGGGCTGGAAAGGGGTTAGTTTAACCTCCTGTTTGCTAGTAAAACTGAATTACTGTGTCACGAAACAATGCATGTCTAAAAAGTGTGCCACCAACATGAAAAGTTTGGAAAGCTCTGTTCTAGAATATGGTATACTCTGTTTCTCTGGCTTTGCAGTGTTGTTTGCCTGTAAGAATGCAAGAACTCAGCCAGCCACCAACAACAGGGGTGCAGTAGTCCTATGATTCCAAAAAAAGGAGAAGAGGGAAAAGTTGTGAATAATGTACTGAAGAGCTTTTCAATAATTTTTTATTTTACAAGTAACAAATTTCATAATAGCACAGCAAAACAAACATATAACAACATAAAACCCCCACCCCCATATTTCAATACTATAAATTTAACAAGATTGCTTAAACAACATGCAACATCCAATAGAAAGTAGAACAGGGAGAAACACACACAGCATCCAATAGGAAAAAATGCTCGATTGAACTGAATTTTGAGATTTGGCTTTGCATCGCAGTCATTGATAAGGCTGATGAAGTTGATGGGTCCAGCAACACCTAGATTGCCCATTCCTACTTTGGAACAGCCTCCTAATCCCAGTACCCTGATATAGCTAACTGAAAGTGCATAGGACTGAAATAATCACATATTCTTCCCCTAATTTACTTCCCTACCCCCTTCATCACCCCACCTTCCTCTGTTGTTTGCCTCTGTGTGTTTTTTTTCTTCTTTTCTAGACTGTAAGTCTTTTGGGGCAGCAGAGACCTGTCAAACCTGTTTGTAAAGTACCAAGTCTGTAGATGTTGCTAACCTAATCAATTAAAAAAACCAGCAGCCAATGCAGTACATCTGTTAAGCCAGTGGTGCTTAAATGAAACCTGCATATAAGCTGTGGACCTTACCTCCTTTTGGGACTGATCATGTTTCTCCAGATTTGGTGCCTACTTTACCGTCTTTTCAGCACTGGGTTAAGGCATATTTTTATTTACCCAGGCATTTTTAATTTCTATAATCCCTTGGCCGTCTTTGTAATTACTTTGTGTTGTATTATGTTTCAATTAAGCCTCTTGTACATCTCCTGCCCTGGGAATCTGTTTGGAAGTAAGACAATAATGTTTTTTGAGCACGTGCATTTATTCTTCGCTCTTAGACACATCTGACATTCGGAAAGGAGTTCACGGAGGCAGTAGAAATGAAGCAAGTCGCACAGCAAGAAGCAGAGCGAGCCAGATTCATCGTGGAAAAGGTGAGGATGTTGAGCTTGCCAGCTGGCCTCAACATCTGTCGTTGTTTCTTGCCAATGCAACAACCGAGGTGGGGTTTTTTCACCTCATTCAATGTTCCACTTACTTCATGTTCTGCAGAACCCATCCCTTCCAATGCACTGTTTCCTGTGTTGCAAATGCTTTAGAGCAGCTTTGGGGAATCCGTGGCCCTCCAGATGTTGTTGGACTACAAATGCCATCAAGCCTGGCCATTGTCTGGAGCTGATGAGAGTTGGGAGTGAAAAAGGATTTGGAGGGCCACAGGTTGCCCACCCTTGCATAAGAGACATCAGAATCCTCTGGGATCAGACCAGAGGCATCCTATTTCCTGCAGTACCAGCCAGATGTTCTCTGGGAAACCTACAAGCAGGAGAAGAAAGCAACCGCCATATCCTGTTTTTGCTCCTCAGCGAGTGGAACTGCTTCTTGAAATCTGGAGGTTGCCTGTACCTGCCATGACCCATAGCCACTGTAACAGATTTACAGCATGATCCTAAGCATGTTTACTCAAAACTAAGTCCTACTGAACTCAGTTGGGCTTGGATTGAAGCCTTGGAAGACTCCATGAATTTGTCTTAACTCGTTTTTTGAAGCCACCTAAACTGGCCCTTTTCATTTATCTCATTGACAGGGACGCGGGTGGCACTGTGGGTTAAACCACAGAGCCTAGGACTTGCCGATCAGAAGGTTGGCAGTTCGAATCCCCGTGACAGGGTGAGCTCCCGTTGCTCGGTCCCTGCTCCTGCCAACCTAGCACTTCGAAAGCACGTCAATGTGCAAGTAGATAAATAGGTACCACTCCGGTGGGAAGGTAAACGGCGTTTCTGTGCGCTGCTCTGCCTTGCCAGAAGCGGCTTAGTCATGCTGGCCACATGACCCGGAAGCTGTACGCCGGCTCCCTCGGCCAATAAAGCGAGATGAGCGCCGCAACCCCAGAGTCAGCCACGACTGGACCTAATAGTCAGGGAACCCCTTTACCTTTAAACTGGCCCTTTTCATTTATCTCATTGACTGTCCTGTAAAATAGGCTGGGCTGTGAAAGATGGTGACTTGCTTGGCGCTGCCTAGGTCAGCAATTGGAGCCTGGTCTCTTTTTCTGACACTCCTATGGCTACTGAGCATGCTGAGCCATCACTGAGTGTATCTGTGCATGCAAGTCTGCAGATAACTGCTGCAACTCTGGTTATCTTGGGTGCCTGTTTTTGGTTGCAGTTCTGTCGGCATGCGCCACCTGAGTTCATTATTATTGGGGGCACATGACCTGTTTATCAGCACTGCCTTTGACCAAAGTTCACTGTCTGTATCTTCTCTCTATCCCTCCCCCCCCCCCAACCCGGTCCCCTTCACAGGCAGAGCAGCAGAAGAAAGCCGCTATAATCTCAGCTGAGGGGGATTCGAAGGCAGCTGAGCTCATCGCCACGTCGCTGTCTTCAGTGGGCGACGGCCTCATTGAGCTGCGCAAACTTGAGGCAGCCGAAGACATCGCTTACCAGCTCTCGCGCTCCCGCAACATCACCTACCTGCCCTCAGGACAGTCAGTGTTGCTCCAGCTACCACAATGAGTGTCCTGACTCTCCCCATCCCCATGTTATTTTTCTACTATTCCCTTGAAACTTAACAGATGAGTCAAAAGTATATAATCACTGAGGTTTCCCCATCTGGGGGTTGACAGACAGCAGGAAATCAAATGGATTTAAAATCCCTCGATCTAATTAAGGCAATCTCCCTTTCCCACTCTAGAATATAATTTTTAGCAGATCAGTGCTTGGAATAAAAGCTATAAAGGAGTGGGGGGTGTTTGTTTTTGTCCACTGGGAAAGCCTTTTGTTTTGGTAAGACCTTGCTATAGCAGCCTGCGGTCTGTGTAATCGGAACTAGGCCAACTTTGGTTTGCTGCTGTTTATGGAAAAGAGAAGGGTTTTTTTTTCCTTGCCCCACCTTCTTTCCTGCCAGATCTAGTGTCATACAGGTAGCATATCAGCTCCTCTTCCTGGTTTATTTCTCCCTAATGTCTGGTTCTGCAGTAATGTTTCAGACTGCAACAGTGCAGATCTAAAACACCTGATTTAGTTTCAGTTCTGTATAGATCTGAGATTATAATGTTCCCATATGTGGAATTACAGTTCCTGGGGACAGCTCTCTCTCTTCTCCGTAGCTTGTATCTGACCTTGTGCAGAAAAAGGCTGACCTTTTAGGCAGCAAGCATCTATTCCACATGTCTCAAGGCCCAACTTTAAGAGGGGTACTTATTCCACTGATAGGCTGCATTCATGAGTGTGTTATTGGGGCTCTTTTAATTGAAAGATGTTCACTTTAACAGTGAAACTGCAAAATATGAAATTGTACTAACCAACCTTCAATAAATGAACAAATAAAATGCCCCTTCTTAACTGTGTGGTTTGTATTTAGCATGTGGACAGTGTTACTAAAATTTATGGTTGTGTTTGCTTTTCACAATTTGCATTTTCCATCAGAGGTGGGGAGGAAAGTCTAGCGAAGAAATGTTATGTGTGGATGGCAGATTGGGACTACAACTCCCATTAACCCTCAGCCAGGATTGTCAGTGATTGGGGATGGTGGCAGTCGTAGTCCAACAACATTTGGAAGGCGCCGTGTTGACTATCTTGCACTCAGTTAGTCCCAGGAAAGCCTCTAAAATCTTACAGCTGGTTATGCAAAGGTGAGCAAAAAAACAGGATTCCCCACCCCGCTGCTGCCCGGTTACTGAATTTAGTGTTCATTTGAATGTTAAAGGGCAGGACCTGCATTTGAATTGTGTGATTGACACATGTCTGGAACATAGCAAATCAGATTCTGGGAAAGATGCACATCAAATTAATGCTTAGTTTCTAAATGTGTTTCGTTCATGGGCCTCCTTATATTTCCACAGAAGCAGGTTTCTTTAAATTATATCCAACTATGTTCTCCTCAGAGTAAACCCCTTGAAATATTTGGGCCTAGGTTAGTCCTCTTCATTTCAGTGAGTCTACTCTGAGGAGAACTAACATTGGATGCATATGTTAAGACCACTGGAAGAAAAAGATGTCCTGCCCAATGTTTTTTGAGACATGGCTAGGCAATAAATTGAGAAGCTTGTATAGCATTAAGAACAAGGGCAGTAAGGTAATTGAAGCTAGGTGCTGTTCACTGGCAGAGTCAACAGATGATTCCTGCCACAGGCCAATGTTACATTCTGGGCTGGCACTCAGAGCAGCACGTAGCAGCTGGATCTAGCCACTCTTTAAATTCCCCACAATGCCCTGGGCCTAGCATTGTTCTGGGGCATTATGGGAAATTAATGTGATGGCTGGAGTTAGCTGTCCAGCCCTGCTTTGCCACCGCAGCCAGGGCTCACTGACGGAAGAGATGACTCACCAAAACACATTTTGCCCAAGGCCCCCCTCAAATCTGCCTTGTAAGTTGAAACGTATGTTCAAAGTGTTGCATGGTCAATTTTGCAGTGCTTGTTTTCACAAGGCTGTTTTTGGCTGCCTACAGTGCCCCCACCTTTGATCTCAATTTTCACATGAAAGGACATGTCACCTGGGCAGAGAAAGAAAGGGAAACTGCATAACAAACCCACACCTGTTCGCATACTGCAGCCATTTGCCAACACACAGAGCGACACGCCTGCCCCTCAGCTGCAGATCTTAATCGGGACCGTGATTTCCCTGTTGGCACTGGAGGCTGAAGATGCCTAATCTGCTTTCCACATAGATGCTCCCTAGCCCTCGGAATATTTCTCATGGCATTTTTCTCCCCAGGCATCCTGGCTGCAATCCCAACAGATAATCTACCTTCCATATCCTCCCTGCGGTTTCACTTGGCAGCTGCTCCAAGCTTCAGTTCTTGCCGTACGTTGCCGCATATACTTGACTTCCAAGAAGCAACGATCCCACTCTCATGCCAATGCGCAGGTGGTGTGAGAGTGTTTCTTCACCTGCAAATGTAGAAGCTGCGAGGCAGTTTGGAATGTGCTTTTGGATGCAGCGGGTGGAGAACGTCTGCATACCAACCTCACCATGATCTGCTCTCGGGGGAACACAGAAAGCAGTTGTTTACCAGGTCAGATATTCTTTTACCATCTAGTCCAGTGTTGTCCAGGCATAGCCAACTTGGTGCTCTCCAGGGGTATTGGTTTACAACTCCCGCCAGTCCCATCCAGAATGGCCTATGGCAGGTCCAAAGTCCGCTTCGGGGGCCTAATCTGGCCCGCTGGTCGGTTTAATCCAGCCCCTGTGGCAGTTTATTTCCTGGGGCAAAATCCTAAAAAAACCTCCACAGCTTCAATCCTAAAAGAATCTCAAAGGAGCTCAACAGCTCCACCCCCTAAAAAACCTTTAAAAATTTCAACAACTTCAATCCTAAAAAAAGCCCAACAACTTTGGGGTAAAATCATAGAAAAAGCTCAACAACTTTTCAATCCTAAAAAAAAGGTCAACAACTTTGGTTGGCCCTTTGGTCAGCCCCCACGGCCCTTCACTTCATCAAATCTGGCCCTCTTTGAAAAAAGTTTGGACACCACTGGCCTATGGTCAGGGAAGATGGGAGTCACATTTCAACAAAATTCCCAGGGCTACCCCTGATCTACTCTGTATGGCACTGGCTCTCCAGGGTTTGTGGCAGGTATCCCAAGTAACAATAAAAAAAGATAGTACTTAATTATTGTTGACAGTATTCAATACCAATATGGGGGCCAGGAGAGAGCAAAAGGGATTATATGATAGGTAAGCATTTCCAAAATATTTTTGCTGTATTGTTTACATTCCACTTTTCCTCCAAGGAGCTCAAGGTAGTACATGTGGTTCTCCCCTCTCCACTTTATCTTCATAACAACCAGTGCTATTTTTCTAGAAAGAAAGGTGCCAGAACTCGCCATGAATGCCTCCCTTGTTCTCTTATAATGGCAATGGCGTCCACCTGGAAGGTGTCGGAACTGAGTTCTGGCAAGTTCTGGCTGAAAAAAAGCCCTGTGAGATAATTCAGTCGACGGTGATTGGCTCAAAATTACCCAAAGAGCTTCATGAATAAAAGGAGATTTGTACACCAATCTCTTAAATCCTAATCTTACACACTAACCACGACACCATACTGACTGAATACATCCATCAATGCTGGGGAAGGGACAGCACAACCCCCTTTCCCACGGCCTGCCCTGACCCATTTGTCTTTTTAATATTTGTGTTATTAGTCACTGAAGTTTGTTCACTAAAAAGATGAAGCTGGCGATGATAATGATTATATAAAATCCTGCTTAAATATCAAACAAGTATATACAAATATCTTTGTTATGCCATATGTAGGTCAGCACCAAGTCTACTCAGTCAAAAGGTTTCCACATATGGAATTCAGCCAGCAAGGGTTGTGCACACGCATAATCTGCCACCGAAGATACAGTGGTGCCTCGCAAGACGAAATTAATTCGTTCTGCAAGTTTTTTCGTCTTGCGAATTTTTCGTCTTGCAAAGCACGGTTTCCCAAAGTCTTCAAAATCACCAAAGTCTTCAAAAACCTAAAAAAGGGCTACCACACCGCGTGCTATGAGTTGCTCCTCGAAGTCACCCTGGGTATTAACGGTTTTAAGAAAAAGGAAACAAACTTGCAAGACGTTTTCGTTTTTCGTCTTGCAAAGCAAGCCCATAGGGAAATTCGTCTTGCGAAGCAACTCAAAAAACGAAAAACTCTTTCGTCTTGCGAGGCATTCGTCTTGCGAGGTACCACTGTACCTTAAATCAAAGTTGTGGTGATGGTTCCTGATGTCATGGAGCAGTTTTTGTCTATTGTTAGATGCCCCTGTACCTGTTTGTTCCTGAGGATGTTTTGGTCTACATTTGAGGACTTAGCCTTTATAAAAAAATGCACAGATTTGGGTAACACCTTGGCATGACGGTTCTTGAGACACACCCAGTCACTGTTCACGGAAAGAATAATAAAAAGGGGGAGAATAAAAGACAGACTAGAAAAGTGTCAACCACCACCCCACTACCTTCAATAAAGCATTGTTTGTATGCTGCATACATTTCTACCTTCTATTTTTCAAAGCTGATTTTCCCTTGGTTTCTAGGTCCGCTAAGCCTAACAATCCTGGTATTTATGTTGGGATAGAGTAAAACAGGCATAGGCAGACTCGGCCCTCCAGATGTTTTGGGACTACAATTCCCATCAACTGGTCCTGTTAATAGGGATGATGGGAGTTGTAGTCCGAAAACATCTGGAGGGCCGAGTTTGCCTATGCCTAGACTAAAATGAATGACAAGAATGCCCACTGGAAATAACGGCAGCGCTTTCTTATGGGAGCTTAGGATGCTGCCTTGCACTGAGTAGAAGATAGTGGCCTATCTAGCTGACAGTCATCTATGCTCACCCGCAGTGATTATTCAGAATTGCAGACAGGATTATTTCCCTAGTTACCCGGCAGTGCTGGAGACTGAACCTGGGGGTTTTTTCTGCACACAAACCAAGAACTTTACTTCCGTGGAGCAGTCATATAAAAAAGGTCATTTGGAGAGCTCATTATTTCCTAAGGGCCTTCAGATAGCTCCCATTGTTTCCAGTGGCAATGGGCATTCTCGTCATTAATTTCCAAAGTGTAAATTGGATTTGTTTTTCCCTCACGGGTAGCAACCACTGCTGCTTTTCTGACTTCATTGTGATATAAGTAAAAAGACTGCTCCATTTCCATTATGGGGTACCCAAGAGCCCATATAGAGTCCTTTTGTAGGTTCTCTCTCGGTAGGAGAAAATAACAGAGACCAACCAGAGAATATTGAGAATTTATTGACTGTTGCAACATGGTGCTCCCCCACATGTAGGAGAGGAGGACGACCTCGAACAATGGCGCGCAAGGCCTTATATAGCCATTTTGAAATTCCCTGCCCTGAAGCTCAAGACCACTCCTCCATACATCATACCTACATCACAGAAAAGCAACAGAAATTTGAATGTTGTTGTTTTTCCTGTCTGCCAGGTTATCTGATAATGCCTTATTTGATTGCCTTTTCTGGTAGTCTGGCCATTCCTTTGGTAATTACTTAATTCCTGAGACAATGGGAAGGTTTTTTCACCTCCTACCTCCTTGCAGAGAAACACTTGTTCAGCTTGGGAGTCAAAATGGTTTCAGGACTGTCCCTCTGCGCTGCTCCAGACACGAGGTTCACACACTCATGTACAGTAGACGCTCAGGTTGCAAATGTGTGGGAAGCACGTTCGCAACCCGCAGCGCCCACAACCCGCAGCACCGTGTCTGCACACGCGTGGGTTGCGATTAGGCGCTTCTGCGCAAAGTGCGATTTAGCGCTTCTGCGCATGCGCCGAAACCCAGAAGTAATCCGTCCCGGTACTTCTGGGTTCGGCGTGGTGCACAACCCGAAATCACACAACCCGAAGCGTCTGTAACCTGAGGTATGACTGTACGTGCCTGCCTGGCACATTTATGAACATTTATTATATACCTAAGACCTTAAAGTTCTTATAACAACTGTGTATATTCCAAATAGCTGGACCTTATCTCTAATTCTGAAATGTAAAGGACTTTAATGGACAAGAGAGAGAGAGCACTTTAACTCATATCAATGTTTAATTATTGTTGTTGTTTTAATTATCCCCCCCATGCTTTTAGTTGCTTTTATGTCTATCTGTAAGTTGTCTTGAGTTCCTGTCAGGGAAAACAGCAGGGTATAAATAAATAAATAATTTTTATTAACAAAATTCCTAAAACATTGATCCACCTTCGCAAAAATTAACTGAAGAGCGTGCATTCTCAGTGCACGGACTCTGAAGTACCTCCGTGCCTTCCCACACTTTCCAACCACCATCAGCAGCTGTGGCATTTATTAAAACCTTCCACAGAAATAGTGGTTTTTTACTTTTTAAATTTTTTAAAAATAAAAATAAAAACCCCGGATCGGTCTTAATGCAGAGAAACAAGCAAACAGACAGACAGACAGACAGAAAGAGAGACGAAGGATAAACATGGAAATGGCGGGATATTATGTTTGCTATTAACATATATATTTCAGTGAAACTAGCAGAATTTCGTAGCTGCCCCTGAGCACGCATGCTCGGATGGCTCCCTCCTTCCCTCCCGCACCGTTTTGTTTTGTTGGCCCTCGGCCCCGCCCCTTCCTCCCGTCTCACCTGAGGCGGTGAGAGCAGCAGAGCGCGCGAGCGCGGAGACGTTGATTCCTACCACGCACGCGCCGCCGTCCAAGCCACCCAGCCAGCCAGCCAGCGTTCGAGGGTGGAGGGAAAGGAACGGAACGGCCGCGCTTCAGAAAGCGGCGCTCGCGCCTATTGCGCGCGCAGGTTACGAGCTGGGCGAGGGGCGGGGCGGCGAAAGGAGTAAAGGGGGAGGGGGGGAAAGAGGGAAGCCGCCGCGCGTTCTCGCGCGAAGTCCTCCTCAGGCGACGACAGCGACGACGCAAGCGCATTCGCTGTCTTCCTTTACGACGAGCCAGCCAGCCAGTCAAGCCAGCCAGCGACGCTGAAGGAAAAGCGAAGAGAGAGAGCGCGCGCGGGGCGGAGGAGGAGGAGGAGGGGGGAGGGTGTTGCGAGTGGAGCGGGCGGTGCAGTCGCGAGGCTGAGTGTCTGACTGACTTTGGTTGGCTACGGCGGCGGCCACGTAGCGCTGCGGCGGCGGCGGCGGCGGCCGCCGAGGGGAGGGCGAGCGACAGGGAGAGCGTCAGTGGGAGCAGCCGCTGGAGCGGCGGGGCCTAGGCCTGGTCCTGAGGCGGCGGCGGCGGACGAGGAGGGGGCTGGAGCCGAGGGGGAGGGCAGGAAGGAAAGAGGGCCCTGGCCGCCCCTACCTTCCCCCCTCCCCTGCCTAGGCATGGACCGCGGCGGCGGAGGAGGAGGAGGCGGAGCGGCGACGGAGGAGCAGCGCCGGTGGCAGCCCCGGAGAGTCCCGGCCTGGGTGAGTCCGTGCAGGAAAAGAGGCCCTCCGGCTGGGGAAAGGGCAGGCCGAGCTCCTCCTGCTCAGCTCCACAGCCTCCTTCTTTTTTGCTTAGTTGTTGGTAACGTGCCTCCCGCTTCGAAGTGCCAACGAGGCCCGGCTGTGGAGCGTCAGGGAGGGGCGAGCGTGCACCTGAGCATGTGCAGAGTGCTCTTGCTTGCTTGGGATCTGGACAGTTGAGATAGTGTCATGGGGGCGGGGTTGGGGTCGGAGGGTTTGGCTGCGGGAGCGTTTCTTCTTTGAAACTGGCAACCTTTTTGGACCACGGAGGAGAAAGGGGGAGAGATTTCGCGGGCCGAGTTTTTTTGGGGGGTGGGGAGCTCAGTTGGTCGAAGAGTCGAAAGTTGAAGGGTGTGTGTGGGTTTTGGAAAGTTGAGGTGGAAGGTGCTTCTTCAGCAGAGAAGTTGGCATAGAGGGGGAACATTTAGTTTGGCATCACTTTAAAGGTTTGGCGTGGTTGGAGGAGGAAGTTGTGCCACCTCCTGAGACAACTCTGATGCTGGGAATATCTCCGTTTAATGCGGATCTTGGGAATTGGGGGAAGGGAAGCAGTGTTAAGAGACTCCTTGCACCCTCGGGTGTTCTGTTACATTAGGTCCGCGAAACAGTAGAAAAGTTAAAAAAAGAAAAAGTTCCAGTACTGAAGTAGAAATGTTATCATTTCCCAACACACAGTGTTCCTTCTCTTCCAAACCACTGCTATTTGAAGTTTGATATTTGATATGATTAAAATCAGGCTGTAAAAATCCAAGATTTCCGATGACCAAACTCCTCATCTGCAAATAAGCCACAGGTGTCTAATGTTTGTAAATTGACTTAACTTCAACCTGTGCATGGTTGGAGCAGGCAGATCAATGTGTTATGTCACACTATTTTCATAAAAACTTACCTGGGAGTATATCTTTGGATGATGTATCTCCATGCAACCTGAATCTAACTCCTAGAAAGTCTGAAAATTAATTGGTTCAGTCCTATTTAAAATCTCATTTTGTAGAAAAAGAAAGTTACACATTTGTTTCAAACATCATTGTTTAAATACTCCCTACTCTTAAAATGCTCCTCTGGTGATAGATTGGAGAATTGTTAGGCTGCTATACAGCAGACTTTTGGAGAGTGTTACTATTGCTCTTTCTCACAAGGATACCAATGGGAGAACTCAGGTGATTTGTGGTGGAGAGCACCATGATGGTACCTGGAGTAAAGCAGGAGAGACAAATGGGATAGTTTTGTTCAGGTGAAATAGGATTCATAAGAAAATAGATGCAAATCTACTGTCCTTCAAATTGTGCGTAATGTGAGAATTAGGTATGTTCATGTAAGCTAGTCTCTGGGTGTCAGTAGTGGTTGCTGAACTTGGGTGGTGGAGTTATTCTGTACTCCAGATAGAAGTTTGTGCAACTAGAAAAACAATTGGAGCTATTTGCATGATGGATGGGGTTTACAGCTTTTGGGATGATGAAGATGGAGAAAGGATCTACTCAAAACCTTCTCGAGTGATGCAGTTAAATGTATGCCCTGCAGAGATTGTTGCACCAACTGAAACTAGGAAGAGATGTGATCAAAATCTGAACCCCTTCTTCTTGTGCCCCCTCCACATGGCTTCCTGTTCGTGGAATGCTGTCACCGGGGAGGCTTGCCTGGCATTTTTATTACATATCTTTAGGCGCCAGGCAAAAGTATTTCTTTATAATCAGGTTTTTGGCTGATTGAACATTCTATGTAGCCTTTTAAATTGGTTTGTGTTAGTTTTTGTTCTGTATTTTATGTTATCATTTTGTATTTGTATGTTGTGAACCACCCTGTGATCTTCAGATGAAGTGAAGTATACAAATAATAATAATAATAATAGTAATAATAATTAATAATGGTGGTGGTGATGGTGATGTTGCTCCTAAACAAGTTGTGGGCCATATCATAGAACTGAATCATAGAATTGTAGTGTTGGAAGGTACCTAGTACAACTCCCTGCAATGCAGGAATATGCAGCTGCCTCATGTGGGGATCGAACCTGCAACCTTGTCATTTTCAGCACCACACTATTCAGGCTAGATATATATTGGGAAGCCTTAGCATCAAGTTTGTTTTGCTAGGTGTAACTGGCTAATGGTAGCAGCTGGCAACAAAGGTTAATGAGGGAAAGAGGAGGGTGGAGAGTTGTGTATGTGCATGCAGGGTTGCATGACAACCCGACTCATGTGGGCATGATCTTACTGCCCTTTACCCCCTACTCTTAATGCAGTATATGGATCACCTAGCAGATAGAATCTATTATGCTATCCCAGATCAGATCCTTCAGCTAAATATCCATTTTACAACACTTTAAATGTATGGAAAAAATCAGTACAACTTAACAGGAAGGTACAGGGATCACTGGATCTTGACTGTTTTCACACACGAATACCGATCCTGTAGAATTCTATCAGTTATATTTTATCTGCACAATCAGAATGAATTTCAGGAACAAAATGCTTTTTCTGTGCAGCTTGAGCAGAAGCAGTGCTATAGTTAATAGTTGCCGCTTGTCTTCACTTACCCCTGCCCACTCCCGTGCTCACAGTTGTGATTAATATTCTTCTGTTATGAATGGTCTGTGTCACCATTAAGGAAAAAAGGTAGGAAGAGTCCAGCATATATGTAGACTGTCCCTGGATCAAGGGACTTTTCTTAAGTTCTCAAAGCTTTTAACCTTCCTCAAGGTTGTCATCTGAACTAGCCAGATGCTTAACTGAGAATCAATCACAGTCAGTCCATCCTTTGAAAATTAAGACTTTAGAGCTATCTTGCCCCGAAACGGCAAGTAGATATTCCTTAAACCTTGGTTTAAGGAGACATTCCTTAAACTCTCATATATAAGTTAGGTTCCAAATGACTCCTTAAACTTTGGTTTAAGGAGTCATTTGAAACCAAGCTTATATATGAGAGTTTCTAACACTGGTAGGTAGTGTGCTGCCTTGGGAGAAATGGAAGTACAGTGGTACCTCTGGTTACAAACACTTCAGGTTACAGACTCCGCTAACCCGAAAGTAGTACCTTGGGTTAAGAACTTTACCTCAGGATGAGAACAGAAATCGCACTGAGGCGGCAGCGAGAGGCCCCAATTAGCTAAAGTGGTACCTCAGGTTAAGAACAGTTTCAGGTTAAGAACGGACCTCCAGAACGAATTAAGTTCTTAACCAGAGGTACCACTGTAAAATAAAAGTCTTTGGGGTAGCAGCTGTTTTCTGTGTCATGGATGTGGGGGGGGGGGAGCAATGATAGGGGGATAATCCAGAATTAGCAGAAAATTATGCTAGCATCTGGATGTTGGCACTAGATATTTCAGCTGCTGCACCTGTGGTAAGTGCTTATTTCCTAGCATACTGGCCCAGGGAATAATTGTACTGACTGCATTGTAGCTGCTTCAGTTTGAGCAATGAGAGGGGAAGAAAGGCTGCACTTGCTGTAATACCTTGTGATCTAAAATAATCCTTCCGAAAGTTTGAGTGTACATTGGTTCTTTGAGGGTGACTTGTATTTACTGAAATGCCTTCTGTAAAGGCGTGTGGGGTTTAAAAATAATAATAGCCTAATTTGTCTAGGAAATTTTTGCAAATTTGTGTCGCAAATAGAATTTTCTATTTTAGCCTTTTTTATTAAAAAAACAACAACACTTTGAGGAAACAAAGCTAAATCTTTGAAACAGCCACGCTTGCCTAATATTGTATTTGCAGTTGGTATCCATTCACTGATACTAATCAACTTATGAAATGGAAACTTTTCCACCAAAAAATAAAGTGCTAGAAAGATTTCCTCTCCATATAACTGCTGCCTTAGCAGAAGCATTCATGAGCTGGGGTGAAATAGGATCGTACTTGGTAGATGTGCCTACTTCAATCAGGACAGGTAGGGATGGGATGAAAAACTGTTTTTTCTAGTGTTTCTTCTAGATCTGGAATACGGTGGGATTTCTTGATGGTGCAAGTGCTGGGAGGATGTGTATGTGCTTGTGTTATTAGGCATGCTGATAACACTCAGACACTCCTAGGGTTACAGATAGTACAGTGTGTATGCCTGGGGTTGTTTTCAACAGGACTGTGTTCAACTTTTGGTCCTGGGAAAGTTTTGGCAGTGTCCATATTCAGACTGTAGTGATTTGAGATAATGTTTTCCATTAATTATGTTGTAGTGTTGTATTTGCGCATTTTAGTTTCTGTTAAGGTACATGGATTGCATAAAACAGTGGTTTAAAATGAGATACAGGGGATGGTTCTGTGTATTAAATTTCCATGATATGCTGAGTGTCATTCCTCTTGTCTTCTCTTCTCTTCTCTCCTCCCTACCTAGGGTGTCCTTAATTGTTCCAGGACTGGCTGTGGTGTATATGTGATTATTGCAAGAATTGAATAGCAGCTTGTGTTGATTTGTGACTGGCCTGTCAGTTGACGTGTCCTCTGCATTCACTCTGGCAAAACTATTTACAGCCAACATTATGCTAGCGTTTGTTGACTCCTGTGCAAAATTAATGTGCGCTACATTATGATGAGTTCATCTTGATAGCATGCGACGGAATTGTAGAAGTCAAAGTAGCTTATAAAAGCAATGGATACGCTGCAGCATGCAGTTATACGCATGCAGATTTTATTGACTTTAACTGTGCATTGTTTTGCATCTCATGTCTCTAACCTAGAGAAACATTGGATCAGCAGAAGGCACAGAATAGTTACTATTCTTATTTATTTATTAAGAATATCTATATCCCACCTTTCCAACTGAATATTGCTCAAGGTGCCTAACGTTCAAAATAAAAATGATGATAGCTACAATTCTGTGATTCTGTGTTGCTGTTGAGTTAATGCGTCCCTTGTCTTCTTTTCTGCAGCAGACCCAAGGTTTACATGATTAGTAAAAGAGACAAGGATCTTGTGAACTGGCTCAAAATCATGCTAGCACCTTGAGGAATCTCATTCTCTATTCCATTAGTCCTTCCTTTCATTATTTACTGGTGCCAGTTAAGACGGTCCTTTTTAACTTACAGGTAGGGTGATAATGATACTTCACAAACTTTTTAAAACTCCAGTTGTCATAGGGCTGAAGCTTATCAATTATTTTACTGTGCAATCACTTCTAGATGTTTTATGGAAAGTGATTCATAAACAGAACCAAAATGTAGTTTATTTGCAGCTGACATAAATACTATAAATTATTGATAGTGTGTATTTTTTTCATAGAATCATAGAATAGAATCATAGAGTTGGAAGAGACCACAAGGGCCATCGAGTCCAACCCCCTGCCAAGCAGGAAACACCATCAGAGCACTCCTGACATATGGTTGTCAAGCCTCTGCTTAAAGACCTCCAAAGAAGGAGACTCCACCACACTCCTTGGCAGCAAATTCCACTGTCGAACAGCTCTTACTGTCAGGAAGTTCTTCCTAATGTTTAGGTGGAATCTTCTTTCTTGTAGTTTGAAGCCATTGCTCTGTGTCCGCTTCTCTGGAGCAGCAGAAAACAACCTTTCTCTCTCCTCTATGTGACATCCTTTTATATATTTGAACATGGCTATCATTATCGCCCCTTAACCTCTTCTCCAGGCTAAACATGCCCAGCTCCCTTAGCCGTTCCTCATAAGGCATCGTTTCCAGGCCTTTGACCATTTTGGTTGCCCTCCTCTGGACACGTTCCAGTTTGTCAGTGTCCTTCTTGAACTGTGGTGCCCAGAACTGGACACAGTACTCCAGGTGAGGTCTGACCAGAGCAGAATACAGTGGCACTATTACTTCCCTTGATCTAGATGCTATACTCCTATTGATGCAGCCCAGAATTGCATTGGCTTTTTAGCTGCCGCGTCACACTGTTGGCTCATGTCAAGTTTGTGGTCAACCAAGACTCCTAGATCCTTTTCACATGTACTGCTCTCAAGCCAGGTGTCACCCATCTTGTATTTGTGCCTCTCATTTTCTTTGCCCAAGTGCAATACTTTACATTTCTCCCTGTTAAAATTCATCTTGTTTGTTTTGGCCCAGTTCTCTAAGCTGTCAAGGTCGTTTTGAAGTGTGATCCTGTCCTCTGGGGTGTTAGCCACCCCTCCCAGTTTGGTGTCATCTGCAGATTTGATCAGGATGCCCTTGAGTCCATCATCCAAGTCGTTGATAAAGATGTTGAGTAAGACCGGGCCCAAGACAGAACCCTGTGGCACCCCACTAGTCACTCTTCTCCAGGATGATTAAACAACTAGGGACTGGCAAGAACTTTTCTTGCCTTTGCATCATCTCCCACTTCCCCTCTTTCTAGTGTGCAGATTCTAGTGTGCTCAACAACTGCAATCCTTAAAAAAGCTCAACAACTTTGATCGGCCCTCACGCACGTTCTCTTCATCAAATCTGGCCCTCGTTGAAAAAAATCTGGGCACTCCTGTCCTATGCGATCCACACATTCATAAGCTTATATCAGGATGGATTAAAAATAGATTTTTGTTAATAATAATAATAATAATAATAATATCAATGGTAGTTTTGTAACAATCAAATAGTGGCAAATTAAAGTGAAATCTGAACTGTTTACAAGCAAATGCTTAAGTCTGTACAGTAGTTTATATTTTATTTATTTAATCATGACTGCTAACAGATTAAATGAAACCAGTTTTCTGTGCATAAAAAGAACTCTGAGGAAAGAGATCTCATTTCTGAGGTTGATCATTATATATAGCACCCTAAATAATACGTTACCTGTTATTGTTGTATTTGTGTTGGGTCCAAGTTATTGCTAAGCATTAGGCTCCATGAGGTGCCCATGGTATAAGCTACCTGGTTTGCCTTCAAAGCCCATATGGGCAGCCTGGTACTCCTGTAGTATTTCAATGTTTGTAATCCTTGTATGACCACACTTAAAATACTGTGAATAGTTTGGGTGCCCAGTCTTCATGAGGATATTGCAGAGCTGGAAAGGTTTCAAGAAAGGGAAATCGAAATTATCAATGGGCTGAAACATCTTCTCGATGAAGGAAGGATACATCTGCAGGGCATGAAAAGAGGTTTATAAAATTTTGTGTGATCTGAAGAAAAGTTTGTAACTGTCTCATTACCAGAACTTGAATGGTCATGATATTCAAGGACATTAATTGATAAAGTTTGCAGCTACTAGATGTGTTAACAGACACTAGCTTAAGTAACTTTTAGAGGAGATAATGGAGGATATGACTAATAGTCATGACGGCTTTAAGTTTAAGATACTTTACTACAGATCTTTACAAACTTTTCATGTTGGTGACACACTTTTTAGACATGCATCATTTCGCGACACAGTAATTCAGTTTTACTAGCAAACCAGAGGTTAAAGTAACCACTTTCCAGTCCTGGGAGGAGCGCAGGGAGCATTCACACAACACACCTAAACACTGCAGCCGACACACTAACGTGTCATGACACACAGTTTGGAAAGCTCTGCTTTACTAGATGGTTTGTTCCTATGATCATGTAAAGGCTCTTACATACGATCAGAGCTCCTCACTGTGTAAGGTTCTGTTGAATTTTAGGCTGTCTTTTAGCTGGTATAGTATCAGTTGTTGGTATCCATGCTTGTTTGGAAAATCTGTGCATTTGAAAATGAGAAACATGCTCTTGATGATTTAAACAACCCATCATTTGTTGTGCACTCAAGCACATTCACCTTTCATTTCAACTCCTATCAGACTTCCAGTTTTGCCTGGCATCTCCACCCTGTTCTGCTACTGCCCACTTTAGGTAAAGGTAAAGGGACCTCTGACCATTAGGTCCAGTCGTGGCCGACTCTGGGGTTGCGGCGCTCATCTTGCTTTATTGGCCGAGGGAGCTGGCGTACAGCTTCTGGGTCATGTGGCCAGCATGACTAAGCCACTTCTGGCGAACCAGAGCAGCACATGGAAACGCCGTTTACCTTCTCGCCGGAGCGGTACCTATTTATCTACTTGCACTTTGATGTGCTTTCGAACTGCTAGGTTGGCAGGAGCAGAGACCGAGCAACGGGAGCTCACCCCCTCGCGGGGATTCAAACAGCCAACCTTCTGATTGGCAAGTCCTAGGGTTAAACCACAGAGCCACCCGCGTCCCTTTACATGTATGGTTATGACCCTATTATTTTCCAGGTATGCATTCTCTCACTGCATTTGTGTGCCCACAGCCATTCATGTTATACTTAGATGGGGCAGAAGAATCAATTCATTTCTCAGTTGGGATGAAAACAAATAGTCATCCTAGCAGCTGTCAGTTAAGTGTTGAATTAATTGTTGAAGTGCTGACACTTATTTTTGAAACGCACACAACTTATTTTCAACACAAAAAATAACTTCCCCTCTTCCCAATTTACAAATAGACTGTAAGTAGAAATTTATGGTTCCTTGGGAAAATCACCTGAAAAAATAATAACTTTGAAATTGCTTGATTTGTCTGGTATTGTGTTACAAATTTTTATCAAGCAATGCATTTTTAGAAATGGGAGAAAAATCAATAGAATATTATATGACATTAGGAAAAAGCTGGACTCTGCAGCCTGTTCAAATTATACATACACAGCAATTATTATTTTCCATAATTTTCTTTCTGTTAGCCATGGAGAGGTAAAAAGGTGAAACCCCACATCCAGCCACTAGAAGCCTCATTCAGCCATCCTTCTGGCTTCTACAATGTCAGCCATATTTCAAGCATATTTATGCAACCCCAAGGGCTCAGAACTTGTTTTTTCCATGAAAGATGAGAGTCTCAAGAAACTGAACTCTTATGCTTGGAGAGATGGTTCATGGAAACATGATAGCAGCTTAGTAAAATGTTCTGTGTGTTAACAATTCTTTTAAGGTTCAGACTGAAGCCTCTCTCAGGCTTTCCTGCTCAGTATGGGAAGGTTAGGCGTGGAGCAGGCAAGAATGGATTGGAGGGGAACTTGCCATTCCCCCTTACACATGTCATCCCTGTACATGTTCATTTCAATGCACGGATAGGATTTCAGGTTTCTGTGTTACTTTGGTCTATTTATTCATCACTGTAGATGGATTTTCATCTTTTTGAACTTTAGTTCAAAACTGACTTACTGAAATTCGTCATGTCTTCAATACATTCAGATTCATATACTACCTTTTTCATCTATTATTCCAGTGTGGCATTCCATGCTTTTATAATGAGGAACAGTGCTATTAGGGTAGAAGATTGAAAGCTTTCACTTTTGGTTTTGAATAAATCCGTTTCCTGATACACAAGCTTTCATTTTTCTTCCTTCATGTGTGGAAAAGGGAGAGAGAGAGCACATGTGGCAGATCAACACAGCTCATTCTTATAACACTGAACGATTAATTAATGAACAGTGACTGAGATTTGTTTCCTTTAATTTCCTTTAATGTATACTTGGGCTGTGTACACACCATACATTTGAAGCACACTCAGAGCACATTCCCACCCCCACCCTCCACGCTAAAAAAATATCCTGGAAGTTTGGTCTTCACGGAGCTACAGTTCCTCAGCACCTGCAAAACTACAGTTCCCATGGTTCTTTGAGTGAGTGTGCTCTAAAGGCATGGTGTATATGCAGCCTTGGTCAAGAATGTCAGTCTTTGTCTTAAGGTGTTTTGTTAATTAAAAAAAAAAGTTTATAATAAAAAGCGTAACTATAGTCAGTAAGCATTGTTTCTTCGCAACCTGTTTTCTGTCCCTGTTCTACTCTAATCTTTTGTATAAAGCATTTGCTGAGGTCTGGTTTAAATGTTTTATCACCCGCCTGATAGATTTTTATTAGGATATTGTGGGTCCTTCATGGAACAGTATATTAGACTTAAATATTCCTTTTCTATACAGTTGCTTTAATATGACTGTCATTGCACCCTCCATTTTAGCAGGAAAATCACAGGCCTGCTCTGCTTGGCACAGCTGTAGAACATTCAAATGCATTAGGGGGAATATATTAAAACCAGTTTTTTAAATGATTGTATCACTTTGAGCTATTTCATGTGTTAGATCTGTAATTCATTCTTTAAAAATATTTTGATGCGTGACTGGAAATGAATTTGTAAAATGGTGGAACTGGGTTTGGTTTGGTGTGACATGAGCTTAGCTTACATAGATTCTTCATCTTATATTTTTCATGAGGTATACACAACTTGACTGCAAAAAGAATGGAAAGGAGACCATACTGATGAGCAGTACCTGGGTGATGACTTGGTCCCATCTGCCCATCTCATCCAGTTTTGCCTCATCTTCTGTTTTCTTTGTTGCCTTCATCCTGCCTTTCACTGTTCCTTGTTCTCTATTCTCTTATCTTAGGAGTCTGACTCTTTCTGCTTTTCTCTTCAGTCGACTTCTGCTATTACTTTCTTCAAGGAACAGGGGGAGTGGTATTCTTGTGACAGTGGCTGCTATTGTACCAATTCTTACCATTGTCTGAGACCTCAGTGCCCCTTTATTTGCATACATTGTTTTTCTAGGCATGCAAGGAGTTGATAGTTGGGAACTGGTGCAATGGCTGACAATTGTTACAATCGTTTTCCCTTTTCTTCGAAAGCAGAGTACTGTACTGTTTTATTCCTTTCTGCAGTTCTCAGAGTGAAGGGTACTTGGGGAGTTTCCAAATGAAAGGATGGTGGTTCCCCAAGCACCTTTTATTACCTTACCTGCCACTTAACTTCAACTTGGATTTGCTCCTGCCCATCAGATGGCAGGGAATGTGTATGGAAATGTGGCCAAATATGTGGAAGAAGCAGCTATTTTGGGGTAAGTGAGAGCCCCAATAACTTTCGCAGCTGACTTTTCTAGAGACTTATTTCTGGCTTCTAGCCCCTGCTTTTTCCCCTCTCATCTGTCAGGCACCTCCTCTATACCTTTACATCAGGCCCTTGCCTCCTTTCTGTTTTACCCTATTCAGGTGTAACTGTTCCTTGTAGCTACATTAGCAATGCATCCTTGAAATGTGCATTGAAATACAGTGGTACCTTGGTTCTCAAATTTAATCTGTTCCGGGAGTCCATTCCAAAACCAAGGCGTGCTTTCCCATAGAAAGTAATGCAAAACGGATTAATCTGTTCCAGGCTGTTGAAAAACTACCCCTAAAACGCTTCTCCCCTCCCCCCAATCAGCGCGATCTTTTGATCTCGATCTCTCTCTCCTCAAAGCAGCTGGGCTGTAGAGCGCTGCCGGGACACTTCTCCTCACCTCCCCAATCAGTGCAATCTCTCTAGAAACAGAAGCGCAACACTAAAAACAGAAGCTCAGGACACATTTGACTTCCCAAAAAATTTCGAGAACCAGAACGCTCACTTCTGGGTTTGCGACGTTCGGGTTCTAACTTGTTCGAGAACCAAAGTACCACTGTATAACTGAGAGAGACTGCATCTGCGTGAGGAGAGACTGCATCTGCATGAGTGAATGTTGGTCTCAGCTTCCTTTCCCTTTGCTTCAACTTCTTTTAAGTCTCTGCTTCCTACAGGTTCATCACTTTTTCCCCCTGAAATATATCCTAGGTCAGGAGTGGGGAACCTCCAGTCTGCAGATCAAAAGTTGCCTTTCAGGTCTCTCTGTCTAGCCCTTGGGACTCCACTTAGGCCTAGCCATATCCTTCACCATCCATGAGTGCTTCTGATCCTTTCCACCACTAGCATGTAGTCCCATAAGATTGCTCACTGAAAATAATCTGCACCCAGTCCTAGGCATTTCAAACACCCACCCACCCACCATGGTTCTAATTGCAACTTTTAGTTGTTGAACCTTCAGGGTTTTGGATAAGCAAACGAAGCATGTTCTGTTGACTAGTGGCATCACAACCTCCCTTCTTTTTGCCTTAAAAGATTGTTTCTTACTTGTATTCTGCAGGAAGTATTTGGAGTTCAGCAGACATTCACCCAAGCACAAACAGGTTCTTCAAATGCTGTAGTGCAGACAACAGAAAAATAATTACAGAAGATGCGGCACTATTTAATGTGTCATCTGTTTTATGCTTATCTTCACAACAGTCATGTGAAATAAACCATTGTTCAAGTTTTTCTTGTGAGAGACCGTGGACCAAAGTATGCACAGTGTTAAATTCATGTTCACAGTTAATGTATCTGTATTTTTTGTTAAATAGTAGTGATGTGTGTATATTCAGGGTCAGCTGCTATTGCACATCAGAAACCTGGGAGAGGCCATTTTCATTGGGAACTTAATGTGAAGGGAAAGTTGTATCCTGCAGTCCTGATCTCTCCCTCCTTAGTCCTCTCCCTACAGCTCCTTGTGTGGCTGTTATTGAACCCTAAAGCAACCCAGATATGTTAAATGTGATCACAGGATGTTCTTGGTGGTCATATGCTAGTTGTGGAGTACTTTCCCCAGAGAGATTTGTCTGGCACCTATATTATTGTCCACTGGGCACCAGGCTAAGACTTTTGTTTATTTTCCTAAGCTTTTTAGATTCATTTTGAATCCTTTTAATCCTCCTTTACTGTTTTACGCTACTTTTATGATTTTGTGACTTTTTGCTGATTGTACTGTGTTAGAAACTGAGATATGAAAGTTAGGAGCTAAATGGCATCTTAAACCTAGGTTATGGGTGCCACAACGGAATGTTGAGGCACACTTTTTTAATAATAAGAATACAAAATTGGAAATGAATGAACTGCCCCTAAAATGTTATGTTCATTTTTCACATGGTCTTGTCCTCATCTGAAGACTGTAAAAAATAAAGCCATGCTTTCCCTGCCCTCCCCTCAAAACACTGCCTTTCTGTGAGGCCAGCTTCGAGGCAGAACCTATCAGCTTGCCTGACGCTGCAGTGATTTCTTGAAAGTCAAGCAAGCAGGAATTTCTCCTCCCATGCCATCAGCAGCGGCAGTTTTAATCTGAAATCTTAGTCACAGTACTGTGCCCAGAGCTCAGAAATTGCTTGAGCTAATGAAATTCCCAGTGGCAAAATGCACCTAGAACAATGGGAGTTTTGAACGCTGTTATTGTATGTTTGTATTTCTCTTTTCAGTTGTTTTGTTCTTTTCTGTAAGCCATCCTGGAATATAATTGAAAGGTGGTATAAAAATGTTTTATTTTTATATAGTTGGAACAGGGTAAAGAGAATGTTGAAAATGTAACAGTTGACTTTAGGAATTTGTTTGCTGTTAGATCCATTCAGCAGTCCTCCTCTTTCCCCCTCCCCCTACCCCAGTCTAATGCTGCAGTTTTAGGGCAACAGGCAGTCGCTTGGTTGTCTTGCTAAACCAGTTTCTTTAGGGGGGGGAAATCACAAATGGAAACTGCTGGTAGAACATAGTTTCTAGACCATGGGTAGGCAAACTAAGCCCTGCAGGCCAGATCCGACCCAATCGCCTTCTAAATCCGGCCCGTGGACAGTACTGGAATCAGCGTGTTTTTACATGAGTAGAATGTGTTCTTTTATTTAAAATGCATCTCTGGGTTATTTGTGGGGCATAGGAATTTGTTCAGTTTCCCCCCACAAAGTCTGAGGGACAGTGGACCGGCCCCCTGCTGAAAAAGTTTGCTGACCCCTGACATAATGTATGCCTATGCTGTTTGCATAATTAATCTATGGGTTTTTATTTGGACACACAAAGTACATGCAACTATGAAGCTGTATGGAAACTGACCTGGAAGGGAGCAATTGATCACAGTATCTTGTAGTACGGTTTGCTGTCAAAAGGCAAAAACCTAAACTGTTTGTACATTTACATGCTGTCAAGAAAGTTACTTGGTATGTAAGAGTCTTTTTAATGTTTCAGCTTTTGAAGGGAAGGCATGGCAGTAGCAAACTGGAGCTGTTTCTTTTGGTGCGCACTGGCCAGAACACACCCCCCCCCCCGGCAGGTGGACAATTCTTTTTTATTGGTTCTGCCATTTGAGTTCTTGCTTTGCTGTGCTTCCCTGCAGCATGGAAAAAGTGACTGCACCTAAAAGACACTGTAGGAGGCATGTCCTTAGGGACTATATGTATTCTGAAAACTATGTAGCAAATGTGCATCTTCGACTTTGGAATAGTTATGTAACTGCTGAAAGCAGATCAGTCCAACATGTGCCTGGTATATATGCCTTATTCCACAGTTATAAATCCACTGTGATAGACACCTTGCTACACACAAAAAACTACTACTTTTCATCAAACCCAGGCAAGACACCCTAGTTCTAGAATACATGTGTGTGATCAGTGGTGGATTAAATACAGATGTAAGAATTTAAACTAAATTCAGATAAGATAGCTGATGATAACTCAGTAGACTGGTTGAAGAAATACCTTTTTTGAATAGGGTCAACTTTGCTGTAAAAACCAAGTTTGTAACTTACGTTTGTTGCTGGACTCACTGTTGTTCCTTAATTCCTAGCTGATGGCTACGATCTGGAGTGCCTTTTATCGGCTTTGGCTGATATACTGACTAAGCCTGTTGCTGGAAAATAGAAACCTGACCATGGTTATCCATACATTGGTTGCCTCCAATATAGAGTATTGTGTTCTACATGTGGCTGCCTTTGACAATGACTTGAAAACTTCTAGTGCAGAATGCAGAAGCCTCTACGTGTGGTCTGATATTGACCCGTTTTGAAGTATCCTTTCATTCCAGGTTCAGTTCAGAAGAGCTTATTCTTGCTGTTAAAGCCCTAAACAGATTGGTCCTAACTATCTTAGGAAATGTGTTGCGCAGCAGGGTTTCTTCCATAGCAGCCTTAATGCTGTGCAGCTCACTCCCAAGAGATGTTTGTACAATTACCTCCCTGTTGGCTTTTCAAAGGCAGGCAAAACTGTTAGCCTTTGAAAACTGACTGCTCCTCCCCCCTTCCCCCCCCCCCCCGTTTTCCTGTCCTTAGTTGTTTCTGGGTTTTTGATTGTTTGATTTTATAGTGTTTGGTTGATTTTTTAAGAAAAACAAAACAGGAAAAAAAACCCTATAAGCAACATTGTTGATTTTTATAAGTGGCAGTCTTAGTTGTTTTAGGGGAACTTTGGAAAGGTAGCATAAAATCTTTTAAATAAGAAAATCCAAATATTGAAGCCTGAATAAATTGTGTAAATCAAGGAAGTGTGTGTACATTTATCTGACCTCCTAGCAGAATAGGAAAGGAGTTATATAGAGCATATGACAGCCCGGACACTGAGGTCCAGCTCCGAGAGTCTTCTGGCGGTTCCCTCACTGTGAGAAATGAAGCTACAGGCAACCATGCAGAGGGCCTTCTTGGTAGTGGCGCCCACCCTGTGAAATGCCCTCCCATCAGATGTCAAGGAAATAAGCAACTATCTGACTTATAGAAGACATCTGAAGGCAGCCCTGTTTAGGGAAGTTTTTAATGTTTGATGTTTTATCACTTTTTTATTATCATTAATATTCTGTTGGGAGCCGCACAGAGTGGCTGGGGAAACCCAGCTAGATGGGCGGGGTATAAATGATGATGATGAAATACCCCACCCCTGAAATTCCTATCCTCTATGGCTTCTGAGTTAGACTGTACCTCAGTGGTTGAGCACATGTTCTGCGTGCAAAAGGCCCCAGGTTCATTTCCTGGCATCTCTAGTAAAGAGGATTGAGTGGAGAAGACCTGTGTCCAAGACTGCTTGGAGCTGCTGCTAGTCAGAGTAGACAGTATTGTGCTATAGACAGGTAACCAGTCCTGATGTGAACTAGGAACACGAGAAGCTTTTTCACTAGGCACTTCCCATGAGTTTTTAAGCTGCATGTCACAGCTGTAGGGTCTAGAACAGGGGTCGGCAAAGTTTTTGTGCCTTGGGCCAGTTCACAGTCCCGCAGACGCCACGGTGGGCTGGAGTGTGCACGCACGCATGAGCAAACGCTATTTCCGGCACAGAGGAGGCGTGCGCAGCTTCCCATTGGCTGCAGGAGCTTCCAGCAGCCAGTGGGAAGCTGTCCAGCTTTGCAGAAGGCGGTCCCCACTCCCCTCCATGCCGGTTTAGCATGGTGCACGGGAGCTGGCCGAGTGGGCGATGGAGGGCCATGGGCCGGTTAAGTGACCCCCATGGGCCGCTTGTGGCCCATGGACCTTAGGTTGCTGACCCTTGGTCTAGAATCATCTAAAAAAATAAAAGCCAAGGACAGGGAATACCAAGTTCCATGCTACATTACAATCTGTGTCTTTTGAATGTGTACCTGTAGACACATAGGAACCATACAACTTAGTTGGATACCTGGGGGGCTCATAATTTGTTTCTGGCAAAACTGATGGGTGGGCGGACTAGTGTGTGCAAGAGTTTTCAATTATGTGTGAATAAATGTGTGATTATTATTATTTTTAATTAAATCTGAGAAGTATTTTACTGTACCAATTCAATGAAGTTTAATTGTGCAGCACATTAATTCTGTTGTAGTGTTGAACATAAGAATAGGGAAGTATGTTAATAATGATGTTAAATGGATGAATGCCAGTGCTGGTGACTGACCTTGGATAAACTATTTTTTGTTATGTGCCATCTTTCAATTAGATGAGGCCATTTATTTGGAACTGTGTTTCAGGACCTTCCTCTGCTCTGAGGATCAGATGAAAGCCGCATATTTTCCAGCAGTAGAATTAATTCCCTGCCCCAACCCCCAGCAATAAGATGAATAAGCCATTATTAATAAGAATGTTTAACAACTTGTGTGGCAAATCCTGTACTCTGTTTAGGTTAGGCAGCCAATGATTTCACAGGGATAAGTTCTTTTAGTTATGTTTAAGCCACTGACTTAATTTTCTCCTTCTTTTCTAGACAAGATGTTCAGCTGTTGAGCAGCAGCTTTCTTCCTGTGAACTGCTGCCGATTTCCTCGTGCTGTAAAGCCAGAGTTCCATGACCTGCACGGGGTGCTTTGGTGCTCTGCTTCCCCAAGGCAGTCATGTGTTAGTTCTCTCCGACAATTCATCTTGCTCCAGAGGAGTTACTTCCTTGGTATTCTGGAATACAAGGTGCTCAATGAATCGGGAGCCCCCATGAATGAAACAGCCAGCTCTTGCCAGCAGATGGCTAAAAACTGCAGCACACATGTAGCAGGGATGGCGCAAGAGGACAGAGCTCAAGTGCCACCCACTTTCTACCATGGTGCCAGCCAGGAACTTGATTTGTCCACCAAAGTCTACAAAAGGGAGTCTGGGAGTCCTTACTCCGTATTGGTGGACCCAAAAGCAAGTAAACCACATCTCCATGAAAGAGAGGAACAGCCATATTTCAAGGAGGACAGAACAGTAGGAGAGGTCCGAGCCGTGAAAGAAGACAGGGAGAACTCTGACGACTTGCAGGAGGACGAGGAGGAAGATGAAGTGACTTACAAAAGGGAGCAGATAATAGTAGAGGTAAACCTTAACAACCAAACATTAAATGTTTCAAAAGGGGAGAAGGGGGTCCCCTCCCAATCCAAAGAAACTGCTGTTCTTAAGACCAGCAGTGAGGAAGAGGAGGGTGACAGTGGGGAGGAAGAGGCCACTGAAGACAGTAATGATGAGGAGGAGAATGAGAGGCAGAAGAAAAAAGAGCAAAGAGAGGAGAAAGATAGTGTTGCACAAAGGAGGACAAGGAGAGCTGCATCTGCTGCAGCCGCCACAACTTCCCCTACTTCCAGAACTACAAGGGGCCGTAGAAAGAGCGTTGAGCCCCCCAAGCGTAAGAAGAAAGCTGCAAAGGAGCCCAAGGCACCTGTGCAGAAATCAAAGTGTGAAGAAAAGGAGACTTTGACCTGTGAGAAGTGCCCCAGGGTGTTTAACACACGCTGGTATCTGGAGAAGCACATGAACGTCACTCACAGGCGCATGCAGATCTGCGACAAGTGTGGGAAGAAATTTGTTCTAGAAAGTGAGCTCTCCCTCCACCAGCAAACAGACTGTGAAAAAAACATTCAGGTAGGTTCTCTTGCCTGCTTGCAAGATTTCCCTGCCTTCTGCTGTCCCCTGGACACTTCGAAAGGGGGGAAATCCTTTGAGGAGAACAAGGTCCCAAGCCTTTCTGCTTCTGTCGGCGTTTCCTGTTGCTCACCTAAGGAAACTAACCTGTATGAATGGGGGGTGGGAAAGGGAGGGAGTAAGAAGTGGCTCTTAGGGTTTTTCTGCACAACATTACAGGTGAGGTGAAATATAAGGTGCTTCAAAATAGAGCTTAATGCACTCTGTGCTGGTTAGTATGAGCAGAGGTTTATTTCCAACAATCATGAACATGAAGCTGAGCTTGCTGTGCTCTAGGCAATTCAGGTTCTAAGGACAGGCTGAATTTAAAACTTGTATTTATTTATTTTAGTAATTCTGCTTGTAGAATGTGTGGTGTCACATGCTTTGATAAGGAAGGAGGGAAAACTTGAATTGATGGGCAGGCAAATACAAGGATGGATCCAGATGCTGTTTCATGCAAGACTATTTTCCTACCTCGATAGTATTTCCATGTAGGAAAGCTGTAAACACTCATGTGCAACAAATGGACAGGAGTCCGAGTATACTAGATGGCTTATTGCAACTTATTGCTCATGTCTGCTTGTGAAATAGACTTTTGTACACACATTAAATAACTATGTATGGAATGATCTTGTGTGAAACTGTTCTAGGTGCCACAACGGGGAGAGAGACTGCTGCTACCACAAAGAGATGAAGTAGGGATTGTGAAGCTGTAGGTTTTATGAAGAGTCCTATAGAAACTGCATACAATCACCACAAATCCTGCTCAGGGTTCTCTCCTCATCACAAACTTTATTTATTCAGAGTCCTTGCATTTTATTTTATTTAGAAAATCCTATAGACTGCTTAATTAAAAAAAAAATCCTACACGGTGTACATAATAAAACAATTATCAACAAAACACAAACAAAACTTTTATAAAACATTACCTAATTAAATTATATGTCTGGGTAGACCTACTAAATTAAAAATAGTTCCCAGGCATCTAAAATAATACAGTATTGGTGTCTGCTATATTGACTTCAATGGAAGTAAAACTGCATTGACATCCAGATTCTGTGTAGCACAAGTACTTATGAAGAAACCCTCAAAGCACACCGTCTTAGGATGCTTGCCGACATTCTCAGCCTTGAATTTTCTCCATCTCTGAAAACCAGGGCCGTCAAATTCTTAAAGGGCGGATACAGATAAATTGGTTGCTTTGCTAGGATGAGAACAAAAGCAGGGACAAACATGTGAATCGTTGGATCATACTAGTGGGATGACTTGGTTACATTAGATAATGTTAAAGAGTATGTTGAAAAGGGTATTAAAAATACAAAAGCAACCCTTCTAAATTAGACCAAATGCTCCTGTTTGTATTGAATCTCCTTCTAGTAAGTTTCATTAGATGACCTTGAATTTTAGTACTATATGAGAGAGAGAGAGAGGCTGAATCTCTGCCTGTTTTTCTCTACACTCTGCATAATTTTATAAACTTTTCTGAAACTGCCCCTTATTCACCTTTTTTACTTAACAAATAAGTCTCACGTGTAGCTACGGCGGGACAGAGCCTCCTTTCTCACCTTACATAATTTGTGTCCGTTGGTGAAGGTGGGGAGAGAATATCAGGGACTTCCAAGTGAAGAGGGAAAGTGCTTTGATTTCAGGTAAAGACTTTCCTGTTTACATTTATGAGGGGCTGGGGACAATTTTAGTGTTTCCTTGAGTACTTTTAAAAAAGCAAGCTGCAGCTCAAAGCTTTGTTGATAAATAATCAGCCTTACAGCTTTGAAAAATGAACTGTATGGCAAAGAAGTGAGAAGGGAACCATAAAGCTGATCTCTCAGCCCAGACACAACAGCAGCATAACTTTTTAAGTATATAAAAGGAAAAACTACTCCAGGCATCTCATAGCCATAAGCAGTGAATTCCTTCTCTTCCCCCCCCAAACAAAAAAAATGTGTCACCCAAAATGTTTGCCCTCCAAACTCGCTCATTCTCCTAAGGTGCCCCACAACCCTCCATAAACATGCCAAAAACATGGTCGTGAATTTGTTCCCATGGCCTGGTTTGCATTGTAACTATTATTTAAATTTGACAGTGCATGTTGCTGAAATTGTGGTTGCAGTGTTCATCTCCTGCTTTTGGCTTAGCATTACGTCATGTGTATGGTTGTCTGGAACTGCAACCTCTCAGCCGTTTGACTTCACCCCCCAAAGGCACACTTCTTCATTGTCTCCCAAGGCAGACAATATGCTCTTTGCAAGCCCTTCATGGTGCATTGTATTATATTAATATTTATATATATATATATATATATATATATATATATATATATATATACACACACACATACACACACACACACACACACACACACACACACACCCTGCCCATCTGGCTGGGTTTCCCCAGCCACTCTGGGGGGCTTCCAACAAAATATTAAAATACAATAGTCTGTCAAACATTAAAAGCTTCCCTAAACAGGGCTGCCTTCAGATGTCTTCTAAAAGTTTGATAGTTTTTTTCCTCTTTGACATCTGGTGGGAGGGCGTTCCACAGGGCAGGTGCCACTACCGAGAAGGCCCACTGCCTGGTTCCCTGTAACTTGGCTTCTCGCAGTGAGGGAACCGCCAGAAAGCCCTTAGCACTGGACTTCAGTGTCCAGGCAGAACGATGGGGGTGGAGATGCTCCTTCAGGTATACAGTGGTACCTTGGGTTACATATGCTTCAGGTTACAGACGCTGATGACCCAGAAATAGTACCTCAGGTTAAGAACTTGGCTTCAGGATGAGAACAGAAATCATGCTCCGGTGGTGCGGTGGCAGCAGGAGGCCCCATTAGCTAAAGTGGTGCTTCAGGTTAAGAACAGTTTCAGGTTAAGAACAGACCTCCGGAACGAATTAAGTACTTAACCCAAGGTACTACTGTACTGGGCTGAGGCTGTTAGGGCTTTGAAGGTCAGCACCAACACTTTGAATTGTGCCCGGAAACATACTGGGAGCCAGTGTAGGTCTTTCAAGACCAGTGTTATATGGTCTCGGTGGCCGCTCCCAGTCACCAGTCTAGCTGCTGCATTCTGGATTAGTTGCAGTTTCCAGGTCACCTTCAAAGGTAGCCCCACATAGAGTGCATTACAGTAGTCCAAGTGAGAGATAACTAGAGCATGCACCACTCTGGCGAGACAGTCCTCAGGCAGATAGGGTCTCAGCCTGCGTTCCAGATGGAGCTGGTTAACAGCTGCCCTGGACACAGAATTGACCTGCGCCTTCATGGACAGCTGCGAGTCCAAAATGACTCCCAGGCTGCATTGAACTTCTGGTGACCATCACCTGATGGCACTGTGATGTTGTGCAAACAGCCCTGCCCACCCGTCAGCTTTGGCCCACAAGGATGTAGGAGCGATAAGGATTTGACCCATGTTCCCCACCCCTGGTTTTGAAGTGACATGTGGATCAGGCCACTGACAGACAGACAGAAGCTGCCTCATTCTGAGTCAGATCATTGATTTGTCTAACCCAGTATTGTGTTGGCAGTGACTCTCCAATATTTCAGACAAGAATCTCCCATGCCTATTGGAGATGCCAGATATTAAACGTGGGACCTTTTCAATGCAAAAGCATGTGCCCTCATATTGCTGTTTAAATCTGAAGGTAAATTGTCACAAAGAAGACAGTCGAACAACTGTCATTGCCCATTTGACAAAAGTTTCATTACCATTTATCCTTATTACATTGGCTTGCTAAGGTGCAGCAATTAAACCAGCAATTCTGATGGTTAAGTCCTGTTGAATTTGGGCTTATGAGTAAATCTGAATCAAATCGGTCTGTAAATGTGGTTAGCTATTTGAAGTTACTCGTAAACTCATTGACATGTTTTAGGCTTAGGCTACTGCTAGAATGGGGTTGCCAACCTTTTTGAACCAGTAGAAGTGTTTCAATTTTTGAGAGAGTGCTAAGGGCACCAATCACAAAATGGCTGTCATGGGGACATGTTGCATAACACAAAATGGGTGTCACTAGACTTGGCATAACACAAAATAGCTGCCATGGGGAATGGCGTAACATAAAATTAGCCAGACAGCCATACACATACATTTAAATGTTGTTGCTGTTTTAAGAACAGTACCAGGAAAAATATACAAGATGGCCACATCACGCTCACTCATTTCACAGAAATCACTTAGAAGATTCCTGCACGTTTTGCCCCATAACCTCCTTTCTAGGGGGGCTAGTGACTTGCTTTAAAAGGGGGGGGGAGCTCAGAATCTGGGGTACTAGCCCAGGGTGAACGCTGTGCTGGATCTTGAAGTGATTGTATAAATCTAAAACCTTCTGGATAAAAGCATTCAGTATATTGATGTGTATTTTGAATTTGCTTATGCTGTTTAATTTTTTTTTAATGGGATAAATGTACAAAGGGTATCAGTGTCTCTTAATCTGGTGCCTGTGTAAATAGTCATTGCATCAGGTGTTGCATTGCAGGAATACTATATCAGATTTGATGAGTCAAAGTATAGGCTGTTTCCAAGAACCAGGCAGAGTTTTTGGGCAGTCTTATCTGCAGCAGAGCAGATTGAACTCCGACAAGAAACTTCTGGGGTTGCAGGGCCTGTAAATGGTGGGGTTGATGTCAGAGACTATTACCCTAAGCAGTCCAGGAATGAATATGAAAATGGGGTCCTTGTGGGAACAAATGTTTGATGAATGAGTTGGCAGGACTTTGCGCTAGCAACTGCTAGCTCTCTTCCTTTAAGGGTTCCTGTACTCAGAAGCCAGCTATTCTGATTGTGTTAACATTTATCACCTGTAGCAAAGGACTAAGGGAACTAATAGGCAAACCTTCCGAAGCTCCTACTATTGGCTGCCTTTTAAGCTATTGCCTGTTTGGGTGGTGACATACCTGCATCTGGTGGCTAAGAAGTGGAAGACTTGCAGAGCTGTCATTCGTCAGACACTGGAGCTATGTACCATGGCTAAAGAACTGGATCTTGTTTTGGATCAGGGAAACCTCGTGTGTTCAATAGATTTGCTGTATTCCAAGTGCTTGATATTATTGCTGGGATCCGGTTGTTTTCATTCATCCCTCCAAAAAGTCCTCTGCTATTCCAGGTTCCAGTTTTTGTACCTGGGTATGATTTTGGTACACGGAAGCACAGAAGCTGCTGCTTCACTTCACTAGTTCCAACTCCTCATTCTGCTACCACTGTCTCAGCTAGGACAATCCTCCTGCCATGTTCATTTGGAACTCGAATCCAGTTAACTTCTGTCTCCATATCTCCCTGAATCCTACAAGTAAATTAAAGAAGAGTCACAACCTGAAGTCCACTAAGGTGGACTGTGGAGTGGGCTAACTAGTTCAAAGGATGCCAGGGGTTGAGTTAGAAACCTTCAAAGTTCTTTAAAGTGTTAGGAGAAAGGATTAAGTATTTCTGTTTAAAATGCTGTTTAACTTTTATAAACTGCTGTTGTTGATACATTTAGCATAATTTATACCGGGGGGCAAAATCCAGCTTTTCTTGGTATAGAATTTCAGTTTTTAAGCTCACAGTACACACGGCCATGTGCGTAACTGGGCCATTGGGGGTTGTGTTAAGGTTTGTGCCTATATGCATTTCTAACTCATAATCATGTTGTCTAGTACTTGATGTAAATTGTGTTACAGGGTGTTTTATTTGCTGTGTCGATCCAATTTTTACTTTTCTAAGCCATTTTGGAGTTGTGTTTGGAGAAAATGGAGGCATTAGTTACTAAAACAACAAAAATTATTTTGACTACTAATTGATAAGTTCAAATTTGTCTCCCTTTGCAACCAAGGGTCATTACTTCCAACTTACATTAACTTGTTTAGATGTAATGAATCTGTCATAAATCCCTGGTAGAAGGAAAACATTTGGATGTTATTTTCTACTCCCTCCTTCCAGTCCCAGTTACTGTCCAAACTCTCGCAATTCCTAGAATCTGGATAAGAAAGGCTTCACTTTAGATTTACTCGGTTTGCATAATATGGGGCTTTCTAGACTTCACAAGTTCCAATCACTGTGTACAAATGAAAACGTGCTGGCATCTATCTGAGTTAGAATATCACTGTCTCTAAACCAGCTAAAATAAATGAAAAAATTGTCCAGTAGCACCTTAGAGACCAACTAAGTTTGTTCTGGTTATAAGCTTTCGTCTGCATGCATACTTTTAGACCAGCTAGTACAAGTTATATTTTAGCCTCTGAATAGGGTTTGTAATAGTGTGATCCTAATCTTTCTTTCCCATCCACACCAATCTTGGATTGGTTTCACTCCCATCACAGCCACCAGGTTTTTAATCTAGATGTAGCTGCTGTTCGGAAGCAGCAGGTGGCGATGTAAGTCCAAGAACAACCCACTCATTCTTTAATCGGACTTTCAGCTTTTGAGCTCTGCCGGCGCAGCAGAATTACAGTGAAGTGGGTGGCATTTCAGCAGTTGCCACAAAATAATGTATCTAGGGTTGTGGTTTCCTTCCGTATTTCACTGCATTTCGGTTACAGCTGGCTTGTCCCATCTGAAATGAGCTCTGTGTGAATTGCACTTCTTTGTCCCGTCCATCCTCAGTGTGTTTCCTGTAATAAATCGTTCAAGAAGCTATGGTCCCTCCATGAGCATATCAAGATTGTCCATGGGTATGCAGAGAAAAAGTTCTCCTGTGAGATATGCGAGAAGAAGTTCTACACAATGGCTCACGTGCGAAAGCACATGGTTGGTGAGTTTTTGCTGCCCATATTGTGGTTCCTTATCTCTCTGCTGCTTGTTTCCGAGAACGTTCAAAGTACTTTCCTTATACTGTTGCCAGTGCCTCCTGGGTTATAAATAGACAAATGATCTGTCTATGTCTCCTCTCCAGTACTGTAACCTTATTCTCATCAGCCATTGCCATCTCTATTTGCAGCTGAGGCCAAAATGTGGAGGGAAATACCCTTGTCAACAAAATGTTCACATGGGAAAAAACATTGCAGAGTTCGAAGGAACCCTGAGGGTCATCTAGTCCAACCCCCTGCAATGCAGGAATATGCAGCTGTCCCTTACAGGGATTGAACTAGCAAGCTTGGCATTGCTAGCACCATGCTGTAACCAGCTGAGCTGTTGGTGAGATCAGTGCTGTTACCTGCACCAGCAAAACTACCTTTGCTCTGAAATTCAAATTCTGTTCTTCTGATTTGCAAAATTTATATACCATTTGATGGTGAAAACAACAGAGCTGTCAACAGAACAAAAATCAAACATTCAGATTCTCAATTAAAAGAAATAAAAACAATTTCAAACATAATTACTAAAATAATAACAAAGAGATACAACTCAACTTCTACATGGTCTGCATCGGTTTTGCCTAAACAAAAATGTTTTAAGAAGGGAGTTCTGAAGTGTGGGTCCTGTGGTTAAAGTTAACGCCTTGAACTTGGCCTGGTAGATCTCTGAGCAGAGGTGTTCCATGCAGACAGGGCCTGTCAGCAACCAGGCACTAACTGCAGCTTCTGCATGAAACACAAGGGAAGTCCCAACGAGAGTGCATTGTGGTAATCCAGCCTTGAAGTCACCAGTGCCTGAACTGTGGCCAGGCTCTCCCAGTCCAGGCACGGCTGTCCCACTTGCAAATCAAATCCATGCACAAGAATGCAAACACATCTGCACGTGGGCCTCGCAACAACCCTATAAGGTAGGAGAGAGGGAGAGAGACTGGCTCTCTCAGTGAGTTTCATACCCTCAGGGGAGAATCTGAACTCAAGTCTTATCAGGTCTGAAGTCTGACACTATTTCCTTCCTACCAGGTTCTTACTTAGTAAACATTTTCTTCGACAAAGCTGAGTTACAGCAGAATCTGCCCAAGACACAAAGGTTACAACAGCATCCTGCTCAGTAATGAATAACTTGTTTAACCAACAACCTAGAAGATCATACCAGATTTTACATTCCAACTTGACATTTCTAAAGCCAGGCTACCTTATTATTCAGTTGTTTTGTTAAATCTGCTCAGTGCAGGAGCACCAAGTGCTGACTTTGATGTGTGTTATTTTACCCAATAATATACCTGGGAAGTTTAAGATTACTAGTGTGATGTTGAGCAGGGTAGGCATGATAGTAAAAGGCTGCTTTCTTCCTTGATATTAAGTCTTATGTATGTAGTTTTTTTACTTTTATCCCCGGGGTCTTATAAAGATTTTCAGCAGAAGAAAGTTTTTCTCATAGTCTGATTATTAGCCTTTTTCTCAATTAGTAATGGCTCTATGGACATATCTGATGTGTTCTTTGGGTCCCTCCTCCTCTGGGGCTGTTGTGCACAGCAATGGGCTTTTTATGGTTCAAATTTCACATGCCATTTTAAATTGCTGGTTCTTATTGTGACTAGAGATGGGAAGGCCTGGAAAAAACCCAGAAAAATGGGGGGGGGGACTGATTTTTTTTCCGGGGGAGAAACGGATTTGGAAAATCTAATTATGATATTGTTTTATTTCGTTTATATTTTAATTATTTTCTTATAAACCATCCTGGAAGCATTCTGGCTGAAGGGCATTATAGAAATAAAATAAACATCAGTTATGGATATTAGTACGTTGGTTTGAAGAGTCCTTTGTCAGTATATGAGATTCGACTCAGTGGCTTTTTGACCCTTTCCAACCTCTTTTTTTTTGCCCATCACAGCAGAGTGGAATTCTGGATAGAACTAAGCATTGTTTTCACCACTTACTGATTCTCCTCTCTAAATACTTGTTCCCTAATTTGTCTTTTCAGCACACACTAAGGACATGCCATTTACATGTGAAACCTGTGGAAAATCCTTCAAACGCAGTATGTCACTCAAAGTTCATTCCCTGCAGCATTCGGGAGAGAAGCCTTTCCGGTGTGAGGTATGCACTCTTGCTAATTCAGGGTGCAGTTAGAGTTGGGAATTACTTTGAATTTGAAAAACGTGCACAATGGAGAACAAACATCTAGACCAGATATTGGCGACTGTTTGTTGCTTGTCTGCTGCCCGACTGTGAGATTAATTGTGCCATATCATCACAGTGTGAAGTAGCAGGGACACTGTAAAATACACTTCACTATATGGTAAGGCACTACAGCTGACTGGCTGACCATGCTCTTGCCATCATACAGCAAATTCTGACTATTTTATCTTAGCGTAGGCAGCAGAAGAATAAAACTGAGTATGAGTGTAGATTCAGAGATGCGGAAAATGGGATTGTCAAAGGTGAAAGCGAGAAAGAAATAGTCTTACAGAAAAGCAAATTGAAGCTTTTGCCTTCCCCCCAAAATGTTATCTGCAAAAATTGGGTAGGGGAAGAAGAAGTTCCATTGTGCAGGCAGATGTTCTTGCGTGAATGGAATGACTTTGTTGGACACAATCCAGTATGTGCATCAGTATTGCGACTGACTTTGATTCTTACCTTTCGAAAGCTTGATTCTTGGGTGTTTCGACTTGGGAATGAAATAGAACAAAGTTCTCCCTTTTCATTTCCTGCTCTCTACATATACCACTACAAATTTTCCACCTTGCCCTTAAGTCCATAAATATGAAAGAATATTTTTGTTTCCTTTCTCCCAACACAATAAACTGATCAAGTCTTTACAGTGTAATTTTTTGAAATTTTTTGAAATAGTATGCAAACTATCCTGGGAACTTATTAGCACAACAGGATTTTATTGCAATTATTTTTATGATAGCCTTAGCAGCCTTGAAACTGTGTGTGGTAAGGCAGAATGAAAGCTAAATCAGAATGAGAGCCTTTTTGGTCTCTTCACAATGGGATACATTGCTGCTGTATTACAGCTTATTTTACCCTGATTCTTGCAAATGAAAGACTTGTACCCTCTTGTTTCTTTTAGAACTGTGATGAAAGGTTTCAGTACAAGTACCAGCTTCGTTCCCACATGAGCATCCACATTGGACACAAGCAGTTTATGTGTCAGTGGTGTGGTAAAGACTTCAACATGAAGCAGTACTTCGATGAGCACATGAAAACCCACACTGGTAAAGATGTACTTTTTTTATTCTATAATGTGAAAGTACACTGGACAGGGTTTCCCAAACTTGGGTTTCCAGCTGTTTTAGGACTACAGTTCCCATCACCTTGTGACGACTGGTCCTTCTAGCTAGGGATGATGGGAGTTGTAGTCCAAAAACAGCTGGAGACCCAAGTTTGGGAAACTCTGCACTAGACCAGAAAAGGTCATACGCAGTCCACAATAAAGAGATTCATCAGCATGTACCCCTCGGTTTTATTCATAACAATAATAACAGAACATGAAAAGAAAAAGACAGGTTCTTGCCCAGTCTAAAAATTTTAAAGTACAATGGAGGAAAGTCAAGGGTAAACAACAACCAAACATAAGGAAACAGAATTGCACGTGGGGAAATGCAAATGGTTAAGATCCAGGTTTCCCAGAAAATACAGGTTTAGAGGAGAGTTTTTGTGCTCTGAGAGAAGTTATGGCCTTAAAGAGCAGCATCCAGTGTGGAAAGTTATGGGAGCTGAAGAGCTTTAAGCATGTGTTTGTGCTGGAAACACAAGGGGATGGGAAAAGAACATAGGGATTTGGGACGATGTGTTGCATCGTCTGAATGATAGAGGTGAATGAGTTGTTAGCTAAACAGGAAAGAACTGAGGTTAGTAAATGGGAGGCCGAAGTGAAAGTTGCAGTGACACATGGACCCTGTCCGCTTTCAGGGGGAAAGACGGGTTCTGGAACCTTGGAGGGCTGCTGCTATCCAGAGTGTACTGACAACCAGATGGTCTGCCTACTTATAAAGCAGGTTACATTGAGTGCAGAAAGCAGGAGCCAGTTGTGGTAGGTTGAGAGAAGAGGTGGATAAGACAGCAAGAATAGAGTCCGTATTCCGGGAATTTGGAGGAAAGATCTAAAAGAAAAAATGTGACCATAGATAGAAGGGTGGAATAGGTCAAGAGAGGACTTTTTGTCTTGCTGATTCATTTGAACACAATACAGAAGGAGCTGGAGAATAGGCTGATTATATTCTGCTGAAAAGGAAGAATAATTGGGGAGATGGCAAACTGAAATTGGAAGGGATAGGACCCTGGGGCACATGGTCGTCTCTGCAAGCAAGACTGCGGTGGAGAAGGTTTAGGGCTGTGTTGAAGGATGAGGGGTGGAAAGAGTGTTTGGATAGCTCCCATTTTATATTGAGAGTCAAGGAACTGGAGAAGTGCAGCCTTTGGGTATGAAAAGTAGAGAAGCATCAAGGATTTAAACCAAGTTGGCATCATAAGCATTGCTTAGCTAAGATCATTTTTGTGTGATTTTAAGTCTTGAGTCCTTTAACATAGCACCTAATATATTCTTCAGCCTTTGACAAGTTTTTGATTGTAGATCTGTTTTTCCTACGGTTAATGAATATCTGATTGAGGTAGGTGGAGAATGAATTTCCACCTTCAATTTTCCAACAGGAGAGAAGCCTTTTATCTGTGAAATCTGTGGCAAAAGCTTCACCAGCCGCCCCAACATGAAGAGACACCGCAGAACTCACACAGGGGAGAAGCCATATCCATGTGACGTGTGCGGCCAGCGGTTCCGCTTTTCCAACATGCTCAAGGCACACAAGGAGAAGTGCTTCCGTGTTACCAGTCCTGTTAACGTGCCACCAGCTGTCCAGATCACACTAGCCACAAGCTCTCCTGCCACCACTGTACCTTCCATTGCGAACACACAGAACGTCCCTGCTCCTACTCCACCAATCAATATGAACCCAGTGAGCACGCTTCCACCCCGCCCCATTGCCCATCCATATTCTCACCTGCACCTCCACCCCCACCATCCACATCACCTCCCTGTCCCTGTGCCCCCCGTCCCTCATTTACCCCCACCTCCTGCTCTGTTTAAGAGTGAGCCTTTAAATCATAGGGGCCAAGGCGAAGACAGTTTTCTACGACACCTAGCGGAGAAAAACAGTTCAGTACAGCACCACTAACTGCTTTTGTCTTCTGCCTGCCGTTCAGTTGGTCTTGAGAACCTGGAAGTGCTCCCTTCTCAAGAAATCTCGCGGTGGCTTCTGCAGGCCCAAGGGAAAGAACTTAACATGCATCTTGACTGTTCTGCAAAGTGGTCATCAAGCCCAGGGGAACCGATAGGACAGAAGCCCAACTCGGCTTGCACGTTTTACTGTTGACTTTTTTAGATTTCAAAATGACTGAGACTTGTGAAATTTTTTATAATTTCATATCAGCTGATGAGGTATGCTTGCTTTTATATCCCGGACTTTCTCCTCAAAGAGGGGATGAGCCTGGTTTCCTTTGTACTAATCAGAGACTGTGAGACTAAATCCCAGAGCATTAATTATCACTGTGTATTTGTTAATTTCTTTTCAGCTTTTTTTTTGGTGTGTGTGCGTGTGTGGTTGTGTGTGTGGTTGTGCGTGTGTGTGTGTGTGTGTGTGTGTGCTGGCTATGGAGTGAGCCAGCCACATGATCGCAGAATATCAAGCATTATAGGAAAAAGACGGTAAACAAAACTTAATCCCATTTGAGTAGTTCTCCTAACACACTCTTTATTTTAATACGGAAAAATTATTTTAGAGTTTTTGTATAGACCTATTTAGTAGCCTGTTTCTAAAATGAAATGTATTTCAAATAAGCGGTGTAATTTTTTTCAGTGTAGCTGGACCTATGTTGTTACAATAGATAATTTTTTATAATCATTCAAATGTGATTCTTTAAGAAAAAAAAGATGCAAATAGCTTATTATAGGGAAAAAAATATTCTTACATCTGTACTACTCTTAAAAAGGTGCTTTGAAAGGGAGAGGAAGGAACCCAATAAGTCTCTGGTAAGGCTGCCTCAGAAGTGGAGATGATTTCAGAACTTTATATAACTTATTTGTAGGGTGTTGTTTTTTTTCTAAACGTGACGGTTACCTTCTTTCAATGTCACTCAAGGGTTGCTAGACAAGAACATTAAACTACTGTATTCCCACAAACATTTTTCACTTGCCTCTGCTGGACTGAAGTGTGGAACGTTTCAGAAAGGATAGACTCTCTCATTGGGGGGGGAAATGGGGGAATGAAGATGCAAGGAAGAACTCAACCAGAAGTGACACATTTGGAATTTGTATGCTGTTGTTTCTTTAGCATACATTAGGACCTAGTTCATTTTATAGATATGTGTTTAAGCTATGACTTAATCTGGGAATCATACTTGATGCTGCTTTTGCTTCCCCCCTCCTCGAAAGATTAAAGAGTTCATTAGGATACAAGTGGGAAACCACAAATAAGGTGCTGTTTGGTTTGGTTTGTAAAAACAACAACCTTGAATTAGCAGGAACGCAGTTGTTATGTTGCCTGAAATGTTTACCCACAGAGTATGTGCACGCAGTGAAGCAGTGTCTGGTATAGAAAAGAGGTGCATATTATATAGGATAGCTTCTTTCAGATTTGACCAGGTTTCACAGGTATGTGGCAAAGAAATGTTTGAATGTTAAGCAAGTTGCTAGTTGTGTTTTCTCAAAGTCTCCAGTGGCACTAAATTGTGGCAAACTAGTTTGAATGCAGAGAGTCATGGTTCTTATTCAGATGTAGTTTACAGAATTTGAAATACAGCACCGTTTTAAGCAGCTGAAATAGCTGTTGGCTCCTTGAGGAGAAGGCACAGTGATACACTCATGATTAAAAGAGGTGAAATTTCCTTAAGCTTCATTTCACGCCCCCCCCCCCCCAAAAAAGACCATCATGCTGATCCCTAGCATGCCATTCTCTTTTTAAAAATGGCTTTTAAATCTTAGGTGAGGGATTACATCTGATCAAAAAGAAAGCCCTCTCTATTGCACCTCAAGGTTGCTAATTGTGTTTTTACCATCTCTATTAACTTGGATTTTTGCATAAAAAAATAGTGTTAGGCCTTTTGCATACCTATTCATATTTGAATAAAAACCTCTAAATCTCCTCCTTTTTTCTGGAAAAATAAGTATTTTTAAAAAAAATATGTGATAACATCTGTTCCTTCTCTTTTGTAGGTAGTAAAGCTAGCTATGAAAGTGAATAATTGATACATAACAGTTTGTCATCTTCAACTACCCTGAATGGTTTTATACATTCCATGTCATGTTTGCAAACCTACAGTTCTGTGTAGATATGCCACAGGTCAACAAACTGGCTTGTTAAATCTACTTTTATAGGAAGAAAGAAAGAAAAAAACCATTGTGGTTAAATCAGTTGTAATCCACTTTTGCAAAAAAATGGTTTTCTCAATAAATTTACAGTATTTGGCTGCTATTTATGAATCCTACTACTTGAGACGGGTGTGTTATTTTCCCCCAAACAGCAGCTGAGCTGGCTCTTTGAATGTGCGGCTGATTCTACACACTTCAGAGTTGTATTAATATATATATATATATATATATATATATATATATATATATGGGTAAACCTCGCAAGTGGCAAGATGGGGGCAGCTGCAGTTCTACTCACATTATCTATCTGCCTTCCTACCTATGGATGGATTTGCAGCCACTGTGTTGCAGTAGCCAAGCCAAGTTCCTGATTGTGGAGAGGTTCTAAGTGTGTTCGGAAGAACACATGAAGAGCCTCCATCAACACAAAAAGGTCAGGGGGTGGAATTGAAAGGCATGAGGATATTGCGGACAACTGACAAATGCAGCCCCTTGCCCATTTATTTCTCCATGTGTCCTTTGGAAGCCTGAATTAGAACTAAACCTGTCCATGGATATACTAAGGTAAAGGTAAAGGGACCCCTGACCATTAGGTCCAGTCGTGACTGACTCTGGGGTTGCGGCGCTCATCTCGCTTTATTGTCAGGGAAGCCAGCGTACAGCTTCCGGGTCATGTGGCCAGCATGACTAAGCCGCTTCTGGCGAACCAGAGCAGCACACGGAAACGCCATTTACCTTCCTGCCAGAGTGGTACCTATTTATCTACTTGCACTTTGACGTGCTTTTGAACTGCTAGGTTGGCAGGAGCAGGTACAGTGGTGCCTTGCAAGACGAAAAGAATCCATTCCGCGAGTCTCTTCGTCTTGCGGTTTTTTCGTCTTGCGAAGCAAGCCCATTAGCGGATTAGCGCTATTAGCGGCTTAGCGGATCAGCTGTTAAGCGGCTTAGGGGATCAGCTGATAAGCGGCTTAGCGGATCAGCTGTTTAGCGGCTTAGCGGATCAGCTGTTAAGCGGCTTAGCGGATCAGCTGTTAAGCGGCTTAGGGGATCAGCTGTTAAGCGGCTTAGCGGCTTAGGATCAGCTGATAAGTGGCTTAGCGGCTTAGGATCAGCTGATAAGTGGCTTAGCGGCTTGGGGAAAAGGGGGGGGAGGAAAAAAATGCCGCAGGAACTCGCAAGACATTTTCGTCTTGCGAAGCAAGCCCATAGGAAATTTGTTTTGCGAAGCACCTCCAAAACGGAAAACCCTTTCGTCTAGCGGGTTTTCCGTCTTGCGAGGCATTCGTCTTGCAGGGCACCACTGTACCGAGCTACGGGAGCTCGCCCCGTCGCGGGGATTCGAACCGCCAACCTTCTGATCGGCAAGCCCTAGGCTCTGTGGTTTAACCCACAGCGCCACCCGCGTACTCATGGATATACTACTAATTTCAACATTTTTGTCCTAAAAGCGAATGGTTTCAGAACATGCAGCTCTGTGGGAGGGGGTCTAACTTGTTCTCAGTATTGGGGATATTGATGTGTCCGTGCTGATCTCTTCCTGAACCTGGGAAAAGTGGGACAGGCACTGGTTACATGGATTTTGTGTGCATCCCTCAGGCCATAAGACTTTGCATATTGCACCTTCCCGTTTCCTAGTAGTGGCATTTACACTTGGATTTTAGTACTTTAGCTTGGGAAACCTTGGAGTCCATTTCCTTCAAAGATACCCTAGATGCTGCAGAAAGCATGATTGCCCTGACCCTTGCAAATCAGAATGTTGTAAGAATCCAGTTTGTTGCATCTCATTCCAAATATTTTCAGGTGGCAATGCAACCCAACTTTGCTTAAACGGAATATTTAATTTCTTCTTCGTGCTCCTAACTAGTGCAGTACTGGCTCTGATGTCAGAAAGGACCGTCTATCCCTTTGAGTTACGAGTAGCTTCAAACTTTAAAAGAGGCACTAACAATTTGCCACCACAGTATGTCTGCATAATTAAGACTGATCTTTGCATCAATGTAGTCTTCCAAGCTGAACTTCTTACAGAATCAGTGATTCTGACATATTGAAAGTTAGGAAGCATCCATGGCTAAGGTGAGGGGACTGAAATGGCAGATTGCCATTTTCAAAGGTCTGCCAGTTTTGCTGGCTGGTTTGAGAGCGAGGAGGGATTTTACCTTTGTCCTCTTTATTTATTTTTGCCCAGGCAATTCTCTGTTCTATTTTTTTAAAATCCACCTATTGAAACCAAGAGGGAAGGGAGGAATTAGCTCTGCCAGCTTCAAATTCGTCCTGGAGCTTCTCGGAGGAATCAAAGACTTTGGATCCAGCAGATCCAGAACCACTTCCAACTCACCCCTCGAATGCCCCATTTCAGAGACTCACTGATGAAACCACCAACAGCCTAGATCTATGACCATATAGATTTTTGCAAATGTGGGAGGGATTTTTGCAAATGTGGGAGGGATTTTTGCAAATGTGGGAGGGGCCTCTGTAGCAGACTCCTGGCAGCAAATCACCTGTGCCCCATCATAACGTCTTCTCATCTGGGTTTTAGGATCACTGTTCCTTCTGAAATTCCCAGAACTGATTAAAACTCAATACAGCGGTACCTCGGGTTACATACGCTTCAGGTTACAGACTCCGCTAACCCAGAAATATTACCTCGGGTTAAGAACTTTTTTCAGGATGAGAACAGAAATCGTGCTCTGGTGAGGGGGCAGCAGCAGGAGGCCCCATTAGCTAAAGTGGTGCGTCAGGTTAAGAACAGTTTCAGGTTAAGAATGGACCTCCAGAACGAATTAAGTACTTAACCCAAGGTACCACTGTACATTTTCCCCCCAGCAAGTGCTTGAGCAGTGGGTATGGCAAACTACTTGGGATTTGTTTTGCCAAGGTTGCTGAACAGCAGGGTGCAGTTCCTTGCCACCAAAATTACTCCATGTAGACTTAAGAACTAGCTTATCTTGGTTTTACTGAATTGAAAGTTGAGTTACTTTCCTCATTTAAAAATCACTGGGCTCCAATTCTCGAGTACTGGAGTAGAGCAAACAAGTTTTAAAAAGCCTACAGAAAGTGGGTGTTTTGAAAGACTAGTTGGATATTACTAATGCCATCACACACAGAAAAAGAGAGTCTATAATATTGATTTGGCATCTGTATCTCTTGTTTCAATTGCAAAGGCTTTTTGAATAAGCTTCTGAGTTTTAAGTCTATTCCTGCAGTTTGCTTTCAGGATTACAGCAGGTGGCACCGTAGTAAGATTGGATAATAGATGGAACATGCAAGTTGACAATAGCATATTATACTTCTGTCAGCATGTTGCAGTAAAAATAAGATGCGTGTTGCAAACCAGAAATATGCCACCCTCAATTTATTTATTGCATTATGTGCAGACATGGATGCAGTTTGGAATAAATGCTGGAGCTATCGTGCATTAGCTGGCACATTAGCTGGCACTCAAAGCAAACTTGCAAAATTAGTAGCTTGTGGAAGTTGCTGCTTATAGAAGAGACTCCATGTTCCCTTTTCTAACAAGCAACCTCTTTGGCAGGTCCGCTGTGGACTATGAATAAAAACACTGTTTGTCCATTCCTGTCGCCCATAATTATATACTTACATATTTTTTTAAAAAATTAAATCTTAGACACTGAGAACAGAAAACCTTCCTTGTGGCATTGTTGCAAAATGACTTTTCTGTTGTGCTCTGTAGCATGTCTTATTAACAACCATATCTCCCATCTGTACTCACCTTTCAACAGGGAAAGAAATTTTATATACAGAAACTGTTCTTGAGGAAAAGGGACACCCTCGAGGTAATGAGTAGTTGGGTATTGACAGCTAGGACAACATCTTAAAATCTCCATGATTAAATACTTCTACAGTCATCTCCCTAAAACATACTTTTAAATATAATTCAATGTTAATGGCATTTGTATTAAACTGTCAGAGCAGCAGGCTGTTGGCATTTCTTTGCTTAGGGTTTTGCTTTTCATTTTAATTGGTTTTCTGATGATTGGGGCATAATTTTGCTTTGCTATACTGGTGCTCAGTGCTGCTAAGTACCAGGCTACCAGTCTGCCAACCACCTGCATTAAAAAGAGAACTGCCTTCAGGTTGCTCTGAAGGGAACTGATGGTGTGGAGTGACCTGCTTTTGGGCTCAGGGCTGCAGTGCTTGAACACGGTTGCCCATTTTTGTTCTTGTGCTTGAGTTTATTCTCCTTAACCTAACATCACGGTGAATTTGTGTTAAGCTTTGCTCTGGTCCTACCATTGGGCGTGTGGGACATGTGTGTTGGGTGCCCACCAATTCCCAGAGCGCTTGTGGAGGCAGTGCATGCCCTTCAGGCAACCCAATGTACTGTGTCCATGTGGAGTGGTCCTCTGCAACATGGCAGGTGCTGCTAAATCCTTAAGCAAAATGAGCAACATTCTGTCCCTCTTAAGTCAAGACTGCATCGCTTCTGCACAGCATCTGTTTCCACTAATTTCTATGCAAATTAAAATGCTAAATTGCATTGTTTATCAGTAGTAACTGAGGGTGCATAATTATAACGCAAGAGTAGAAGGAAAATGAGGAAACTCTGTGTATCCCCTGTGCGTATGTGAGCTTGAAACGAACATGGAATTTTGGATAATGTTGTCCTAGGACAAAGGGTGTGTCGCTTCTGTGTTGCATAATTCCTACTGACCGCCCACTTATTCCAAGGTTCCTCTTAACGTTTTCTCCCAGTCTGCCTCCTTCCCTGCCCTTCTAACGCCAGTGTTCTTGCAAAAATACAGTATTGCAAATGCTACAGAAGCCCATTCGTGGGGCTGGAAGTATTTATGCTAAATTACATGAATCATACCCATTTGTTATTATGTGAGGAACCGCTAGCACAATTCACAATTGGGATGTGGGTGTTCTTTAAGCAACAGCTAGGACACTTCTTACAGAACCTGTCCAGATAATTGCTGAGAATCTTGCTGCATAAAGAGGTTGCAGATATGTGCAGTTTTTAATCTGTCGGTCAGTTTGAAAACAGCTGCAAGCCTGTTTTCTCCAGCAGACTTGAAGGGATGGCAGTGGTGATGTCAGGACCTATCACTGTTGTGTCTGTGTCATAACTGAAGCAAAGTTCCTTTCCATTTAAAACAGTCCAACATTTCTTGATGGTTATTGAATTGCTGCTGACACAACTGTTGCAAGTTGATGTAACGTTTCCTGTGCTATGCTTGGAGCAGCTGACTTTCTGTACAAAGGCTCTTTTTTGTTTTCTTGTGAAACTTTACAGGAGCAAGCTGGGCTGAAGCAAGCCAGTCTGCTATCTGCATATCCGACTGCAAGGAAATGCAAGGTTGGAGCTGTAGCAAGCACTTGAGAAAGAGATAAGCTCGCTATTTATTGTATTGTTCCTTTCAACCACTGTCCTTTCGCTAGTTTTATGCAAATTAAAACGCTAAATTGCATTACAGTCTGCCCTCTTCCCTTGTTGTCCAGAGTGCGGTCAGTTTTGATAGATAAAAATATGTAATTGCAGCTCTTAAATTCCTGTATTTATTTATTTTTAAGATAGCATTGCGTGGCACTTCTTGGTATAGTTCCTTGGTACCGTAAATGTTTATCGGGGAGGAGTGCATCAGTAGGAATTGTTTTATGATTGGCTTTGTGTAATTGTGGACACAAATAACCTTGTTAGTTTATCTCTGTGGAATGAAATAGGATGAGTAGCTGAGGGATGGGGCACTCTAGCTTCTTTCTGCCTTTGCTCTCTCTGTAGCACACTGGAGTATGCATTGTTGTTTGCGGGGGGTTGTCTCGGAAATATATCCCAAGCCACAGCTGGACACTCTTATCCAGGCAACCTAAGGCCCAGGGGCCGGATACGGCCCAGTCGCCTTCTAAATCCAGCCCACTGACAGTCCGGGAATCAGCGTGTTTGTACATGAGTAGAATGTGTCCTTTTATTTAAAATGCATCTCTGGGTTATTTGTGGGGCATAGGAATTTGTTCATTATTTTTTTTCAAAATATAGTCCAGCCCACCACACGGTCTGAGGGACGGTAGACTGGCCCGCTGCTGAAAAAGGTTGCTGCCCCCTGCTCTTATCTTTAGGCATTTAACCTGCATTGTCTTGCGCTGATCAAATGGACACTGACAAACTGGAACGTGTCCAGAGGAGGGCAACCAAAATGGGCAAAGGCCTGGAAATGATGCCTTATGAGGAACGGCTAAGGGAGCTGGGCATGTTTAGCCTGGAGAAGAGGAGGTTAAGGGGTGATATGATAGCCATGTTCAAATATATAAAAGGATGTCACATAGAGGAGGGAGAAAGGTTGTTTTCTGCTGCTCCAGAGAAGCGGACACGGAGCAATGGATCCAAACTACAAGAAAGAAGATTCCCCCTAAACATTAGGAAGAACTTCCTGACAGTAAGAGCTGTTCGACAGTGGAATTTGCTGCCAAGGAGTGTGGTGGAGTCTCCTTCTTTGGAGGTCTTTAAGCAGAGGCTTGACAACCATATGTCAGGAGTGCTCTGATGGTGTTTCCTGCTTGGCAGGGGGTTGGACTCGATGGCCCTTGTGGTCTCTTCCAACTCTATGATTCTATGAAATGCAGCTTGCAGGGCAGCTTGAGAAAAGGGATAAATCAATTGTGTCTGAAACTTCAGTGTATAGTATTCACCAGAGTGACTGGTGAGGGAAGCTGCACTTATCAATGCACCCATACCGTCATGAATGGATACAAACCCATCACTGTACATAAGCCCTCAAAAAGTTATGAAGTGTTATAAGTGGCTAACACTATGCCTTTCTGTGCTACCTGCAGAAGAAGCTAAGGCCCACCCCCTACTTACTGAGCAAGACTGAAATGCTGGTTGCTAGATGATGGACAGACTAGTAAAAAATAGGGAGCGAAATTCTGGCAGAGAAGGGACAGAGTGTCCCGTCTCTCCCCCAGAGCTTGGCTTTCGTGCTGGTTGCAGAAGGAGGGACAGAGGACCAATCCCTCTCACACCAGCCTGCTTGCCTGAATGGAATGCTTGGTCCCAAGTTGTGAAACAAAAATTTATGTTTTAATAATGATGATGATGATATATTATAATCCACCTTGTGAGGAAATCCTTCACAAAGCGCTTACAGTATTTTAAATTACAGGTTCATTTAATAAAACCTTTTTAAAGCACATAGTGGGCAATAATAACACTAAAACTACCAACATAAAACAGTAACCTAGCCCACACACCAGTTAACTGCCTTCATCCATGCACCCCATCAAAAACTTACGGAAGCATTTTAAAGCCACCTTTAAATGCAGGAGGTGGGACCTGCTTAATGTCTAACTTTTAATATGGAGTTGTGGAGCCACAACCAAGAAGGCCCAGTTATGCATTCTCATCTGTGTCTCCAAAAATTTTTACACATCTTTTACACAATTTTTACACATTTACTTGGGAAGACAGGTGAACTAATTCCCCCACTGGAAAGACGTGTGGATCCAGAATTGGCCTCCACAGTCACTTACGGACTCAACTGTTAAGACTGTGTTTATGGAAGACAATCTTACTCGGCTACAAGTGATCGCCAAAGAAGAAGAATTATATCTGTAAACACTTGTGTGTTTCGCACTGGCCCCTTAATTTTGTGTTGCTTTTGTGACTCCCTTGGTCAAGGCAATTGCAGTTAACAGTTTGCAAACATGGCCAAAAGGTGTTGTTTCCTATTTTCCCATCCCCCCAAAAAATCACCCTAGGTAATTCAAGTGAAAAAGAAAAACAATTAAACAGAACTTGTGAGAACACGGGGATGAAAACTCATTGAGTTTGAAAAATGGTAGGGGGTCAGGCAGATTTGTCACAGTTGCATGAATGATCAGTTTAATAGTGAGTTGCATTTCCTACTGGCCTGCCCTGGTATGGGTAATTGGTGCCATTATGCCAGTGTGGAGACTTCTTAAATATAGGGAGACCTCAGGCATTCTTTGGTAGTTGGTAGAGCCAACATCTGCAGCTTTCTGGTAGGCTAAAATAGTCCTTGCAAGGACCGCACCCTGTGCTTTAATGACTCGTTTCCCTTATCTCTCTCAAACATGTGGTATTGAATTAGAAGGTTCTGCAAAACCAAAGATGCTTTAGGGGAGCTGTCCACAGTATTTTAGGGTGGTGGTAGGGTTGTTTAACATGCCACCCATTGCTTAGAACCCTGTAATCTAATGTTCTCTGTGGCACAGTTCGAAATCTATAGTTAGCCAGGAGCAGGGTGAGGTTTTCCAGCCGTGGCAACTTTATTTTTAAACATGTCTATTTTTGTTTCTTTCATTTCCAAGTCTTTTGCTGAGTAGTGAACCAGGAGCTGGCAATATGGTACCGGTGCTGAATCTGGCTTTTTAAAATCACATTTGTTTGAAGGGGGTGTGTGAGGACATTGGGGAACTCTCTAGTTCCTCTTTTGCCAGCCTCTTAATGGGAAATTGAATAATAGGGCACATATGTTATGAACTAAACTCTTCCAGAGTGAAAGGGTGAAAAACCTTAACACTTGTTGGTGATACACGTGCCCTTGGCTGCTTGGTTAATAATGATTTTATTTTTTATAATTTCAATAATTTTAGTTTTAATGTTTAAACATTCATAAGGGTAGGAGTTACTAGGGTCATGGAATATAGTTGTCTTCTCTTTAACATAAGGGAAATCATAGCCCCCCCCCCCATCTAGAGTGGTAGAAGTGGGCAGAGATATGTTGGAAAAATCAAAGAACTTGCTTAGAAAAGGGTGACTTTTAAACATGACCCAGTTAATTAATGCTCGTAATGATAAGTCCCCATCAGATCCCTTGTCAATTTAAGTGGTGTGTTTCATTTGCTTGACCAAATCGTTTTTCATAAACTGAAATCTGCAGGCTGGCCTGACTTCTGCCAAAACACTGATCTGCATCCAACTTCTGATCTGACTCAGATCAGGCCCATTGAGGTTGATGTAGTGAAGTCAGCTGTGCCCATTCATTTCAGTGGGTCTTCTCTTGAGTATGACGAGCATCGGACACAACCCTCTGTCTCTAGCAAACGCTGCCTTTGCCACTTTTGCAGGTCGCCTCTGGCTTTTATGAAACAGGTGACGCTGCAAATTTTATGGACTGAGAACGGGGGCGGGGATGATTTGGGGAGGGGAAGGATGCCAACTCAGGAGTGAACTTAGGAATGCAGTTCTCAGGGTTCTCTGGAAGGAGAAGGTGGTTTCTTAAACCAATGTCTGTCTTGTAGTTTTGATATGCCCTCTGATCACAAAAGGAGCACAGCAAATCCATACCGGATTTAGGCCAGTGACCTGAAGAAACCTAGGGAAGTTTTTTACCGTGTGGTTTTTGTACTGTGGTCTGAATAGCAGAAGTTGGGCTGTGGTGGGTGAGTTGGTCACATTGCAGCATAAGGCTTGACTTGATGTTCTTTCTCTGCCTTTTCAGCGTCATCTAGGGGTGCACAATTACGTAATTCTACTGCATGTACCACAGTGGTAGAGAGTTTTCATTTTTGAATACTTTCTAGCTTTGCCTACTGGGACATTTTTTTCATATTTGAATACTTTCTAGCTTTGTTTAATGGGACAGGGGCTGTGCATGACACCAGAACCAGTGTGGCGCTTCAGTTTCCGATTCCGCAGGGCTTATGTCTTCACACGCTTTCAAGTGTGCTGTTGTAAGCATGAGTTCTAGAAACTTGTTTGGAAAGCCGGATGCTGTGGCCTTTTCCTTGTTCCGAGGCAGAATCCCAGCAGTTGTTCTGCGGGGAAGGGTTGTTTTGCATTTCACCTGACCAGATAGCGAGGCGGCGGCGCCCTAATAATGCGGAAGGAGATAATGATCAGAAACATCTTCCTTCGCCCTCGGGGTGATTTCTGCTGGGAATGCATGGCGTCGCCTTGTGCAGGCATTGCTGAGAATACAGGGCTGGCTCAGGGCAGGTGAGGATGACTCAATTAGAGCACTTTTTGCACTCTGGTCCTACCCATTGCATGTGGCTTTCACCCTCAGGATGGCACAGGTACAGGTAGGTCTTCTTCTACTTCCCTCTTCCCCCTTTAAAACATGTTTGCCGGCATTTTCCTTTGACAGGGGTTAGGCTCCAAGCGCCATCTCGGCCTCTTGAACCGGTTGTGGCGCTTAAGTTAAAAAGCGTGATTGCAAAAAAAAAAAAAAAAAAGCATGGGAGGGGCAGCTGCCCCACACTTAAATCAAGCAAATACATAAAAATACTTAGCTAAAAGTAGAGATTGTAGAACGGTTTTGACAGATTTTTCTGAGCACTTGGGGTCAGAAGAAATGAATTTTAAACAACTGTTGTTGAGACATCTCATTCTGAATCTGCTAGACCAGGAGTTCCCAAAGTGGCTGTTACTGCCTCCGGGGTGTTTGTGGATTACCTAGGAGGCACTAGGCACCAGGGGGGCGCTGGGGGTCGTGTAAATGACTATCGGGCTTTGAAAAGCTGGCATCAGTGGATCAACTTTTGTTGAATCAATTAAACAAAGCAGTTTTTAATGGATTTTGCATGAATGCGCTATGAATGGTTGCCGTTTCGAGTTTTATTGCGCTATCGTTGGCTTCCTCGGTGGATCATGCAAACTGCCGGTCCGAATGCTTTCTAATGGGCCCCAGGGGATGAGTTTATGGAACCAAGGGGGCAGTGGGCTGAGAAAAGTTTGGGGACCACTGGATAGAGGATGGTGACAGGTGGGTGTCCTGCCAGCACCCATCTCCTCCCCTTGCCAACATAAATCCTGGCTACGCCCATGGAACGGGGACCAGGGCGCAAACTTTACGGGGATACCCCCCCCTCTCTCTGCTTGCCCCGAAGTGTCTCCCCTCGGCGTGGAGGAGGGCGCGCGCGCTCCGGGATGCACTTTCTCCGTTGCGGCGTCTCCTCTTTTGATCTCTGCCCAGGAGCCGCTGCTATTGGCTGCCTCTCTTGTGACGTGCGGGGACTGCGGTTGTCCTATGTAGCAAGCGCCGGGCTTAGTTTCCGTCTCTTTCCAGAGACCCGGGATTCTCTGCTGGGTTGGTGCGGGTGGGGAGGGGGGAGGGAGAAGCGAAAGGAGGAACCCGGGGGCCGCTTTCTCCCCCCAACCCCTCCACCCCAACCCTCCTTTAAAAAAAATAGGAGGGGAGGGGTGGAAGGATCAGCTCTCCGCCGGCCCTCGGCGTTCAAAAGGAAGCTGGCCAGGGAGAGAGAAGGGGAAAGCTGTTTTTTTCCCCATGGAGAGCGATGCAGGGAGCAAAGTTGGAAGTGTGAAGCGAAACTAGGGATCTCCCGCTCCCCCGCTGCCGCTTGACGGCTGGGATCCGGTCCAAGAGCGCACGTGAGTCTGCCGCACTTGGGGTGACGGGGAGAGGAAGAGAGAGCAGAGTTGAGCTGAGATCTGGCCAAGGGCAAAAGGGACACAAGAGAAAGTGGATGGGGCCCGGGACCCTGGGGGTGGGGGGCAGGAGGGTGCTGATGGGGAGGCAGAATCCGAGTAGCGTTGAGTGGCAGAGGAGATCTTGGAAGCAGTAGACTTGGGGCGAGGGGGGCAGCAGTTTTGCAGAAGTTTGGGGATGGGTAGGGATGGGTAGGCTTATAGATGATAAGTGTAGCTGTGAGATGTCATGTGGATAAGTAAGTGATGAAGAGTTAATGGGGGGGGCGTTGATCCCAGCTCTTTGATGGGATCAGAGGAAGGAGAGGTTATATATAACCTTAGCCATTAAAGATCTGTGGTCCATTTATGTTGTTCTGCCTTATAAAACAGCAGCCCATTGCACTTAGGAAGAAATTCCCCCTCCAGATGCTGATTACTGGAGTGTTAGACGAAAGGAGGGTTGTGGGAAGAGAGGTGGTGATGATCCAGGGAGGTCATTTAAGGATGTAAAGGGGTGCATTGTGCCAAGGCAAGGGCACAGATATGCCTAGAAAAGTTGCCTTCCCTTTACACCGTCCTATTCCAGAAACCACCTGCCACCCATGCACCCACCACTTGTTTTGGTGGGGAGGAAGTGACTTGTCCTTGTACTGTAGTAGGTTTTTGATTTACAGTGGTACCTCAGGTTAAGTACTTAATTCGTTCTGGAGGTCTGTTCTTAACCTGAAGCACCACTTTAGCTAATGGGGCCTCCTGCTGCTGCCGCACCGCCAGAGCACGATTTCTGTTCTCATCCTGAAGCAAAGTTCTTAACCTGAGGTACTATTTCTGGGTTAGCGGAGTCTGTAACCTGAAGCATACATAACCCGAGGTACCACTGTATTTATTTTTTAATGCTGTTCTTGTTTTGCATTCTGTGAGTACATGAAAGCTGCCGCCTCTTTGATTCCACTGTCCCATTTGGGGTGGGGCGAGCGCATTATGCAGGATCTCAGAGATGGGGAAGGACTAGGCAAGTTGTCTTACCTAATAGGGGCAGCATAGGAGCGAACTCCTAAAATATTTGAGCGGGCTGCCACCGCCGCCGCCACCGCCCCAAGTTGATGGGCATTGCCATTCAAATTGTATCTGTGCACCACATCATGTGATCGATGGCGGGGCTTACCTCCCCCCCCCCCCCCGATATTTCATTCCAGGGCAGGAAGGGTCCCTGAGACTGCCAGCATTAGAATGGGAGGCCAGAAGTTGCTTATCGCCCCAGGACATCGTCTGGAGGCTCATGACACAGCAGCCTTGCCAAAGATCTGGCTTGTCTGTGTTTGCTTGGAAGGCTGCCTGGGGACCCAACCTGGGCATAGGCTGATTTTTTCCCCTATAGGAACAAAGACAGGATGTAACTGCAACAAATACACAGAAGATAGAGTGGTGGTCATAGCACCTTCTGATCTAGGCAGTGAGATCTTTGCGGGCTCCAAAGATGCAAAGAGGCTTTGGGGGTTTTACTCCAAGAGAGCCAGGGTAGAAAGTTGTTTGAGGGGGGCCAAGGAGACAACATTGCTGCCAGTGCCAGTTTGAGGTGCCAGTCCGCGGGCTGTACTAGGGCAAGCAGATCCAGGAAGCTTCATACTTAATCCAAGGGACTTGGATGGATCTGGGATTTGAAGGAGTCTTTGAGATACTGAGCAGGAGTTCTGGCTCTCGGAATGCTTTTAAGGAAGCAAGGCAATGCCTTTTGATGTGACAGGCAGCTGAGGGTACTTTGCATGGATTGTACTGAGTTCAGTGGTTGAACATCTGTAGGCCAAAGTTTCAGCTTCAATCTCCAGGTAGGAGTGACTCGTGTCTGAAATACAGTGGTACTTAATTCATTCCGGAGGTCCATTCATAACCTGAAACTGTTCTTAACCTGAGGTACCACTTTAGCTAATGGGGCCTCCCGCTGCCACTGCGGCGCGATTTCTGTTCTCGTCCTGAAGCAAAGTTCTTACCCGAGGTACTATTTCTGGGTTAGCGGAGTCTGTAACCTGAAGCGTCTGTAACCCGAGGTACGACTGTACTGGAGAATCCCTCGCAGTCAGAGCAGGCAAGTCGTGCATTAGACGGACACAATGATCTAACTTGGTACAAGGCAGTGTAAAATGCTCCTGCAAGGCAGATGGCTTGCATGCAGTTTACAATATAACCGTACCTTGGTTCTCGAACGGAATCCGTTCTGGAAGTCCATTCGACTTCCGAAAACCAAGGCGTGGCTTCCTGCACTCAACTGGGTTTGCGGCGTTCAGGAGCCAAAATGTTCGAGTCACAAGGCGTTTGAGAACCAAGGTACGACTGTATGTTACAAGCCTTGCCTGTCTCAGAAATGTGCTACACAGGACTATTATTCCCATTCTACAGAGGCAGAACTGAGGCAAAGAGAGGAGTGGCTTGAACCCAACACCCTCCCAGGGCCACGCCGATTCTTTTAGGGCCAGCAGCACTGGAGAGCAATTTTGTCGTGCCCCTGAAATTGTAAATGCAAGGCCTAACCTTAGCAATTCCAGGGGGAAGGGGGACATCTTCAAGGTCATGTTTGTCTCGTGGTAACTGCAAGTAGAAGCAGATTTCCAGCTTGGTCCTTGTGCCATGAGCAGGATTGTGTGTGCTCTGCCTTCTTCCCTCAGTATATGGTGGGGGTCCCCTCATGCAAATTATGCAATTGTGTACTCTAGTTTCTTGGACGCGGTGGTGCTGTGGGTTAAACCACAGAGCTAAGGGCTTGCCAATCAGAAGGTCGGCGGTTCGAATCCCCACTACGGGGTGAGCTCCCGTTGCTTGGTCCCTGCTCCTGCCAACCTAGCAGTTCGAAAGCACGTCAAAATGCAAGTAGATAAATAAGTACCGCTCCGGCGGGAAGGTAAACGGCGTTTCCGTGCGCTGCTCTGGTTTGCCAGAAGCAACTTACTCATGCTGGCCACATGACCCGGAAGCTGTACACCGGCTCCCTCGGCCAATAAAGCGAGATGAGCGCCGTAACCCCAGAGTCGGCCATGACTGGACCTAATGGTCAGGGGTCCCTTTACCTTTACCTTTTACTCTAGTTTACATTATTCTTTCTGGAGGCAGGATCTAAAGCCGATATGGGGAACCTGTGGCCCTCCAGGTAATGGCCAGGGATGATTAAAGCTGCAGTGCGGCAACATCTGGAGGGCCAGATGTTCCCCAGCCCTAAAGTTACACAAGGCACTGAAACCTAGGCTATTGGAAACCCTGCTCAGCACCCCCCTGCCCTCCTTAAAAAATTCACCAATCATTTGCTCTGCATCTTCAGATCGTTCCCATTTTGAAAGCTTAAAAACTTGGGTTCTCAAAAATCAAAGTAACTGCAAGCAGAGTTAAGGAGGCGAGATTATAGGCTGTTGCATCAAAAGAGTTGTACCTCTTGGCAAAAGTCCCTGTCTTATCTTGAGCGCTCTTCCTCATTCCCGAATGCACATGGACACAGCTGCTTTGCTCAAACCCTTCGCTGAAACGTTTATCCACATGTACGCACCCACGCCATCCTAAAATGCTCTGTGTTCCTCATACCTCTTGCCCCTGCATACCGATAAAAGATTGCACTCATCTTTCTGGTATCCCGGCTTTGACTTCCCCGTTCGTCAGTTGCTCTTAAGCTTCTCGCCCGATTACCTTCCCCATTTTCCTGCCCTTCCCTTCTTCCTCCCCATGCAAAGTTCTCAACACCCACATTCTCTGAGCCTTCTGTTGCAAGGAGAGAGTAACTCCGAATGTAGGGCATGTTTGGAAATCGTGGTTTAAACGTCTTCAAATATAGCATCCCGGAGATCCTCTCCAAACAAGCGTGCTGTTTAATTTGCTGGATGTAGAGCCTTCCAATACAAATAAGAGGTTTCTCCATACAGAGTTTTATTTCATTCCCTATTAATTTTCTTTTTTGTTTGTCCTTCTTGGCCTTCTCTCTTCCATTCCCCCCCCCAACCTCCTGGTCAGGTGTTTTTCCTTTCTGGGGGGACTCCTACAGACCAGCTGCCATTAGGCAAGCGATATGTTTATCCTGTCAGTGTGGAAAAGAAGGGATTTTAGAACAGACCAGCTTCTTCAAAGAAAAACAGAGAAGGCTAAATTTAGAATCTACCTAAATGCCTCTCCTCTAAATTAAAGGCATTCCGTTTAAAATAAAGCCTCTCCAAAGCTCAGTGCAGTTCTCCTTAACATGGAGGAATGCCTGAATTTTTTTGTTGTAACTGGATGGACGTGGCAACCCCGGTTGAGGATTGCGGGTGACACGGTGCAGAAGTGATTGCCTTTTTTGTCCTACCTCACAGGGTTATTGAGAACGATAAATTGGGCAACGATTGTAAGTTGCTTTATACGCAGAGAGGGGCTGTGCATATCGGCCAGTTTTCGGTGTGTCATTACTCTGGTACGACCAAGGGCAGTTTTCTGACCATTTCTGGCACGAATTGGATGGATCCTCCGCCGTACGCAAGTATTCCCTCCACATAGGAAGCTAGCACGCCAGAGAGGAAGTCTGGGAGTCCTGAAATGCTCGTTTTCTGCACGGAGGGAATGTTTTTGTATTGGGGGACAGCCATTCATTACAAACCCCCTTGTTCAGGGATGGTATGTCACCGAGTAACAGTTGCTGAGGATAAACATTGTGTCTCGTCTCCGTGCAGGTCATAGAGATGGAAGGGACCCTGTGGATTATCTGGTCCTATCTGACCTAACGTAGCCATCGTTGTTGTACATTATTATTATTATTATTATTATTATTATTATTATTATTATTTTATACCCCTCCCATCTGGCTGGGTTTCCCCAGCCACTCTGGGCAGCTTCCAACCAAATAATAAAAACAATAGAGCGTCAGACATTAAAAACTTCCCTAAACAGGGCTGCCTTCAGTTGTCTTTTAAAAGTAAAATAGTTGTTTATTGCCTTGACTTCTGCTGGGAGGGCGTTCCACAGGGCAGGTGCCACTACCAAGAAGGCCCTCTGCCTGGTTCCCTGTAACCTCACTTCTCGCAGCGAGGAAACCACCAGAAGGCAGAACGATGGGGGTGGAGACGCTCCTTCAGGTATACTGGGCTGAGGCCATTTAGGGCTTTAAAGGTCAGCACCAACACTTTGTATTGTGCTCGGAAACGTACTGGGAGCCAATGAAGATCTTTCAGGACTGGTGTTATATGGTCTTGGTGGCCACTCCCAATCACCAGTCTAGCTGCCGCATTCTGGATTAATTGCAGTTTCCGAGTCACCTTCAAAGGTAGCCCCACGTAGAGCTAATCTCCTGCTCACATATTTTGGTAGCAGAGCTATCGTCATGCCGGGGGGGGGGGGGTTGCACACATCATGAATGGCTTGAAAGAAAACAAGGAAGACTTATTAAGCTCTGACCAGTTTTTGGAAGAGAGATGACAATCACTAAGATTGCCAGATTTGCTTTTCGTTTTATTCCGCAGCTGAGCACAGAGGTTCCTTATATAGCCATGACTGATTACTTTATTTCATATATAAAAATACGTACATTCCACGTTTCAGACAAATACTGTTTCCCAAATTCAGGTAGGTAGCCATGTTGGTCTGACACAGTCGAAATAAATAAAAAATTGTCCAGTAGCACCTTAGAGACCAACTAAGTTTGTTCCGGGTACAGTGGTACCTCGGGTTAAGTACTTAATTCGTTCCAGAGGTCCGTTCTTAACCTGAAACTGTTCTTAACCTGAAGCACCACTTTAGCTAATGGGGCCTCCTGCTGCCGCCGCACCACCGGAGCACAATTTCTGTTCTCATCCTGAAGCAACGTTCTTAACCTGAAGCACTATTTCTGGGTGAGTGGAGTCTGTAACCTGAAGCGTATGTAACCTGAAGCATATGTAACCTGAAGCGTATGTAACCCGAGGTACCACTGTATAAGCTTTCGAAAGCTTGTACCCAAAACAAATTTAGTTGGTCTCTAACGTGGTACTGGACATTTTTTATTTATTTTGACTGTTTCCCAAAGTTTACTTAATATATTGCATTTATATCTCACCTCTCCTCCAAGGAGCTTGAGGTGGCATGCGCATTTCTCCTCCTCCCCATTTTGTCCTCACAGCAACAACCACCCTGCAAGGTAGATTTAGGCAGAAAGTGAGTGACTGGCCCCAATATCAACCTAGTTGAGCTTAATGGCTGAGTGGGGATTTGAACCCTTCTCTTCCCCAGACCCTGATCCAACTCTCTATAACCACTAGACCACACTGCTCACATCAGTCATAATAATAAAGTGAGAAGCAGGCCTCTGCCCTGAGATCTACAAACTTAAATAGATGAGCGATAAAGGGAAGAGGAGAAGTGGAGGCCAAAGGTGGAGGGAGATCAGTCTGACAATGTCAAGAGCAAAGGTGCGAGCTGTAAAACAGACGGTTGGCACCTGGTTGGAGCCAGGCTGCTCTTAAACTCCCTGGACGCTTTGCTTGGGTGGAAGCGACCCAACATCCTTGGCTCTTTCTAACCCAGGGGTGGGGAAGCATTGTTTTCTGACCACAGGCTGCATTCCCTGCTGGGCCGCTGGAAAAAATGGGCAGATCAATAAAAGTACATGTATGTCGCGGCTGGTTTCCACACCCTCGCCGTGCCCTCTTTATCCTCCACCCACGACAAGCATCATTATCCTCCTTTGAGGACGCGCACAAGGCAAACAAAAAAGGGCTTGGCTTCGGGAGCAGGGCTGGTGAGGGGTGAGACCTTGGGAGAGTTCTGAGGGCCACACAGAGGCCTGGGGGGAGCCCCACATTTGGCCTGGGGTTCCCCACCTCTGCTCTGATTGGCAAAGGCCAGCACCTGCTTCCCTCTACCGGCTCTGCGGTCCCCAAGGACAGGGATGGAGATGTTGTTGAGCTGCCAACCCTTGGCCATACTGGCTGGGGCTGATGGGAACTGGAGTCGGCAGACCCTCCAAGCGTCCCTGTTTTCCAGGGACAGTCCTGGATTTACAGGAGCCATCCCGTTAATATTCTGAATATATATTCTGTAAGCCACCCAGAGTAGCTGGGGAAACCTAGCCAGATGGGCGGGGTATAAATAATAAAATTGTATTGTTGTTGTTGTTGACTTGACCCCGGAATGTCCCGCTTTTCCTTAGGACGTCCCTGTTTTCATTGGGGAATTGCTGGAGGGTATGGTAGAATGTTAAGTCCCTATTTTCATTGGAGGGTATGGAGTTAAGCGACACACACACACACACCCGAGCCAAGGTGAGAAGTGACTATGGAACCTTTAGAAGACATCTGAAGGCAGCCCTGCATGGGGGAGTTTTTAAATGTTTTCTTGTGTTTGTATATATGTTGGAAGCCGACCAGAGTGGCTGGGGCAACCCAGTCAGATGGGTGGGCTAATAAATAAGGAATAAAAAGGTAAAGGACCCCTGACAGTTAAGCCCAGTCGCAATCGTTTCTGGGGTTGCGGCGCTCATCTCGCTTTACAGGCTGAGGGAGCCGACGTTTGTCCGCAGACAGTTTTTCCGGGTCATGTGGCCAGCATGACTAAGCCGCTTCTGGCGAAACCAGAGCAGCACACGGAAACGCCATTTACCTTCCCGCCAGAGTGGTATCTATTTATCTACTTGCACTGGTGTGCTTTCGAACTGCTAGGTTGGCAGGAGCAGGGACCGAGCAACGGAAGCTCACCCCGTCGCAGGGATTTGAACCGCCAACCTTCTGATCGGCAAGCCCTAGGCTCAGTGGTTTAGACCACAGCGCCACCCGCGTCCCTAAACAAGGAATAGGGCACCCCTATTTTCATCAGATTAATGTTGAAGGGTATGAGTTGGGGGCAGGGGCAGAGGTTCCCCATCGCTGCCCCAGGCTAGCTGAGAATTGGAACAGAGTATTTGTCCTGGCTCGTGTTTAGATATCCCCCCTTTCCTTTCCTTCCCTTCCCTTCCCTTCCCATGCCCAGGGAATCGTTGATTCATTCTCTGGAAAACTCTGTTGTGATCTCTTATCTCCCTTCCCCCAGCCCCAGTGCTGCTGCTGCTGGATGTGCCAAATATTAGCATGACTCAGCTGTGCTCCAGAGAACAGTTCTCCGATGTTTAGGCTGCGCTTGGAGTTTCTCAGCAGGGAGGTTAAGCAGGGACGCAAACATTGTATTCCTCTCCAGCCTCTCGCCAGCTACAGAGGTAGGGCGGCCGCAAATGCCTCTTTGGAGAGGAAGGTATTTTGAAATGTTCTGAGTGCTTTTGGCGGCATTGCCCAAGGAGAGGCACTCTTGTGTTATTTGCACACCGAATGGCCCTTTCCTTCTGCAAATCAATAAGGCCTCGGTGCAGAGGCGTGTGGAGGAATCCCAAGGAAGGAAGGCTGCTTTAGGGAAGAGGCTGTCCCTGAGCTGCCTTTGCCCTGGCTGGAAAGTTCAGATTTCACCCTTGCAAGTCCAAAAGAAGACGGGGCAATTGCAGCTTTGGGTCTGGGTCATGGGAGACCTGTGTTCAAGTGCTGCCTCCACCGTAGCCTTTGCTCTAAGACCATGGGAGCATCGCACACCCTCTGCCCAAACTTCCTGCATCTACAGAGTTGGGAGTGTGATTGATTTTACTTCCCTTTTGGGTGTGTTGGCAGGGAACATAGTGTGCCATACACTTGGCCTACTTTTGTTGCAATCCTCACTACACCGGCTGGTGAACCGGTGTAGATCAAGGCAGTACAACCTCTTAGACCAAGTGAGCCGCAAGAATGCTTTTGACACAGAATCCTGGGGCCACACAGCGCAATGACCCAGAATGCAACCTCTGTGCAAACGGGGAGTTGCCTGTATTTAGTTTTTAATGTGTTGTAAACCGCTTTGAGATGTTTTTCTTCAAAATACAAAGCGGTACAGAAATGAAAATAAAGATATAAATTAATTAAATAATAATAATCTGATCCCAAAAAAGGCACCTAGACATTCCGTTGCAGTGACTGTAATTTAGGCTTAAGATGCCACTTCGCAATTAGACAAATATGAGTTTCCAACACTGGTTGCATCGTGAAATGAGGCCTTTCACAAATGCCCGGTGCACATCCATAAAATGAAATGCGTGCAAGTTAGATATGAAATATTGGGCAGTGGCATGAAATTAGAAGCTGTTTCAAATCTGCATCCCCAGAAATCTGCAAACCAAACAGAGAGGCCCCGGCTCTCTAATCATTTGCAGGACAAGGATTCCTGTAGTTGCTAGGCTCCTTTATCTCTTTACTTTGACCAACCAGATTCAGACTTGCTGGAATAGGCAGAGGGAGCAAGCTGACCTGCCTTAGCAAGGATGCGGCGTGTTTGCCTGCTTTTTAACTGTGCTTTTGATGCTCCGAGAACGTGACTGGTCCTGTTTTGTCGCATGACAAGCCTTGCAGGTGCAGGAATGGGAAAAGGTCTCTGCAGGCAGAGCGTCAGAGTGGTGGTACAGCGTGGATGGTGTTGGGTTTGCCTGTGAGAAGCTGTGTCCAACCCTCGCCTTCAGTGGAACTAAAATGTTCAGGTATCTGAGGGGAAGCCCCATTTTTGTTTTACCTCTCAGTCACCTGCTTCTCTTCCCCCATGACTCCCCTTTATTCTATTGGTCAGGGAGAGGATTGTGTTTCCTGGGCAGTGGTGGTTTCTGAGATTTCCCCCGCGCTTGTCTCATTCATTGGAGGCTTGTGGTTGTGTGCCCTTTCAGCCTTTTGGAGAGGGATGGGGTAGGTGCTTCTTTAATGACAAGGTGGATCGTAGGTAAAGGTAAAGGGACCCCTGACCATTAGGTCCAGTCATGACCGACTCTGGGGCTGTGGTGCTCATCTCGCTTTATTGGCCAAGGAAGCCGGCGTACAGCTTCCGGGTCATGTGGCCAGCATGACTAAGCCGCTTCTGGTGAACCAGAGCAGCGCACGGAAACGCCGTTTACCTTCCCGCCAGAGCGGTACCTATTTATCTACTTACACTTTTGACGTGCGGATCGTACCGTGACTTAAATTTAGTGGCTTTAATTTCCCAGGCACACTAGCTTGCGGGATCTACAGTGGTATCTTGGGTTACAGACGCTTCAGGTTACAGACTCCGCTAACCCAGAAATATTACCTCGGGTTAAGAACTTTGCTTCAGAATGAGAACAGAAATTGCGCAGCAACGGCATGGCAGCAGCAGGAGGCCCCATTAGCTAAAGTAGTACCTCAGGTTAAGAACAGCTTCAGGTTAAGAACTGACCTCTGGTACGAATTAAGTTCTTAACCTGAGGTACCACTGTAGTTTGGGTGTGACTAGTACCTGGAGATCTACCCAGTTGCAAAAGGAATACACTTTTAGAATGAAAGAATAGTGCTACTGAGCATCTGCTGAACACAGGGATTTGTTTAGAGTGTGGCAACTGTGACCTGAGTTTACCCAAATCTGTTCCTAGAAACCTTCAGCTGCCTCCACTCCCACGCCCCCATTACGATCGTTTGATGGAGGGGGGAAGAGTAATGTTATCATAGCTATGGCTGAACAACAAGGAGTCAGAAATCCCCATCAATCAACTGCAAACTGCACAGAAATCTGCTAGTAGATCCTGGTTGTCCTGCTCATTCCTCCACAAAAGTGCCCCAGTGCAGTTCATGAGGGTGTTACAGAACAGGCTTCCTCAATCTCAGCCTTCCAGATGTTTTTGGCCTTCAACTCCCATGATCCCTAGCTAGCAGGACTACTGGTCAGGGATGATGGGAATTGTAGTCTCAAAACATCTGGAGGGCCGAGGTTGAGGAAGCCTATTATAGAATCATAGAATTGTAGAGACCTGAGGATCATCGAGTCCAACTCTGTGCAATGCAGGAATATGGAGCTGTCCCATATGGGAATCGGACCTGCAGCCTTGGTGTTACCAGCACCATGCTTTAACCAACAGGGCTTTGGGTCGGGTTGGATAATCGTGCAATGTTATCCTCAAATGCACCCCTTTAAATTTTTATTTCATACAGTGGTACCTCGGGTTAAGTACTTAATTCGTTCCGGAAGTCCGTTCTTAACCTGAAACTGTTCTTAACCTGAAGCACCACTTTAGCTAATGGGGCCTCCCTCCTGCTGCTGCTGCGCCGCCGGAGCAGGATTTCTGTTCTCATCCTGAAGCAAAGTGCTTAACCTGAAGCACTATTTCTGGGTTAGCAGAGTCTGTAACCTGAAGCGTATGTAACCTGAGGTACCACTGTATAAGCAAATGACTACTATTCAGAAGCACGGCACTTGGAGGTGGGCGAGAACAGCATTAACACTGGTCCATCTTCCCTTACTGCAGGGGTGCCCAAACTTTTTTCAAAGAGGGCCAGATTTGATGAAGTGAGGGTCGGCTAAAGTTGTTGGGCTTTTTTTAGGATTGAAGTTGTTGACTTTTTTTCAATTTTACCCCAGGACATATGATGTCATCTAGCTCAATAAAGGTTTCCCTGACCGTTAGGTCCAGTCGCTGATGACTCTGGGGTTGCACGCTCATCTTGCTCTATAGGCTGAGGGAGCAGGCATTTGTCCGCAGACAGCTTGCAGGTCATGTGACCAGCATGACAAAGCCGCTTCTGGCAAATCAGAGCAGCACACGGAAACGCCGTTTACCTTCCCGCTAGAGCGGTACCTATTTATCTACTTGCACTGGCGTGCTTTCAAACTGCTAGGTTGGCAGGAGCTGGGACCAAGCAACGGGAGCTCACCCCGTCACAGGGATTCGAACCGCCGACCTTCTGATCGGCAAGGCCAAGAGGCTCAGTGGTTTAGACCACAGTGCCATCCATGTCCCTTTTAGGATTGAAGTTTACCCCAAAGTTCTTGAGCTTTTTTTAGGATTGAAGTGGTTGAGCTTTTTAACAATTTTACCCCAGGACATATACTGCCACGGATTGGGCCCCCGAAACGTACTTTTGGACATGCCTGCCTTACTGGCATCCTATGGGGCTGTGCAATATGGGCACCACACCCAAAGATGTCCCGCATCAGGCCATTTGCTAGTTCTCTGAATTCTGCCTTCTCTTTGCAGCAAGGTATAAATGGATCTGCAGCTGCCTGTGGCATAGCCCAGTCCCAAGAATCTGACCAGCTTAGGTTGTCCCCAAAAATAAAATTTAAAAACACAACAAAAATCATGAACCATTGCTTGAGAGGTGCCACGTCTCGCTGTGCTTAATTGGTAGCATGTGGCACTGCTGACTCGGCACATCCCACATGTTCCGCACCGTGCTTGCCAAGCCGGGGGCAGCCTAGGACAGGGAACATCCTGTGAAAAGGAAAGTGCTCTCCGGCCCAGAGCAGCGCTAGGACTTTGCCATCTGCTGGAGCAGAGATTCGCCGTCTGTGTTTCCCAGCAGTGGGATTTAAGCTAGCAATTTTTCAGAGGCTTCTGTGTGTTTGGGGTTTTGAACCGTAGCTTTGAGGGATGTGGCAGAAAAGCAGGGGACTGGGACAAATGGATCCCATTCATTCATTCATTCATACATTCATTCATTCATTCGTTCATATATTCATTCATTCATAGAATTCAGCCCTCCTCACTCCAAACAGGCATTGCTTCTTAGTGCAATGTTTACATTGCAGTGACCAGCAAAGCCTTTAACCTCTCCGGTCTACCTGTTGCAAGTCTTTACATGAAGGAGCGTCTCCTCCCCCATCGTTCAGCCAGGACACTGAGGTCCAGCTCTGAGGGCCTCAGTGTCCCTCAGACACCGAGAATTGAGGTTACAGGGTACCAGGCAGAGGGCCTTCTCAGTAGTGGCGCCCTCCCTGTGGAACGCACTCCCATCAGATGTCAAGGAAATAAACAACTATGACTTTTAGAAGACATCTGAAGGCAGCCCTGTTTAGAGAAGTTTTTAATGTTTGATGTTTCATCATGTTTTTAATATTCTTTTGTGAGCCACCCAAAATATTATTACTATTTATTTATTTCAGATGAGAGCAGAGTCAGTTTCAGGTCTGCTCCAGACTACAGATTGGGCACAACATATCTGTTAATCTGCTTGATGAGTTAATAGCATATGAATTTGAGGATTAAAAAATTAATCATCCACTTCAGTTTTTCTTGCACAAATCTGGCGTCCTCAGTATTGTTTATTAAATTAGCATTCTGCCCTTTCCAAGGAGCCCCCAAAGCACCTGTGATTTTAAAAAAATACAATGAAGAGACAACACGACATATTGTAAAAAGTGAAACACCTAAAAACTTTCAAACATTTAAAGCGGTTTAAAAACAGATGTAACCGAATCCCATTTCTGGATAGGCCCACCGGAAAAGGCCATTTTTCAGCAGGCGTCTAATAGAGCCTGGTATCAAGTGGCAGGGAGTTCCGAAGCACAAGGGCTGCCATCTGTGTACCAGGGAAACCAGTCCTGCCACTTTGCAGCAGAATTTGGCTGTGGGCGGCGCTGATTGGCTGGTCCATGAGACATCACAAACCCGCTCACCACCCCAGGGCAATTTTATGACACTTAAAATTTACTTTCCTTGTTTGTTTTCTTTTAAAAAAAGAATGTTTAAATGAATAAATGGTCGTGTAGGGCTTTTTAAAAAAAAGAACACAATGAAAACAGGCAGGCAGCTTTGCAGGGGACAGACTGACAATAACCAGCATTAAAACTGTTGTTCTGTACATCTGCCTCTCTGCTATTTTTATAAGTATGCTTGAGTGCTCTCAGTGGATCAAACTGCAGGTTACGTTCCATGAGTTATCAAGCATTTTCTTAGAATTTCGCTCTTTTACCTTTTCTGGCCACAAGGTGGCAGCGGAGCGAAAGAAGATGACGCTTTTCTCTTCTGCCAATTGCGCCCATCTCTTAAGTAAGAGTTCATGGCTGAAACAAACCAGCAGCCCATGCAGGTTTATATAGAATCTTAGCTGCCCCATGTGATGGTGAGGCAATATATTATGTGAGGCTACAATGTGATGTGAGGCTGCTCGGCAGGGTAGGACTCGAACCCAATGCCTTCAATGTGCAAGAAAGGAGATTCCGATTTCCGACTGAACCTCGGGAAGAACTTCCTCATGGTAAGAGCTACTCGGCAGCGGAGGTTTCTTAAGCAGAGGTTAGATGGCCATCTGTCATGGATGATTTAGCTGGGATTCCTGAATTGCAGGGGTTGGACTAGATGACCACTGGTGGTCCCTTCCAACTCTACAATTCTATGATTCTAGGCCTTATTCCATGTCCTCCCTGAGTGCCATTGCCTAGCCGGGATGTATCCTATGATGATACCTTGATTGACGGGTGTAGAGAGGTGTGAATGACTATTATTTTGAATATGAATATTATTGATTTGTGTAGCCAAAGCCAGTACAGTGGTACCTCGAGTTACAGACGCTCCAGGTTACAGACTCCACTAACCCAGAAATAGTACCTCGGATGAGAACAGAAATCGCACAGCAGCAGCGGGAGGCCCCATTAGCTAAATGAACAGGTTAAGAGCAGTTTCAGGTTAAGAATGGACATCCAGAACGAATTAAGTTCTTAACCTGAGGTACCACTGTAAGAGGGTTGGGTGGGTGTAGAGACCCCTCTGGCTTCTTCATGTTTTTAATGTATCCTAGTACAGAGAGCTAGCAACTTCATCAATCGCTGCACCCCGTATCCCAAAGGTGGCCCACCCCCGATGGGAGTGCGGTCCTGGGACTGCAAAATAAAAATAAAAAATGCCCTTGCTGTAGTCTCTGCTGGCTACCAGGAACCAGTATGGAGTGGGAAGTGTTTTGCATTGTGGGAGAAAGAGTTGAGGGTGGACCACTACAGTGGTACCTCTCAAGACGAATGCCTCGCAAGACAAAAAACTCGCTAGACGAAAGGGTTTTTTGTTTTTTGAGCTGCTTCGCAAGACGATTTTCCCTATGGGCTTGCTTCGCAAGACGGAAACGTCTTGCAAGTTTGTTTCCTTTTTCTTAACACCATTAATACAGTTGCGACTTGACTTCGAGGAGCAACTCATAGAACGTGGTGTGGTAGCCTTTTCTGAGGTTTTTAAAGACTTTGGTGATTTTTTAATCTTTTCCAAAACTTTCCCGACACCGTGCTTCGCAAGACGGAAAAAATCGCAAGACGACAAAACTCGCGGAACGAATTAATTTCGTCTTGCGAGGCACCACTGTACTTCCTTACCTCGAAAGAAGTCACTTCCTCTCTTCCAAAATGGCTTTGCCAGGCGCAAGGGCGCCACTTTCCTAAAGAGATCCACAAACGGCAGACTTTCTCCAGGATCTCTCAGTGATGGAGAAGCCAGACCTTCTCTGCATCCTGAGCTCCCATGCGCTTCAATTTGCACCAGATTTATGGCACGTACATGCAGTAGATTAAAGGCAAATGACTCCCCCACCAAGAATCCTGGGAACTGCGGTTTGTTAAAGGTGCTGTATCTGGGGGGGGGGACTACAGTTCCCATAATTATTCCGAGGAAGCCATGTGCTTTCCGTGCGTGATGTGCATGGAGCCTTATTGATTGATTGGACTGAAACAGAGATGTCGAAAGCAAGGCTGTCTTTTAAAGAAATAACTGGAGCTTATTCGCGAGAAATAACGGGACAGGCGTGTTTCAGTGTGGGCCCTCGCAAAAATGGCAGTGTGTGGTTTCTCTGGCAGCAAAGAGACCTTTCTGTGGCGAGAAAGAGAGAGAGGCAGAGAGAGAGATAACCCCGGTTGATGCAGTGTGTTGGCTACTAAGGAACTGAAGATGAGAAGGTGCTTCGAAAGTGTCGGGCTGCAATGCTTGCTTAAGGTGAGCACGAATCTCCGGAAATGGGCTGCATCTGCTGCAGGGGACCAGGATCTCAAAAGCCTGGATTGCTCGGAGGGCCGCAACCCAAACTGTGCCTCCGTCGCTGGAAGGCAGGGCGAAGCGAGCTCCTTTCTCCAGGGTTGGCCCTGGTAGCAACAGGGCCTGTGGAGATGTGTGTGTGTGTGTGTGTGTGTGTGTGTGGAGGGGGGGTAGCTTGGACTTCAGCGGCGAAAACGCCTTGGTCCGACTCTGGCTGAGGATGCCTCTGTCTGTTAGCTTAACCACTTTGCCTCTACCGCCCGCAACCTCTAGGCCACGCCTCCGTCTCTTCATTGGCTGGCATTCCTCATTTCTGATTGGTGGGCAGGATCTATATAAAGTAGTGTGATGGCAGAGCAAAGCATGCAGGTAAGTCAATGAGGTAGGAGAAGCGAGGCTGGAGAGATGGTGTGGGAGGGGGGCAGTCATCAGAGGCTTCACCACCTTGACATCAGAAAAGATTTGCTCTGTGGGGTTTCAAAGCTCTGTGGGGACTAAAACCCTCATTTCTTTGATTTTCACTGAGTTCTAAAAACTCAGTGAAAATCCAGATGGTGATAACTCCTCCTGAATTCCAGGAAATCCAGTATCGAGCTGCCTTACACAGATCCTCACGCAACACAAAGATCCCCACACAGATTAAAGCCATCTTTCCACCCACCTCAAGTGTATTCATTCTCCAGTTTCCCAGCCTCACATCAGTTGTCCTTTTGGGGCACTGGCATGCAGGTTTCAAGGGCAAGTAATCGTCTTGCTGGCTAAGGAGCGCGGCCTCGATTAAGATGGACGCAAACCCCTGATCCCCTTTACTTGCAGGCTAAGCCTCTTAACGGTCAGAGTTGAAGATAACATGAGGGAAAAGATTATGGCTGGGAAGATATGCTCAAAGAGGCAACCGGGCTGTAGCGATTTTGTCTAAGTAGCTGACTCGGCAGACCTGTTTTCTTCCCCGCTCAAATTTTTAGGCTTTCTCCATACCGGAGTTTCCATTGGGAAATGAAAGGCAACTCGCTGGTAGTTGGAGACATTGAATGTACAAGGCAGGGGGAGATTTAAAAAACCCTGCCCACGGCTAGGGGTTGCCGCTGGGTACTTAAGACTCAGTGGAACCAGTGTTCGAAATTAGCTAGGAGCCAGGCGCATTTTGCACCTGGATTTTGAGCACTTGCGACCAAGTGTAGGCGCCCGGGCACCAGGATAGCACCTGACATCTACACCCTCTGGGGATCATTGGTTCTAGACTCTTTTCACACACTTAATACCCCATCCCATAGAATGCAATCAGTTATATCGCACAATCAACATGAATTTCAGGAACCAAAATGCTTTTTCTGTGCAGCCTGAGCAAGAGCAGTCATCATTAAGGAAAAGAGGTGAGAACAGGCCAATCTATGTTTTAGACTGTCCCTGTAATCCGGTGACTTTTCTTCTTGTAAATTCTCCAAGTTCTTAACCTAGCTCAAGGTTGTCATCTGAACTAGCCAGAGGTTTAACTGAAAATTAGTCACAGTCAGCCCATCCTTTGAAAAAAAAAGATTTTAGAGCCATATTGCCCCAAAATGGCAACCAGACTTTTTGTTTTGGCGACTGCAACCTTGGTTTAAGGAGCCATTTGGCACCTAGATTACATATCTGAGTTTCTAACATTGAGTAGAACACACCCCCTCAGGTGGTGGATTCTCCTTTCATGGAGGTGCCTTGAACGTACTACTGTGTCCGTTTGCTATAACGAATGAAAGCCACACCCAAATAGGACTCCGCGTAATGGCTCTCGCCTCTGTTCTTGCTGCAGGATAGGGCTATGGCCGTAACGCAGGGCCAGAAATACCTCCTCATCTTTGACTTCGACGAGACCATCGTGAACGAAAACAGCGACGAGTCCATCCTCCAGGCTGCTCCGGGGAAGCAGCTCCCGGAGTCGATCCGCAGCACATACCGCGAGGGTTTCTACAACGAGTACATGCAGCGGGTCCTGCAGTACATGTGCGACCAAGGGGTCAAGATGGCCGACTTCAAAGCGGCCTACGAAAGGATCCCGCTCTCCCCCGGCATGGCCGACCTCTTCCAGCTCCTCTCCAAGCAGCAGGACCACTTTGAGATCATCCTCATCTCCGACGCCAACATGTTTGGCATCGAGTGCGCCTTGAAGGCAGCCGGGGCCTATCCCCTCTTCCGTAAGATCTTCAGCAACCCTTCGAGCTTTGACAAGAGAGGCTACTTCACCTTGGGCCCTTACCACTCGCACAACTGCAAGCGTTGCCCGGCCAACATGTGTAAGCACAAGATCCTGACAGAATACCTGGCAGAGAGGGCACAGGAAGGGGCCAGATTCGACTGTGTCTTCTACGTAGGGGACGGAGCCAATGACTTCTGCCCTTCCACCGCGCTGAAGTCGAGCGACGTCGCCTTCCCTAGGAAAGGCTACCCCATGCACCAGCTCATCCAGGAGACTGGGAAAAGCCAGCCTGGGACTTACCAGGCCACGGTCGTCCCCTGGGACTCTGCCGTAGAGATTTCTTGTTACCTTCAAGAAGTTCTCAAGAAGAAATGTTGAGGGCGGGGGAGACCTTTGATGGGAGGAAACAGCTGCTCTCGTTTGGAAAGATCTGAACGATTATAGCATCACGGCTCTCTCACGCTTGGCTTAAGGCTCTCTCTCTCTCGCTCTCTCTGGGCTTTCTCCACCTCAAAATCTCTTGTCTCTGGGTCTCTCCTTCCTTCAGCCTAGAGATAAGGGCTCACTATGCAGTTAGGAAATCCATTGAAGGAAGGGTGGGTGGATGACAGGCCACTTTAAATATTTTTGATTGCCTTTTTGGAAAGCAAAAGCAAAATACTTTTGTAATTGCTAAACCCACGCATCTTGTTTCGCTTGGGCTGGTTCTCAGTAGCGCTCTTAGCGCATGGGGAAATTCTGTCGCTACCAAAGCATTTTGACTGCTCACGGGTGTTGAATATAGTTCTCCTCCCCTTCCCTTAACAAACACCCTTTTAAAAAAAGTTACATTTCCAGATCCTACTCCATCTAACAGGATGTTGGAATTGTCTTTAATTGTTTATCTAAATGGGGGGGGGGCACCTAGTGTCTCTGGAAAGGAATGGGAGAGCCAGAAAGATTAACCCACCTGCATCTTCTGGTTGGACTTGATGATTCCTGGCATCATTTCTCATCTTATGGCTGAGATGACCCACTCTGGTCAGGGACGGAGAACCTACAGCCTCCGGATATTTGCTGAACTACAACTCTCATAATCCCCGACCATTTGCAATGCTGGCTGGGGCTGATAGGAGCTGTGGTCCAACGACAACCGAAGGACTATAGCTCCATCCCCACTCCCTGACTTTGGCCGAGCACGTCGGGAACAAAAAGGGAAAGCACTTTTGCTGCAGCAGCCTATGAATGGTGTTTTCTACTCTCCCCTTCCTTGCCTGGCAAGACAGCCTCTTCAAGGTGTATAGTATTCCTGCTGCTCAGAAAAGGCTGGTGTCTAAAATGAAGGGGGAACGAACAGGATCGGGAGGCCTGTAGGTTGCAGTGAATAGCGAAACAAGCAAAGAGTCCAGCGTGTTGAGAACTGAATGGGTCGGAAGAAGAAGCCAGTCAGGGACGGTGTGCACTTAAGAGTTACAGAGTGGGCAAATGAGAACAGGCGCCATTTTCCTCTAAGGGTGCATCATCCTGGTAAGCACCCAAGTTGTGCTCCCGTTGCACGTTTTGGCTCTTGCTGGCCTGGGTTTCACCTTTGGGCATTTTCCCAGTCCTGCACAGCTCTTTTCCTTGCAGATTCAGGCTGGGTTTTTCTATTCCCCATATGCTGAATTTGTCAATTTGCAGCAGCCACGTCCTCCCAAACGAATGGCGGATTGGGGGCAGGGGTTGCGGAGTAGAAACGGATTGTTTGGCAAGGTGGGAAATCCACGTGGAGTTGTGTCTCGTGCTACAAATGCATCGTTTTAAAGAAAAAGGTGGCTCTTTCTGCTACATCTATATGATGTTTTTTGTACCCACTTACCCACTAATGCGCCGGCTCCCTCGGCCAGTAAGCGAGATGAGCGCCGCAACCCCAGATTCGGCCACGACTTGACCTAATGGTCAGGGGTCCCTTTACTTTTTTACCCACTAATGACTTCCCACAAGGAACCCTGGGCATGGTAATTTGATAAAGGTGTTGAGCATTCTCTCTTCAATATCCACGGATGCCTTTGCAGAACTGCACTCCCCTAGGAACATGAGCATTTATGGAGAGTGGGGGATGTTCCTCCCATAAATGAACCATAATTTCCCATTCTCTAGCCTTCATTTTTTTAAAAAAAGAGCAAGTATTTAGCATTTGTAGAACCTGAGATACGGGGCAAAAATGCACATCTACTATTCTTACTTTTTTGGTGAGAACCGAGCCTGCTTCTTCCACCCCGGGAAAAATGGCTTGAGAACCCCATGCCTGGGAAGAAATCACGTCTATTCAATCAATAGCTACAAAGACTTTAGCAATGGGGGAAACAGGTACCGGACAAAGTTTGGAAAAAGGGACCGTGCAAAACATGTAATCCGAACAAAGCCTGTATCTTTCTAAGTGAGATACATGCCGCTGCCGCAGAAATCCCAAGGGTGTGCTTAATGTAAACAATAAGTGATGGTCCATGAGATCATACGTGGGTCATACGGTCCTATGTGGATTGTGTGTCCTGCCCTTGTGTGCAATGATCTTCAACAGATTGCTTCGAGAGACGCTTCTGTGAGTGCAACCCAAGACCTGCCAGAGTCTTCTCTATTTATGATATTTCTATTGCAGCCTTAAATTTCCCTCTCCCATGCTGCTTTCTCTGAAAACAGCAAGATGTTCCTGTCCCTACGCTTGCCGCCTGCTCATCCACCGCATATTGCACAACCAACCCATTTGTCAGTCTGTCTTGCTTCGCCTTCGCCTGCTCCTTAATTCTGTTTCCTCTGCAAACCTGCTTTGTTGTCAACAACTCCCTCCCTTTCTCCACTGGTCTGTCAATGCTTGTTGGAACTTAAAAGCCATGGAAACTCTTTTGTAAGCGTGCAAAAAAAGAAACAATTAGCAAACAAATTTCGATTTATTTTGTCTTGCGTACACTACAATAACTGCATGCTCTGTGACTACATTTCCAAGTATCCAAAATGCCCTGTAGACTGTTAATTTTGTTTTTTGTTTTCTCCTGCAATGTTGAGTGTATGAACCTCTCTACTTGAGACCCTTGCAAGCATATTGAGGAGAGGGGGATATCCTTCCCTCCTGGGGAGTTGCCCTTTCTGTCCTAAACCAATCTCCCTATACAGTGGAACCTTGGTTCTCAAACGGCTTAGTTGATGAACAAATTGGCTCCTGAACGCCGAAACCCTGGAAGTAAGTGTTCCAGTTTTTTAACGTTTTTCAGAAGCCGAACGTCCGACGCAGCTTCCGCTTCAGTGCAGGAAGCTCCTGCAGCCAATTGGAAGCCATGCCTTGGTTTTCAAATGTTTCAGGTGTTGAACAGATTTCCAGAATGGATTAAGTTCGAGAACCAAGGTACCACTGTATCCGTTGGCCTGTGGGGTGAAGCCACTTCTAGTTTGCAATGAATGGTTTTATAAGCTATCTTTTCGACTGTATACCTCCCTCTTAATGTGCTTCCCTCCCTTCTCCAAGAAGAAAAGAAGAACTGAAGACCAGAGAAAATGGAACCATTCTCAGGCAGCTGCCACCCATCCTTGCCAGGACTGCTGGCAACTCCCAACAGTCCTCACCACCTTGGCTGCGTTGCCTGAAGCTGATGGGACCTGGAGCCCAACATCACCTGTCTTAGCCCGGCACACATTACTGTATACTCTGGCTCCAGTGTGCTCCCACTGCTAGTGTACACATGATGTTAGCCACACAAGTCACCTGTATCCTGTAGTTTCTTGAGAAATACTGCTGTGTGGTGGCATTTCCCCTCAAACCAGTTCACATTCCATTTGAAAACATAAGCCGCATCCACTTCACCGTGAAGCTGAGGTGTGTACATTCGGGACTGCCGTCGCACATGCTCAGACGTCAAGATTCATGAATAAAGAGTTGTTTGGGGGCGGGGGTTGCATGGGGAAAACAAACAGGTAACGTGCAGCTAGTGAAGACCATCGACACCCCACCCTCCAGCTGTGTACACACAATGTGCAAATATAGCTTGAGATGGGGAGGAGGAAGAAACAACCTCACTGTGTTTGAAGCCACTGATGCGCACATAACCTTAACCAGCATCTTAAGCCACTTCTATATTTCCAGCCCTTCAGTTCCTCTCTTCATTCTCAGGCCCACAGCTTCCTTTTAATGGCATCGGTGGTTAAGTCATACATATTCTTGTCTCATCACGTCGACAGATATTCATCCCTGTCCACAACGCCTTTTTAACCACAGCGCGTGCGAAAAGCACAATTGCTAGGCCCTTCACAGCCCAGAGCCTTAGAACCAGCTCCCCCTCCTCCTGTGAAGGCCTAGGACTACACAACATGGCACCCTTCAGATGTTGCTCAACTGCATCTCCCAGCATCCTTTGCCCCAGAGCCTGGCCCACCCATCAGGCAAACTGAAGCAGCTGCCTCAGGCAGCGGAAGCCTCAAAGGCAGTCCCTGCACTGCCTCCACCACACAACCCAGGTAAGGGAGGCTGAGGTGGGGCAGGACTGCACTTTCTCATTTTGGCGAAAGGGGGCAAACTGCTTCTGCCTTGCCCCTGCTGACTCTGGTGACTGGGGCTGATGGGAGTTCCAGCACCTGCAGTGCCCTTAGTTCTCTGTGTCTGCATTAATGGGTGTCAGGAGTGATGGACAAACCGCTCTGATGATCCATGAGCTGCAGTCAACATGGACTCTGTCAGGGAGCTGACAGGCAGAGCAGGTCATTTGCAGGTCTGAGAGAGAGAGAGAGAGAGGTGCTTGGTGAACGTGCAGTTAGTTTCTTCATTAAGGAAAAGAAAGCACAGAGATGACTAAAGGTTGCTCCTGTATTAATGAAGCAGTTGTTCAGATGGGCTTGTAGCCCCTCCTTTACTCCCTAGCCCACTGTCAGGCCCCTCTCGTTGTGATCTTTGGCTACGGTGAGCTCCAATGGACTCCCTTTGTGTCTGCCTGGCTCGCCACTCGCTTGGCAACATGCAATAAACCAGGCATAGGCAAACTCGGCCCTCCAGGTGTTTTTGGGACTACAACTCCCATGATCCCTAGCTAACAGGACCAGTGTTCAGGGATGATGGGAATTGTAGTTCCAAAGCATCTGGAGGGCCAAGTTTGCCTATGCCTGCAATAAACATCACGTTCTAGGAGTGTGGGGGGGCGGGGGTTTGAAAGCTTTCAGCAAAGAAGCTGTCAGAATGGCCCCAAGAGAGAAATGCAAGGTCCGCCTCCCCTCTGTCATCGCTGTTGGTGCCTACATCCAAAATGGAAAACTCCTCGCTCTTTCTGGTCTCTTCGCTATCCCTCAAGCACCCTGTTTCTAGCACTTCCCAACTTGTCCCCTCCTCAGGTGTGTCCCATGTCCCACTACCAGGCCCAGGTTCAAAATCCTCTTCCTCTGCGCCTTCCCTGGGGAGCTCTTGATTGGGCAGATTCCACCATTCTTCCTCATCCAACCAGTCCCTGACAGACATTTGGGTGCACAAATGCCACCCAACATCTCAAATGGGAATGACAGAAATTCAGTGTTCACTACTGTAAAAGAATGTTTCTTTTGCGAGTATCTAGTCAAGTAGCTTCTACCTTCCCTCTAGAGCAGCCTTTCTCAACCTGTGGGTCCCCAGATGTTGTTGGACTACAACTCCCATCATCCCTGAGCTCTGGCCTTGCTAGCTAGGAGTGATGGGAGTTGTAGTCCAACAACATCCGGGGACCCACAGGTTGAGAAAGGCTGCTCTAGAATCTAAACCAGGAGTCAGCCACAAGCAACCCACAGGGTCGTTTAACCGGCCCACGAGCCACCCCCGAACCAAGCCGCCCACTCAGTGAGTCCCTGCGCACTGCACGAAACTGGCGCACAGCACGGCGCAGGGACTTGCTTTCGCGGCGCCGGAAATAGCACCTGCGCACACACAGACACTGGAAATCGTGCAATCTGGCCCACAGAGGGATCTCCGCTGGAGTGAACTGGCCCAGGCAAGGTAAACCTTGCCAACCCCTGACCTAGACCATGATATCCAAAGAGCGCCACCAGCTGGCAGGTGCAGGGCAGCACAACATACCTAGCCTCCTCCAAAGCACTTTGCAGATGCTTTTCTCAATGTAGGGAGCTAAGCTTTCATTCATTTATGCTGTATCTCCCCGCCCCCCCCCATGCCCAACCTTTCCGTTGCACGTATATTACATAACTGGCTTTAAAATCAATTAAAATAACAGCAGTATAACAATGACGCTATGGAAATATAAGAGTATCCACACATGGGATACTCAGGGCAGGCAGAGTGGATGCATCACAGTGTTACACTAAAACTGAGATGGTGTTAAGTGATGGTGTTGATGACGATGAGGCAATCGTTGCTTCGGAAACAGCTGCTGTGGGTTGCAATCCTGTACGTGCCAAATTGGAACTCGGCCCCTTGGCGTTCAACAGGACAATCTCCCACCTAAGTATGTATAGGAGTGCACACACTTAGCACAGCTGTTGCACAGACTTTGTAGAGGAGGAGAAAAGAGAGGAACCACAGCAGATATTTAACCCTTCATCTCTGCATTCCAATCAACTGAGGTGATGGGGATGCTCTGATATTCTTAAATGCCCCCCTCCTAGCTATTACTTCAGCCTGGCTAGCACAAAGTGGGGTGGGAGGGAAATATGGCTGTTGATATGCCAACACACCAACTTCCACCCAAGTTTCCTTCTATGAGACCAAGAGCAGAGTAGTCAGTCTTACCAAATCTCACATTTTAAGTATCTGCATTTTTAAAATAACCAAAAATCTCCAGCATCCGTTCTGCTTCCTTCATGGCAGAGGCTCCGCATAGTTCCCTGGGAACAATCCCTTTGCTTCACTTGTCACCCCCTCACACCAGCCATCTGAGTATCTTCGTGTCACGTAAATAACAGTCCCCTCTGCGAACGAGAGTTCTTGTTCCTGCTGCTGAGTATAAGGGTAGAGGGTCACCACTGAAGGCAAAGGGGAAGAGAAGGGGGAAAGGAGGTCAGCAATGAAAAGCAAAAAAAATCACCAGTCCCGAAACGCATTTACGGAAGGAAGGGAACCTGGGAATGGCAATTTGGGGATCATCCGGTCAATAGGATACATGTCACCCATGGCATTCACTGAATGGCATAAACAGCAGAGGCTTGGTGCTGTTGAGGATGGCGGGTGGAAAGCAAAAGGCCAGTCCACTGGGAAGTTCTGCCGTGGCCCTGTGCAAATTAACAGGAGCTCCACGGCAAACTAATCAGATAGATGGATAGGTGTTTCTCAATGGGGCTCACGCATTAGAGCTTCCCAGCAGACCTGTTAGTACAGTTGTACCTCGGAAGTCAAACAGAATCCATTCTGGAAGTCTGTTCGACTTCCGAAACATTTGGAAACCAAAGCGCAGCTTCTGATTGGAAACCGCAGAAGCCCCGTCAGACGTTCGGCTTCCAAAAGAACATTCGAAAACCGGAACACTGACTTCCGCTTTACGATTGTTTAGAAGCTGGAATGTTAGACTCCCAAGGCATTCAGGAGCCGAGGTACGACAGTATATACAAATTGGATTTTAAACCTTGGGGACTCAAATATCTTTGTACAGCCCCAATATAAAGGTAAAGGTAAAGGACCCCTGACAGTTAAGTCCAGTCACGAACGACTCTGGGGTTGCAGCACTCATCTTGCTTTATTGTCCGTTTACCTTCCCGCCAAAGTGGTACCTATTTATCTACTTGCACTTTGACGTGCTTTCGAACTGCTAGGTTGGCAGGAGCTAGGACCGAGCAACGGGAGCTCACCCTGTCGCAGGGATTCGAACCGCCGACCTTCCGATCGGCAAGCCCTAGGCTCAGTGGCTTAGACCACAGCGCCACCCGCGTCCCCTATTTAGAAAGCCCCATTATAGGGCTTTCTAAACAGAAATGCAGATTGAAAAGGAACAGAGGAGAAATCCACTGCAGTGGTAAGCAGAGAAGCACAACATTTGTGCAGAACAGAGAAAATGCAGGCAAATAAAGAGTCTTGCAGAATTGCATAGTTCTCATTGCGGAACAGGGCTGGGCGATATATCAATACATGGTCCAAAACCGGTTTGAAATCCGTATTAAGATATCAGTTTCATAGTTTTTGACCTGACAATATATTACGAATTATGATGTCTGTGCTATGCAAAAAAATCACAATGCGGGGGAAACCTTGAAGCCAGTCAATGCCTCTACACAGTTCCATCCTTATTTCAGACATTGTGATATATCAGTATATCACAATGTTTAGCTGGTGATATATCACAACCAGATATTGCCCAGCCCTACTGCTGACTAGGTCAAAGGCTAGTCAAACACCTGGGATTACAGGTAAGTGTGTGCACAGCAGATGGTTTCAGGTGGTTTAGACCCCCAAACATATCAGTGCTCATTGTCAGAATGTGAACCGAATGCCCTGGTAGCCGACTCCAGGAGTTGTCTTATATTTAGCAAGGTACCTTTTTCCAGATAGGTGTCGGGGGCCCATGGCAATTTCTCTGGGGGTGGCGGAGGGGGAAGGAGCGGAGGCACCAGCTGCTCCAAATTAGAGGCGTCCAACGGTGGAGGGGTCATTGGAAAATCAAGGTCTGCAAGCAAACACACACACACTACTGACTCTTTCACAAACAAAGAAAATAAAAAATGTGTTCCTGTGTGCTTGGCCTTCCATGCCTGCTTGCCATAATGAGGAGAGAAGTGCATTGAAACGGCATCACACTCACTCAGAGGAATATGCTTAGTGAAGTGTAGGTGGGTTCCCACGAGGCAAGACATAGCGATAACGGCAAGAACCTTTTATTGAACTACATAACTGGGAAACAGGGGCAAAGCAACTGCTTATATACATTCCTGAAAGCCTGGGCCACTCCCACTCCCAACGCGATTGGCTGTCTAAACTTCCAAGCTGCGAATCACGACTCAGGAGTTCAAGGGCCAATGGCAGAGGCCCAAATCCTGAAATGTTCTTTGATTGGACATCATGTATCCAATCAGAACACAGGAGCTCAGAATCCTTAGTCCAGGCTCAAGCTCAGGCAAACACAGACCGCTGAATACATAACATTTAGCATTTCAGGTCACACCGTGACCAACCAAAGGACTCTGGGAAGCAGAACAGGGATGCAATCGGACTCCCCTATTCATTTTCCCCAGCAACTACTCCTCTGCCTGAACTCAGGGTGTCCTGGAAAGTGTACTCAGGTATGTCGGTTCTGAAGCCAATTCCACAGTCCTGCACTTGTGGGATACATAAAGCCAGGCATGCAATTACCCCAGCTAATTTTGAGTTCAGTTTTGTTCTGGCTTTGAAAAAGGAGGAGGAGGTAGCCTTACCTGGGGTGACATCGCTGACTGCAAAAGGTGGTGGCGGTGGCAATAGATCTTCTGGAAGAGGAGGAGGAAGAACATCACTTGCCTCTGCCGGTGGAGGAAAAGGCGAGAGCGCAGGCGGTGGAGGTGGTTCAGTAGATGTGATCATACCAGTCTTCTCCATAGCTTCTGTGGGGCTGCAGTGACATTCAAAGGAGGAAGATTTAGGTAAATGCAAGGTACGCTGCACCTGGGCAGGGATGGGGAATCTGTTGGCCTTGTGGATGTTGTCGGACTACAGTTCCCATCATCATTGATCATTGCCCATGCTGGCTGGAGCTGATGGGAGTTGTAGTCCAACAACATCTGGAAGCCCCAGGTCCTTTCCTAGTGGAGGGTCAGCACAGAAGACGCCTGAGCTGATGATACAAGAAGGAAAGACCATTTCTTGATGCTAGAGAGGGGAGGCTGAGCTAGATGCTTTCACCCTGCTGGGCTCAGGTGGATTTTTACTTTCGTTGCTGCACTGTAGATGTTGCAATGGGGGATGTTTCAAAATGGCACCCCCATCCCAGCAGTCTCAGATGGTTCAGCTGCAGGCTTCCATTGCCTTATGTTGTGGAGCAGGATTAAAAGCGTCATTTTGTGGAGCCCAAACAAAGCTAAGAAGGTCTGAGATGCAAGTCATTTCACCATCTGTTGTCTGGAGCCGTGGCTGAGCGGTAGAGCATCGTGCTTTGCACACCAAAGGTCCCTGGTTCAATCCCCAGGCAGGACTCCCAATTTAAAAACCTAGAAAGCTGCAACCAGCCAGTGTAGACAAATACTAAGCTCAGTGGACCACTGATGCAGCTAAGTATAAGACAGCTTGCTTGCCTTGGAAGGAAACAAGCTGGTGAGAAGCCCAAATCTGCAGCTGCCCTCCCCTGAGCTGAGAGGAGCAGGTTGGAATAGGAGCTAGGTTCCAAGTTCCCAGCTCTGAACTCCGTAGAACCTGTAGAGATGGAAGGGACACCAAGGGCCATCTAGTCCAACCCCCTGAAATGCAGGAATCCTGTGTGGGCTCAAACCACCAACCTTCTAGTTCACAGCCACACACCGACCAGGGTTAGGGTGCTCACTTGGGCATCACCCAAAAAGAGAGAGAGCATAACATTTGCTAATTTATATGCTTTTAGAGAAACAGTTTGTTTAAAATACTGTGGTACCTCGGGTTAAGTACTTAATTCATTCCGGAGGTCCGTTCTTAACCTGAAACTGTTCTTAACCTGAAGCACCACTTTAGCTAATGGGGCCTCCAGCTGCTGCTGCGCCGCTGCTGCGTGATTTCTGTTCTCATCCTGAAGCAAAGTTCTTAACCTGAAGCACTATTTCTGGGTTAGCGGAGTCTGTAACCTGAAGCGTCTTTAACCTGAAGCGTATATAACCCGAGGTACCACTGTAGAAAGGCAACAGATCTCGCCGAAGACCCCTTGGAACAGGAACTTATCTTCATTTTCCATAGAAAAATAGCCACCAGTTTTCTCCCTAAGTTTGTCTTTGCCACCCACACCCTGTCTCCTTTTGTGCTGAAATATAATCTCACAAACGGTACCTCAGTGATGACAAAGATGAAGCAGATGAGGAGGGTTTGCCCTCTGGGACAACTGGTGGCCGTATTGGCTCTGGAATCCGTTGACTTCTCCTAAAAAAACAAAAAAAAAAGTTTGAGTTGAATGTTTATCTTGATCTTCCTCTCTTATCTACTTTGCTTTGGCTTATGAAGCATGTTGTCCAATCAGTGGACCTCCTTCTCTGCCAGCAGACAGGTTAGGATTGCAGACAAAACCTGGCACACTTTAGATCAGGCTTCCTCAACCTCGGCCCTCCAGATGTTTTGAGACTACAGTTCCCATGATCCCTGACCACTGGTCCTGCTAGCTAGGGGTCATGGGAGTTGTAGGCCAAAAACATCTAGAGGGCTGAGGTCGAGGAAGCCTGCTTTAGATGTTTTGGACTACAAGTCCCATCAGCCCCAGCCGACTGATTGGGGTTGATGGGAGTTGTAGTCCAAAACAGCTGGACTGCAAAACACCTAATGGGAAGAGTTTCGGTTCCAGTTGTGTTGGGAAGAGGAGGAAGGCAATAGCGAAGGTGTTATGTACTAAGCTTGGATCCTAGAACAATAGGCAAGTAGGATCCTAGAATGCTACAACTGATTGGCTTGCAGGAAAAGACCAATCAGGCTCCAGGAGGAAATTAATCAGCCTATTAGGCTGGTAAAAGGTACCCCTGCCCGTACGGGCCAGTCGTGTCCGACTCTAGGGTTGTGCGCCCATCTCACTTAAGAGGCCGGGGGCCAGTGCTGTCCGGAGACACTTCCAGGTCACGTGGCCAGCGTGACGAAGCTGCTCTGGCGAGCCAGCACCAGCACAGCACACGGAAACGCCGTTTACCTTCCCGCTATAAAGCGGTACCTATTATCTACTTGCACTTAAGGGTGCTTTCGAACTGCTAGGTGGGCAGGAGCTGGGACCGAAAGACGGGAGCTCACCCCGCCGCGGGGATTCGAACCGCCCACCATGCGATCGGCAAGCCCTAGGCGCTGAGGTTTTACCCACAGCGCAACCCGCGTCCCTATTATGCTGGTAGGATTGTAGAATGCAACAACTGATTGGCCTGCAGGAAAAGACCAATCAGGCTCCAGGAGGGAAGCAGAATCAGCCAATCAGACGGGACTTATTGTGTAAATAATGTATATAAAAGCCTGAGGTTTGGGGGAGCAATTCAATCACTGTTTTACAAGCTGCAATAAAGAGCATGAAATCACTACAGGACTCTGAGAAGATTTCAGAAGGCCAATCTTTGAGAAGAAATCTTGGCTGCGCTAGAAGGCAAACTAGGACTTCATGCCTCTACTTGATGCAATCTCACCTAAGGCTCCCAGATGACTGCCCTGATGATGTTGCATTTCCTCGCCGGCAGAGAGTCCCTGTTTTGGCCAACTGTGTGCCATGATCCTAAGAGAGAGAGAGACCAGAAGGGAAAGAGGTATGTGAAAGAGAGAAAACAAGGCAGTGCTGCTTTTTCAGCAGAGGATTAACCTGTTGTCAGTCACCTTCTCCTTGGCCACTAACTTTGGCGGTAGCTGCAGATTCTGAACCACTTACAAGGACAGTCCCACATAAGGCATGTTAACAGTAGTCAAGGCCGCTTTAGGTTACCAACGCATGCAAAGGCGTAACAATTTGACAGCTGATGCTCGAGTGCTGCTGCAACGTTCTAATCAACAGAGCTAAAGATTTGCGTCCGTTCTAAAAGCGTCTCTCCACTGAATTCGAAAAGTGCTCTCGCTGTAGCAAAAGTTCCTCAGGTGTGGAAGCAGCCTCAGTTCGCTGCCTGTGTGTGAACTTTGCTCTGTTGGTGTACATAGGAAGTTGAATTATACTTAGTCAAACCGTTGATCCATCTAGCTCAGTAAAGGACTCCTGGACAGTTGAGTCCAGTCAAAGGCAACTATAGGGTTGCGGCGCTCATCTCGCTTTCAGGCTGAGGGAGCCAGCGTTTGTCCACAGACAGTTTTCCGGGTCACGTGGCCAGCATGACTAAACTGCTTCTGGCGCAATGGGACACCGTGACGGAAACCAGAGCGCATGGAAACACTGTTTACCTTCCTGCCACAGCAGTACCTATTTATCTTCTTGCACTGGTTATAAATCTAGCGCTGGTTATAAATCATGGCTAGAAACTATCCCAAGCTGTTGTCTTGCTTCACATCTTGCTGCCCGCCATCAAGGTAAAGGAAAATGACACCTGGACAGTTAAGTCCAGTCAAAGGCGACTATGGGGTTGCGGTGCTCATCTCACTTTCAGGCCGAGGGAGCCAGCGTTTGTCCACTGACAGCTTTCCGGGTCATGTGGCCAGCATGGCTAAACCGCTTCTGGTGCAACGGGACACTGTGACGGAAACCAGAGTGCACGGAAACACCATTTACCTTCCCGCTGCAGTGGTATCTATTTATCTACTTGCACTGGTGTGCTTTCGAACTGCTAGGTTGGCAGGAGCTAGGACTGAGCAACAGGAGCTCACTCTGTTGCAGGGATTCGAACCGCCAACCTTCTGATCGGCAAGCACAAGAGGCTCAGTGGCGTAGACCACAGCACCTTCTCCTCAGTATTGTGCACCGACTGCCAGCAGTCAGTCTCCAGATTGTCAAACAGGGATGCTCCCACCCATACCTGGGGATGCTGGGGATTGAACCCAATACCTTCTGCCTGGGAAGCAGAGGCTGTCCCCCTGAGCTACAGCCCTCGCTTGCCCCATCCTGCAACCGAAGCTCACGTTCCAGGCCTACTTAGGCCTCTCGCTGTCATCTGACATGTGAAATAAAAATGTTAAGGTCTTATATTTTAATAAATGTTCATAAAATGTACCAACCAAAGACGTACATATGTGGACCACATGTCTGGAGCAGCACAGGAAGACCGGCCTGGAACCATTTTGACTCCCAAACTGACCAAATGTTTTCTCTGCAAGGAGGGAGGGGGTGAGGGAACCTTCCCATTGTCTCAGGAATTGGGTAATCACCATCTCAAAGAAATGGCCAGACTACCAGGAAAGGCAATCAGATAAGGCATTATCAGATAACCTGGCAGACAGGAAAAACAACAACATTCAAATTTCTGTTGTAGACCACCTTTTCTGTGATGTATGTATGATGTATGGAGGGGTGGTCTTGAGCTCCAGTGCAGGGAATTTAAAATGTCTATATAAGGGCAGGCACACCTGGGTTCTGGGTCCTCCGCCTTTTCTGCATGTGAGGGGAGCACCCTGTTGCAACAGTTCAATAAAGATCAGGCTTACTAGCTGCTTTGCTTCTCAATATTCTCTGGTTGGCCTCTGTTATTTTCTCCTACCGATGGAGAACCTACAATGGACTCTGCAAGGGCTCTTGTGTCCCCCATAAGGGAATAAGGGCAGATTTTGTTTATTACACATGTTTCTACCGGGCTTCTGCACCTGTTTTTAGAGAGACGGAGGGCTTTTCCTTTCCAGTCTTCTGGACTTAGCATCAAAAGGCCAAGCTTGAAAGCCTCCCTTCCACAGGAGCGCACCTTTTCGTGAAACTGGGTCATGCATCTTGGGGGCCCCTCAGTCACTGAGCCAAATCTGCATGCCAACAAAGGGCAGCAGCCAAAGTGGCGCAAGGCCCCTGCTGTGGCAGCAGCCCCAGCTGCAGAGAGAACGCCGCTGGGGAAGCAGACGCCAGTGTGGGAACCGAGAGCCCGGCAAATCTTTGCCTCATCAGTTTCATGCCCTTGTGGTTGAGATCGGTCTCGATGGCTGGCCACAGCTGACAGCACAATTCTCCTTTTTCTCTTCACGAGAGAGTGCCCAGTGGGGAAGGAAGAGAGAAGCGCTTAAATTTAACTCGCAGGCGTCCTTATGTAGCTGCGACTTCTCCGTTTGCTGCAGGCTGAATTCAGAATGGTATTATTGCTCTGGGGTGGTGTGGAGAGAAGTGTTTGAGACACGTGAAAGTGTGTGGGTGCTTTGTCATCCCCTTTCTTAAATTAAAGAAAGGTCCTTTATTTGGCAATACGGCATTTGGGTCATATCCCCACACCATACGGTTAAAGCAGTAGCGTACCACTTGAAACCGTCATGGCTTCCCCCAAAGGATTCTGGGAAAGACAGTTCATTAAGGATGCTGGGAGTTTTTAGGAGACCCTCCACAATTCCCAGCATTCTGTTTAGGGAAACTTTTAACGTTTGACGCACTATTGTATTTTAATATTTTGTTGGAAGCTGCCCAGAGTAGGTGGGGAAACCCAGCCAGATGGGCGGGGTATTATTATTATTATTATTATTATTATTATTAAGCCATAGCTCTTCAAGTAGGATAAGAGTACTTTGAATGTGTGCTGTGGATGTGACCTGTAATCCTCTTTAAAAAAAGGGATCCCTTTCTTAAAATAAATAGCAGGTGGAAACTCTATTCTAAGACTCGGTTTCTCCTCCTTCAGAAGCTGCCATCTGCATATATATATTTTCTTTTAAAAAAAATTAATATTTTATTTTGAGCTTAAAAGTCACGTTTTGTCACTCAGCAGTTATATCCAATTCTACCACATTTTTCAATATTTTCTCAGCCATCATGAGGGTTAGAAACTTGTGTTCAGGAAGTCAACGTCATGCAAAACTCACATGAGCCGTGAGTACAGTTACATTAATTAAGTCTCACTGAAAGTGATACTAGTTACTTGCGACTATTCTATCTGCCATTAATTTCGATATAACCTTTTGTGATTAAATTTCTTTGGATTTGGGACGTTGCTTTGTTTTGTTTTTTGACTGCTAAAGATATTGCTGTCTGAGTGCTCTCTTTCTAATCTTTTTTTTTTTTTTTAAAGGAAGAAAGCAATTGCTTGGTGGTTCATCAAAAGACGTACATTTTCCACAGAGGAAGTGCTTGGAGACTCACTGTCTGTTACTGAGTTTCGGTCTCTAGATAAGTCATCAAATCTTCTGGCTTAGGCCACAGCACCTCTCGTTTTGAGTCCGAAGCAAACCACACACTGTGCAGCAAGTATTACCACAGCCAGACTTATGAATAAAACTAATGATATATTAATTTGCTTGTTTGCTTCCTTCTGCCATTGATGCTGCTCAGTAATTCTAGTGGCGATGTGATCTCCCAGGATGCCCATATCTGTTGCTCAGAAATTCCCTGGCTTTGTGATAAGTCCAGAGAACAACAGCATTTTTTTCCCCTTTTAGTTTTAGGGTTTTTTGCATTATGTTAACAGGAGTGATGGCACATATATTTTCTCCACATTTTGCCTCAGGATATACCAGCTGACCTATATGGCTGGTATGTGGACGCACGTGGCGCTGTGGTCTAAACCACTGAGCCTCTCTTGAGCTTGCCGATCAGAAGGCTGGCGGTTCGAATCCCCACAATGGAGTGAGCTCCCGTTGCTCTGTCCCAGCTCCTGCCAACCTAGCAGTTTGAAAGCACACCAGTGCAAGTAGATAAATAGGTAATGCTACAGCGGGAAGGTAGACGGCGTTTCCATGCGCTCTGGTTTCCGTCACAGTGTTCTGTTGTGCCAGAAGCGGCTTAGTCATGCTGCCACATGACCCGGAAAGCTGTCTGTGGACAAGTGCCGGCTCCCTTGGCCTGAAAGCGAGACGAGAGCCACAACCCCATAGTCGCCTTTGACTGGACTTAACCGTCCAGGAGTCATTTACCTTTACCTTTATGGCAGGCAGCAAGACATTGGCTTGGGATAGTTTCTATCCACAATTTAGAACCAGTGCTAGATTTTGGTAGTTTGCTATTTTAATTCTCAAGGTATTTATATACTCTGGTGTTTAGTTATTCTAAATGCACACATACACACACACACACACACACACGGTGTTAAAGCCAGTGTGGTGTGGTAGCTTGTGTGTTGGTCTGGGACCTGGGAAACCCAGGATCCAGTCCCCACTGACTGGGAGAGCCAGTCACTGCCTCTCAGGCTAGCCCCCCTCACAGGGTTGTTGTGAGAATAAAATGATGAGCAGGTGGAGCCACATACACCACCTTGAGCTCCCTGGAATAAAGGCAGGATAGAAGTGTAATAACAATACAGCAACAACTGTCTTTATCAGATGTATGATCTGAAGTATGCAAAAGGGTTTGGTTGTTTGTTGAATTTATATCCTGCCCTTCCTCTCAAAGGAGCCATTTATTTTCTCTCTGTCAAGATAGGATCTAGCCTGCCAGTACTCCTATGCTAGCAGGCAGAAATTCAATAGGTGTGGCTCCCCCCCCCCCCACATTCCATAGCAGTACAAAATCCAGCACAATTTCCCCAGAAGATTCAACAGCATGTACTCCTTTTCCTCTCTGGATAAGGACCTTTTGGGTGGTGCTGTGGGTTAAACCACAGAGCCTAGGGCTTGCCGCTCAGAAGGTCAGTGGTTCGAATCCCCGCCACGGGGTGAGCTCCCGTTGCTCGGTCCCAGCTCCTGCCAACCTAGCAGTTTGAAAGCACAAAGTGCAAGTAGATAAATAGGTACCGCTCTGGCAGGAAGGTAAACGGCGTTTCCGCGCGCTGCTCTGGTTCGCCAGAAGCGGCTTAGTCATGCTGGCCACATGACCCGGAAGCTGTACGCCGGCTCCCTCGACCAAGAAAGCAAGATGAGTGCCGCAACCCCAGAGTCGGCCACAACTGGACCTAATGCTCAGGGGTCCCTTTACCTTATGGCTTGTCAGCATGGAGGACGACTACAGCTAGGGGAGCAAAGGAGGCCATGCCCAGCTCTCACCTTTATCCCGTGCCCAATATCGTCCAAACTGTTGAAGTTCAGCGGTTTCCTGTAATACGCCTCCAGGGGCTCCACGTGGCTTGGGGGGATGATTTTCTGTTGGTGCGGAAATCTCTTGCAAACAGAAAGGGCCCCGATCTCTCGGCGGGACACTTTCTCCATGTGCATCTCCACCACCTGAGGCAGAAAGACACGGTGAGGGAAGGAGGCCATAGCTGGGTCAGGGACCATTTGCAGGAGCTGGTTTAATTGTATTTCTAGTCAACACACAAACTGGCAGCACCCTACCATTTTGGGGGGGACAGGTAGCAAAGCCCACTCCCCAGGAAGCTGTTTTTGGCTTCTCCTCTCCCACAATTGACTCCTCATTGGCCCTCTCTGCTGGTCACGGTATCCTGCATATTTGTGGTGTACATACCGGTAGTTCTGTCTGATCCCTGCCCTTCAATATCTGTTGCCTGAGGCAACCGCCTCACTCTGTCTAATAGTACAGCCGGCTTCAGTCATCTGGGTTTTCTACCCTCAAGCACCAAAATATGGGCTTGGATTGTGGTGTTTGGAGGTATATTCCCCAACATGTCACTGAGGCAGAAGTCATGCATTGTGGTGGATTTATAATGAGCTATCCACACTTCATTCCGCTTTATTAGCTGTTCTACGAAAGTTCGCCAACGTTAGGCTGGCCTCAACCAGAGCCAGGGCTTTTTCGGCCGTGGCCCCAATCTGGTGGAACGCTCTGTCACAAGAGACTAGGGCTCTGCGGGACTTGACATCTTTCCGCAGGGCCTGCAAGACAGAGCTGTTCCACCAGGCCTTTGGCCAGGGCACATCCTGACCCCCTCCTTTGGCAATCCTCACAGAACTCTAGCCCAATGGTTGCCATTAATTTGATTTGAATTAATTTTATAATGGAATGATTTTAGAATGTTGTATTATTTTATTGTTGTTAGCCGCTCTGAGCCCGGCTTTGGCTGCGGAAGGGAGGGATATAAATAAAATATTATTATTATTATTATTATTATTATTATTATTATATTATGGCCGTCTGCAGGGACACTTTTGGGCTACAATGCAACAACAACAACAAAAACCCCTGAATATTTGTGATATAAAAAATTGCAGGATTACTGCAGGAAGCCAGAGGGCATGCACCAATGGATACAAAGAAGTACCGTATTTTTTGCTCTATAAGACTCACTTTTTCCCTCCTAAAAAGTAAGGGGAAATGTGTGTGCGTCTTATGGAGCGAATGCAGGCTGCGCAGCTATCCCGGAAGCCAGAACAGCAAGAGGGATTGCTGCTTTCACTGTGCAGCGATCCCTCTTGCTGTTCTGGCTTCTGAGATTCAGAATATTTTTTTCTTGTTTTCCTCTTCCAAAAACTAGGTGCGTCTTGTGGTCTGGTGCATCTTATAGAGCGAAAAATACGGTATATCCTCCCCCCCCCCCAAAAAAAACAACCTTTGCAGGTGCAGGCCATATTGAAAGCAGGATTGCGTATGACCACCCCAATGGCTTCAGGAGCCCAAATCTTCACGGATGCATAACAAAAAGGACATTTGGAGACTGTTTGCTGGTAATGCCACACTGCAAGTACGGCACTGAATTCTGTGCATGATGGCCCCAAGAAGATATGGGGAAAGATTCAGAAGAGGAAGCCAAAGCCATAATGAGGGGAATACTGAACGATGGACTTGTCCTGGCCAGAGCTTTGTAAATACTGCGGTTGCATGACTGCACAGCTGTGAACATGGCCATATACTTAAAGCAAGGGAGGAGACTGAGAGGGGGATGTGACAGCCATCTTCAAATATCTCAAGGGCTCTCACATGGAAGATGGAGCAAGCTTGTTTTCTCCTGCTCCGGAGGGTAGGATTCGAACCAATGGATTCAAGTTTGCAAGGAATTATTGTTCAGTTGTTACTATTGTTGTTAATTTAGTTTGAATACCGCCATATACCCGCAGGTCTCAGGGCGGTTCACAGATTCCGACTAAACATCAGCCTTCCTTGGAGGTTTATAAGCTGGGGGGACTTAAGGTGAGGCTTCAAACTAGTTCAGGGGCTTTTGCTGAGATTCCTGCATTGCAGGGGGTTGGGTTATATGACCCTTCAAACTCTACAGTTCTATTATTCTACTTCCCCCCCCAAAGAATCCTGGGAATCCTGTAGTTTACACAGTTCCCAAGATTCTTAGGGGGTAGTCACAGTGCTGTGAGTTAAACCACAGAGCCTAGGGCTTGCCGATCAGAAGGTCGGCTGTAAATAGGTACCGCTCCAGCGGGAAGGTAAACGGCGTTTCCGTGCGCTGCTCTGGTTTGCCAGAGCTGCCTGCCATGCTGGCCACATGACCCGGAAGCTGTACGCCAGCCCTCGGCCAAGTAGAGTGAGATAGAGTGCCACAACCCCAGAGTCGTCCATGACTGGAACTAATGGTCAGGGGTCCCTTTGCCTTTACCTTATTTCCCACCCCAAAGAATCATGGAAACTGTAGTTTACACCAAACTACAGTTCCCAAGATTCTTAGGGGGTAGTCGTGCACTTTAAATGTATGGCTGCAGCATACCACCAAGGCTGCTGGTGGTAAGGAAGTACCCCCACCTCAATGGCACATTTATTCATTCATAGAGAGCGGCAAATAAATTCATTCATAAAGAGCGGAAAATAAATTCAGTTTGAATCTCCCAGTCCTTGGTCAGGTTCAGTTGGAAGTTCATTCCCACTTAGTTTGATTAGAGTTGCTTGCGACTACTGGTGCGAGCTGTAAACGAGGGTGCTTCCACTTCAAACTGGACCTCGGACGTAAACTCATAAACCCTCTTGCTGCCTTGGCCTCCGCTCTTCCCCAAACAGCGTATGGCACTTAACTTAACAACGAGAAGACAGACAGCGTGCCTTGCTGTGAAGAAATGCACCAGGCAAGGCAAGCAGATGGAGATGTTGTTTAACAGGCAATTCCCAAGGTGTTTGCGTCAAAATATACTGCGTGAGGGGAAGCCGCAATGAAACTACACAGCAGTTATAAGTGGGCACAGCATTGCATTCCTTCCTAAAAGCCCCTTTTGCAGAACAGCTGTGTCTCCATGCTTGATTTCCAGCGACATTTCAGGGGACTTAAGGTGAGGCTTCAAACTAGTTCAGGGGCTGAGCCTTGGTTCAGATTAACCTTTTGCCCTAGTGAAGCAGGACATCCGATCTAAAGCAAGGGTGGCTGTTGCCCGTTAATCTCTTCTTGGCATAAAGCGATGGGGAAAGACTCAGTAACCTCTTACAACAACATTCAGAGAGCTAGTCATGAGTCTGTTGCAGAAGACAACAGCAGACAGGGCTCTGGCAGAAGACCTGTTTATCGAGCACCTGTCCTTATTTGCAGGGAAATCTGACGACATTGGTTATTTGATGAGCCTTCATTCCTATTTGTTTGCGGGAAGTTTGGATGATCATGAAGTCAAAGTGAGGGTTGTGCCAAACTTTCCACTGCATTTCACCATCCCTATCCTTATTGCCGGGATGCAGGTGGCGCTGTGGGTTAAACCACAGAGCCTAGGACTTGCTGATCAGAAGGTCGGCGGTTCGAATCCCCGCGATGGGGTGAGCTCCTGTTGCTCAGTCCCTGCTCCTGCCAACCTAGCAGTTCGAAAGCACATGAAAGTGCAAGTAGATAAACAGGTACCACTCCGGCGGGAAGGTAAACGGCGTTTCCGTGCGCTGCTCTGGTTCGCCAGAAGCGGCTTAGTCATGCTGGCCACATGACCCGGAAGCTGTATGCTGGCTCCCTTGGCCAATAAAGCGAGATGAGCGCCACAGCCCCAGAGTCGGTCATGACTGGACCTAACGGTCAGGGGTCCCTTTACCTTTACCTTACCTTATTGCCGGAAGTCAGATATTTGGGGAGAGCAGGTTTGTTGTGGTCTATTGCACAACATGCAATTTGTTGCGATGTGATTGAATCCCGTCTGAAAACAGCAACAGCCTGGAAGCACCCAGAGGCCTTTAAGGCAGGTAAGGGGCAGAATGCAGATTGGAATCTACTGGTAGATCTCTGGATTATTTTTGATAGATCAGCAAGGGTTTCTGACTCCCAGTTATTCAACAAGAAGGTTACTTTCCCCCACCTTAATTAGGCTACTGAAATGAAGAAAGCTATCCAGCGGTAGACTTTTGTGCGAAAGGCTTGTGAGCCCAGTTGAGTTCGGGTGCTAAAAACAGTCTCCTAGCCTCACACAGTTCCAAGGCACCTTGGACACTGGAAGCTGCCATAAATTGACTCACTGACTCATCAGTCCCGGATAGGGTTTTCTCCCATCCCTGCCAGGGATTGAACCCGAGACCTTCCTCATACCAAGCAGATGATCTACCACTGAGCTACAGCCCTTCCCTCATTATATCTGCTATCAGGGCCGGCCCACTCATGAGGCAAGGTGAGGCAAGTGCCTCAGGTGACAGGATCCACAGGGAACAATTCCACTGAAGAAGATAACCATGGTCACCCAGACCCAGTTGCTGATAGCAAAGGACCCCGCCACCCCATAATGGTTCAAGCTTCAAGAACCCAAAAACGTAGGTCCACCACTGGTCTAAGTCATCTCCTTATGTTCCTCTGTCAACGATGAGATTTGAACCAGGGTTAACCAGCTCACAGCTCACTCTCTTATTCTCTGTGCTATGCCAGCGCACTCTGCCTCTCAAAAAGCTCACCCTCCCTTTCCTTGCATTGTTACACGGTATTTGGGGAGCCTATGCCCCTCTTGTTCATCAGCACATAATGGTGCATATGCTCAGAAGAAGCTCCCCCTCTGGACAAGAGAGACCTGCAGGCACAGAGGTGGTAAATGCACGATTTTGGCAAAGTGTGTTCTGGGATCCAGCAGCAGGAAGCGCCGATTATTAAGCAGAAGGCAAACCATTATTCCTTACCATTCCCCTCCACACCTCCCTCTTGTGCTGAGCTAAAAGTGGACTTCATCAAAGTGTTTGGAGATACCAAACCGGTGACACGACAGAGGTGATTAATCCATTCCACGGATGTTTCCTGATCCATTATGTTTTTATTCTCTGGGAAACAGGAAAGCCGTCAAGCAACAGGAAGAGGTATCCGATGTCCAGGAACATTGTGTATGCCTCCCTATATTCCAGTATGAAGGGAAAGCACAGGGAGGGGGAATCTCTTTCGGCTGGTTTGTAGTCAGGGCTCAGGGGACAAGGCGGGTCTGTCTGCTTTGGGGCTTTTAAACAGTGACACTGCAAAGGAACACACCCAAAAGGCTGGGAAGCACAGAGCAACTCTGCATGGTCAAGGGGCTGGAGCAACTCCCCTGTGAAGACAGGTTACAAAAGATTCCCACCTTGCAGAGGGTTGGACTGGATGACCCTCGTGGTCCCTTCCAGTTCTTCAATTCTATGGTGGAAAGAATTTGTTTCGAATGTGCTTTAGTGGAGCAGCATGTGTATGGTCCCCCAAATAAAACTGATTTAAACAAAAAATGCATCTCATCCCCTAGGAAGCAGCCAAAACAAAGCAGCCAGGGTCCCGATTCCAATCACAGAGGGCTACCAACCAGAAAAACAGGTTCTGGGGCAAATAAAGCCCTCCCGCCGCACCTCTTCATGTTGTCTTCTCACCTGCGCAATGGAGCAGACTTTGGCTTCCACCTGCCGGACTTCAGCCAGCTGCAAGTCCATCGTTTTGAGGATGTCGCTCGCCAGGTTGCTGATTTGGTAAGCCACGCTGGCTAATGACTGGGTTGCAAAAGCCATGGTTTCCTCGAGGGCTTTCCGCTTGTCCTTTGCCTAAGAGGTTTATGAAAATGGAGGGGGAAGAAGTGAGAACTCTGCCATAAATCAGGACAACTGAATCGGTTTTTTTAAATATTTTTTGTTCTGTGTATACTGCAATGTTCTTTTGTTGCTATGGCCGTTGGCTGACGCAAATAAAGTTTCGTTCATTCAACATTCAACTGTATCGTGGTATAAGTGGCTACGATAGCTCTACCTGCTACACCCAGTATCGCATCCTGCACGGTCACAGCCACACTACCCATGTGCATAAAGTGTGTTTAAAGCTCTTCCAAAGAATCCTGAGAACGATAGTTTGTTAAGGGCGCTGGGAACTGTAGCTCTGGGAGGAGTAAACTGCAGTTCCCAGCAGCGTGGAAGTGCTGTTGTATATCTACGAACACAGGAAGCTGCCAAGACAGAGACTCCTGGTCCATCGAGCTCATAGCTCAGTTGGTTAGAGCATGGTGCTGATGATGCCAAGGTTGCAGGTTCGATGCCCGTATGGGACAGTGGCATATTCCTGCATTGCAGGGGGCTGGACTAGATGACCCTCAGGGTCCCTTCTAAGTCTATGATCCTATTACTATAATATGGACTTCATATACTGAACTGACAGCAGCTCTCCAGGGTTTCAGCCAAGGTTCTTTCCCACCCCTACCCTACCAGATGCCAGGAATTGAAGCTGGGAAGAAAGAAGAGGAATTCAGGGATGGTTATAAGTTGTGTGTCCTTGCTTCTCAATTTGATCCTTTTATGCATTGCGACTTGCTGTTATTTTTTATTATTATTATAGTTTATTACATGGGTAGGCAAACTAAGGCCTGGGGGTCGGATCCAGCCCAATCAACTCCTAAATCCGGCCCGCAGATTGTTCAGGAATCAGCATGTTTTTGCATGAGTAGAATGTGTCCTTTTATTTAAAATGCATTCTGGGTTATTTGTGGGGCATAGGAATTCGTCATTTCCTCCTCCCCCCAAAAAATATAGTCCGGCCCTCCACAAGGTCTGAGAGACAGTGGACCGGCCCCCTGCTGAAAAGGTTTGCTGACCCCTGGTTTAGTAATTCTTTATTGCAATTGAAATGTGTAAACTGTTTAAATTATTATTTGCTGATATTTAATTTTACTGTTTACTATTTATATTCTAAGGGATTATTAAATGTTGCTTTATTTGATATAAGTTGTTTATTTTAAAGTTATTGTGACTTTTTTGTATTGGATCAGATTATTATGCGTATGTGTTTTTTCAGCTTGCAAACTGCCTTGTGCAAGGTTGCGGTTTTCTGAAAAGCAAAAAAGAAGACACTTTTCAAAGCAAATACCGTATTGGCCCGAATATAAGCCGCACCCGTATATAAGCTGCACTTTAAAAATTCATTTGGGGGGGGAGACAATACATGAATATAAGGCGCTCCCTTAAAATTCCACAGGCACTCACACCCGTTCTGTTTTATCGTATGTCTGTTTCAGCAGCGATATCACAAAAGCCAATTTTTGTAAGGTCGCGAACTTAAGCCACACTTTAACTTTTCACGGTCAGAATTGGGGGGGGGGGGGAGTGAAGCTTTGTATTCAGGCCAATACGGTAAATGCAATTTGTCCCCAATTTCACCCCCGAAAAGAAGGACGCGTCCTGGAAAAAGAGGACACATGACAACCCCTTGTGTTTAGCAATATAGAAAGGCAATATGCAAATCAAAAGTGAACTGAAAGTGAAAATGAGTTGCAAGGAACCCCCACCCTAGTAATAAGAATAATATGGACCTATTTTCAATGCCATCACATTGCTGCTTTCTGTACAGACAGTGGTCTGAATGTCATGGGGGAACGAATCCAAGTGAGTAGGCCTTGCTGTTTAAGAAGCTGTCTGGATATACCTAATAATCTTCTGGCCAGAGCCGGATTTAGGTTTGATGAGGCCCCTAAGCTACTGAAGGTAATGGGGCCCTTTATATGTTTAGCTGTCCTTTGTCAACAACAAATTGTCGCTGTTTTTTGTGTTAAACATATGCTATATGGTAATTTACGGACCTAATAGGTATCTAAAGCCATTTGCGCATAACAAAATATGTATTTTATCAAAGTAATTGTTGAACTGAAATACAAATAAGAAGACGTATATTAATAGTGAAATACAATGTTTTAGGGGTTGGTTTTAAAAGTCTGGAACAGATTAATCTGTTTTGCATTACTTTCTATGGGAAAGCGCACCTTGGTTTTGGAACGCTTTGGTTTTGGAACGGACTTCCGGAACGGATTAAGTTTGAGAACCAAGGTACCACTGTATATAGAAATGAGCAAACCAGTGATATTTTAGGGAGCAGGCTAGCAGGCGGGGCCCATTACTTACATCACAGGAGCCTACACAACACACAAAAATTGTTGCTGTATGTAGGTTTTATTTGTTTTTTATCTTAGATTTTGGAAATGTACATCCAGGTTTGTTTTTTCCTTTAAATTTTTTTGGGGGGCCCAAGAGTGTAGGGCCCTAAGCTATAGCTTGTGTAGCTTATATGTAAATCCGGCACTGCTTCTGGCTAACTCCAGCAAGGCTAGGTCAACATTCATTGCCTCCAAAGGCAGAGCAGGATGGTGGCATCTCTGCGTAAACTCAAGAGTTCTCCGAGCTGAATGGTCTCTCTCAGGGATAAGGTGCTCCTACCTCGCAGGAGGTAGACAGCATTTAAGATGTCTCTTAAAAAGTAAAGACATCACCTTGCCAACAAAGGTCCGTATAGTAAAATCTATGGTTTTCCCAGTAGTGATGTATGGAAGTGAAAGCTGGACCATAAAGAAGGCTGATCGCCGAAGAATTGATGCTTTTGAATTATGATGATGGAGGAGACTCTTGAGAGTCCCATGGACTGCAAGAAGATCAAACCTCTCCATTCTGAAGGAAATCAGCCCTGAGTGCTCACTGGAAGGACAGATCCTGAAGCTGAGGCTCCAATACTTTGATCACCTCATGAGAAGAGAAGACTCCCTGGACAAGACCCTGATGTTGGGAAAGATGGAAGGCACAAGGAGAAGGGGACGCCAGAGGACGAGATGGTTGGATAGTGTTCTCAAAGCTACCAGCATGAGTTTGACCAAACTGTGGGAGGCAGTGGAAGACAGGAGTGCCTGGCGTGCTCTGGTTCATGGGGTCACGAAGAGTCGGACACGACTAAACGACTAAACAACAACAACAACCTCGCGGGATCTTCACAGAGACTTCTGAGAGGGCAGGGCAGTGTGAGAGAACCCCAATTCTTCCAGCAGCCAGCCCCCCACCCAAAGAATGCTCCTCAACATCTATCCTCTGCAACATTGCCAGGAACTCCAGTGACCACACTGTGCGTGGCTCTTAACACTGCAGTGCCAGCATGCCGGGCAACTCCTGAAACTTTGCTGCCCTGGGCAGCTTGCCAATAATAATAATGGTAATAATAATAATAATAATAATAATAATAATAATAATAATAATAATAAATTTATACCCCACCCTTCCCGGTTCAAAAACCGGGCTCAGGGCGGCTAACAACAAATTTAAAACACTTAATTATAAAAGCAGCATAAAGTACAGTATAAAAACATGAACAACAGTAAAATTCAAAAATCAATTTAGGGGAAATAAGCATTAGATAATCCCCAGGGCTAGCTGGCTGAATTGGTCCTACTTGGGCCGGCGAGGAGGCCAGGGGAGAATTAGCTGTGGGGTCCCAGAGCGGGTGATCTTCATAAAAGGGGAGGCGGAGGGAAGGGAAGGGAAATAAAAGATCAGGCTGAATTCAAATGAAAGGCCAGGCAGAATAGCTCTGTCTTACAGGCCTGACGGAAGGAGGTTAAATCCTGAAGGGCCCTAGTCTCATGGGATGGAGCATTCCACCAGGTCGGAGCCATCACTGAAAAGGCCCGGGTGGAGGATAGTCTGACTTCCTTAGGGCCCGGGACCTCTAAACTAAGATTATTCATGGACCTTAAGATCCTCTGCGGGGCATACCAGGAGAGGTGGTCCCGTAGATACGAGGTCCCTAAGCCACAAAGGGCTTTAAAGGTCAAAACCAGCACCTTGAACCTGACCCTATACTCCACCGGGAGCCTGTGCCAAGTCTGCCCGCCTGGCAGGGCCAGCCCCTGATGCAATGCCCTCTTGCCACTCACCTCCTCATAGTTGCTCTCGCAGTAATCTGCCACTTTGAGAAGGTTGCTGTAGTTGTCCTTCAGGGTTCCCCTGGCGCTGGGGATGGCGTTCTGCATCAGCTGCTGCAACTCAGACATATCGCGGCTCCCCACTTCCTTCTCTGAGCACACGGTCTCAGCTGCAGACAGGTTTTGAACCTCGCAGCTGGGCTGGTGGACTCTTTTTGTACTTGAGTTGCCTCCTGTGGGCAGAGCTGATCCCTCCCCCTCAGCCTTCTGTCCCAGACGTCGTCTTGCTGACACCCTGAAATTTATTGCTGCCCTCGCCCAGAAAGCGTGTGTGGGGATTCCTGTACGACACCCTCTCTGGCCTCCGCCTCTGTAAGCGCAGACACCTCCATTCCGCACAGGAGTCTTGAAAAACCGCTCGCATGCCCAGAACAAGGGTCATGAGAATTAACAGAGGAAATTAACAGAGGCGGAGGACCGGTGAAGAGAGGAAACCATTATTTTTAGAACCATTTTGCTTGGCTGATTGCAGAGATCTTGGGAGCAGAGTGTTGGCTTTTATTACTAATCAAGCTGTGGTGAAATGCCCTGGAATCTACTGAGGGTTGAATTAAATATTAATTATAACTACAACAACAACAACAACAACAACAACAACAACAGTGGTACCTTGGTTCTCAAACTTAATCCGTTCCGGAAGTCCGTTCGAAAACCAAAGCGTTCCAAAACCAAGGCACGTTTTCCCATAGAAAGTAATGCAAAACGGATTAATCGGTTCCACACTTTTAAAAACAGCAATTTAGCATGAACTTTACTATCCAACAAGACCACTGATCCATAAAATGAAAGCAATACTATAAAATAAATAAGACAATATTGTAGATAATAATTTTTTAATTTTTTTAAAATTCTTACCAGCACTGATGATAGTCATTTTTTGGATGGGGGGTTTTTATCCATTTCCATAGTCACGCAATCAATCAATCAGTAACTGAACTGGGTTCCACACAGTCACAAAAACAAATTAACCGAAAAAGTCTCAAAAACAAAAACACAAAATAAATAGCAAAAACAAAAGCGCCCAAGTTAATCCATTCCGGAAGTCCGTTTGACTTCAGAAATGTTCAAAAACCAAGGCGCAATTTTGATTGGTGCAGGCGCCCCGGAAACAATCGCCGACAGCTGCATCGGGTGTTCAGCTTCTGAAAAATGTTTGAAAACCAGAATACTTACTTCTGGGTTTTTGGCGTTTGAGAACCAAGGCATTTGAGTACCAAGGCATTTGAGAACCAAGGTACCACTGTAGTAGTAGTAGTAGTAGTAGTAATAAGGCTTTTTTTCCAGCTAGAACTTGCTGGAACTGTTTTGCCACCTCTCAGGTGGGTGCCATTACCATTCTAAGAGAACGAAGGAGGTGTTCATGATGGGTTCAGGCATCTCTTTTTCTAGAAAAATAGCACTAATAATAATAATAATAATAATAATAATAATGTCTAGATTAGCTTTGGCAGGGACTGAGCTTCTGTTTTTGTTAAGTTGTGGGTGAACATATCAGACGACACAGCGATTCTTCAGACAGCTCTTGTTTATTCACAGGCCAGAACAGAACTGAACTGAAGGGTTCAGCCAGCCTGCTTATATAGAGCTCCACTACAATGCAACTGTAACCACTTTCTGTAACTATCCAATCACTGAACATCACTTTCAATCCCTTATTTGCATATGTGGACCTGAGTGAAAACTACCTACAGTATCCCCCTGCTGGCCCAGGGTGAGAACTTCAGTACATAACAGTTTTCATGGTACCTGAGATATTGCCTCTTCCCAAGTCACTTAAGAGGAATGAATTAAGTACTTAACCCGAGGTACCACTGTAATCCTTATGAACATATATCAAGCCCAGTGCTAGTAAAGGGAGTCAGAGGGCTTGGGTGAAGGAAAGAGGGAGTGGGGTAAATGATTAGTCCTTCAGGACTCTGGGTTGAGAAGACCGCTGTATTCACACATTTGATTTGGTACTACAATGAATCAGATCCATATCTGAGGTCCACTTCTCTTTCAACAACCACCAGGGCCTTTTCTGTAGTAGTGCCAAAATTATGAAACGTCCACCCAGGGTAGATCTGCTAGGTTCTTGTTTGATTTTCACTGAGAACTTCTAAGCAACCCCTAGTGCAGCCTTCCCTGGCATGGTACCCTTCAGATGTTTCTGGACTCCAAGTCCCATCATTCCTGACCATTGACCATGCTGGCTGGGGCTGATGGGAGTTTGGAGAGCCCCAGGTTGTGGGATGGCTGTCTTGGTGCCTCCCTTTCCCATATACTGTGGTCTGGATGAAAATAAGCAGAGCTGGCCCCTGGTAAATAATAATGATAATGATAATAATCCTGTCTGTTTACTGACCACACAATGAAAGCAACAGGTAGCTGGACCCTGAGGTCCACACAGAACCTATTGCCCAGAGATTTGTACACTTACAGTTTCCACTGAAGAAGAAATCAGTGCTCAAGTAGGAATTTACGGTATGTTCCAAGAGGGAGGGGAGCTGAGATATTCCGGATGTTAAATCCCTTATCAGTAGACCAAATGAAACAGAAGATTGCTGCAGCTGGGCCAGGGCAGAGAGAGAGAGAGAGAGAGAGAGAGGGAGGGAGAGAGCACACTGCCCTCTTGACATCTATCCAGCTCTGCTTGCGTTAAGCCTCTAAGTAACTCTGGAGGATAACTCATACAGGGATGCTGTGCCCACAAAAACAACTTGAATTTGACCTTGGGTGTTCATGAGCCAGCTTCTGAAGTTAATTTCTCCCCACCCAAAAGAGAAAGAGAGAGGTCTGGGGCTGATCCCTACCTGAAAGCTATTCCTCTGCACCTGCAGGCGCTACAGACAGAAGTACCATTTTGAGGGGACAAGGGACAGGCAGGTGTGGGGGACTCCCTGGTCCTGAATGGGATAACTGTGCCCCTGAAGGACCAGGTGTGCAGCCTGGGAGTCATTTTGGACTCATAGTTGTCCATGTCCTCTGTGTCCAGGGCAGCTGTCTACCAGCTCCATCTGGTACGCAGGCTGAGACCCTACCTGCCCGCGGACTGTCTTGCCAGAGTGGTGCATGCTCTAGTTATCTCCCGCTTGGACTACTGCAATTCGCTCTACGTGGGGCTACCTTTGAAGGTGACCCGGAAACTACAACTAATCCAGAATGTAGCAGCTAGACTGGTGACTGGGAGTGGCCGCCGAGACCACATAACACCGGTCCTGAAAGACCTACATTGGTTCCCAGTATAATTCAAAGTGTTGGTGCTGACCTTTCAAGCCCTAAACGGCCTCGACCCAGTATACCTGAAGGCGCGTCTCCACCCCCATCATTCAGCCCAGACACTGAGGTCCAGCTCTGAGGGCCTTCTGGTGGTTCCCTCCCTGCGAGAAGTGAGGTTACAGGGAACCAGACAGAGGGCCTTCTCGGTAGTGGCGCCCACCCTCCCACCAGATGTCAAGGAAATAAACAACTATCTGACTTTTAGAAGACATCTGAAGGCAGCCCTATCTAGGTAAAGGTAAAGGGACCCCTGACCGTTAGGTCCAGTCGTGGACAACTTTGGGGTTGTGGCGCTCATCTCACTTTACTGGCCGAGGGAGCTGGCATTTGTCTGCAGACAGCTTCCGGGTCATGTGGCCGACATGACTAAGCTGCTTCTGGCGAACCAGAGCAGTGCACGGAAATGCCATTTACCTTCCCGCCACAGCGGTACCTATTTATCTACTTGCACTTTGACTTGCTTTCGAACTGCTAGGTTGGCAGGAGCAGGGACCGAGCAATGGGAGCTCACCCCGTCACGGGGATTCGAACCGCCAACCTTCTGATTGGCAAGTCCTAGGCTCTGTGGTTTAGATTTAGGGAAGCTTTTAATGTCTGATGTTTTATTGTATTTTTAATATTTTGTTGGTAGCCGGCCAGAGTGGTTGGGAAACGCAGCCAGATGGGCGGGGTATGGCGATGTGCCGTAGTTATTTATTGGTGATGGGCAGGCATGGGCAAACTCGGCCCTCCAGATGTTTTGGGACTATAACTCCCATCATCCCTAGCTAACAGGGCCAGTGGTCAGGGATGATGGGAATTGTAGTCTCAAAACATCTGGAGGGCCAAGCTTGCCTATGCCTGGTGATGGGCATGCAGTCTCGTTTTGCTCCAAGGCCACCTGTCCTCCATCATTATGTAATGCAGGCTTGGCCCTTCAGAAGTTTTGGACAACTCTCCTCCCATCTAGCCAGCACAGTTGTTCTGGCTGGGACTGATAGTGTTCAAAACATCTGGAAGACACAAGGTTGGTGAAGGCTGGCTTAGTCTCTCCCAGGTGGAGTCAGTCCTGCCAATGGAAACAGGTTTGGGCACTGAGTCAACAATGCTGTCACACCTCTGACTCTCTAGAGCAGGGTTTCCCAAACTTGGGTCTCCAGCGGCTTTTTGACTACAGCTCCCATCATCCCTAGCTAGCAGGACCAGTGGTCAGGGATGATGGGAATTGTAGTCCAAAAAAAACATGGAATCAGGTTTGGGAAACTCTGCTCTACAGTAAATGGGTGGCGGGCAAAACATAGTGGTCCATGAATGGCTATAGAGACCTTGGGGATTCAGAGTTAGGGATTCCCAAGGTCTGATTTTGCAATATTTTAATGTTTGTCTGCAGATAGATCTATTGATCTGCCTTCCCCCCCAAATGTGCCATCTGTTGTCTCCTCCCCCCTCTCTTCCCCCTTACCCTGAGTTTGAGGTTAAGTCAAAACACCTGACCAGTTTTAACTTGCTGAGTCTATTATCAGATTAAGGACAGGAGACAATCAGTTCCAAAGCAAGTCACCACCTAATACCGAAGACGTCTTCGAGCCGACAAGTGGACACGGCAGAGGACATCATCTCACCAGCGCAGGCAAATGTATCTCTAAAACACAGTGGAGCTTTGGAGGGGGGAACACATCAAAAGAGGTAGGTGTTCTCTCCTTGAACAGACCAGGATTGTCTTGTGATGGGAAAACAAAATTGCTGTAGGTCACCTTACCCAGTGCTTTTTTTCCTGGGGGAACGCGGGGGGGGGGACGACACATACCCCTAAACGTTTTGTGAATCTTTGTCCATTTACTGTATTTATTTTTCCTGATTTGAACTATAAAATGGTGATTTTCTTGAGTCAAAACGAGAGTACCCCTAAACATTTTTTTAAGAAAAAAAGCACTGACCTATGCACATTTTACTGGGGCAAAGGGAGGAGTTTGAAGGAGTTTGCGTTAAGGGTATTTGGGGTAGCAGTTTTATACGTCAAATCCACCTGCTGCTACCTGCATGCAGAGACAGGTTCCTACAGTCTGATTTTGGATGTGGAGAAAGACAATGGCTTGATGGTTTCAAAGAGAAATGGGAGTGGTGTGACAGAAAGATTAGTGCCACTGGTATGCATGCCCACAGACGCACATGCACACACACATTGATGGGAGGAGTGCCTATTAAAAAAGCCACAATGCCCCGATGATAATGATAATAATTTCATTATTTATATGCTGCCTACCTGACTTTTTTTTGTAAAGTAAAA